CCACTGATCCGGATGATGAGCAGACGCAAGAGCCTGAGCCTGTGCAATTCGGTGACCTGCGTCAGCCTTTGGGCTGTGAGTATATTGCGCAGCTGTGTGGGGGGGCTCAGGGGGCTTATATTGCTGCTGGGAGTACCTCGTATGTATCTCTTTTTCCTTTCCACCCTTTACTATGTCCAATCCCCTCCAGAACTATAATACTGACTCGAATAGAAACCACCAACTGGACCTGGTGCCCCTTGTATCAGACCCATCCTGGCGCTTCGACCAAGACAACCTATGGCGTCTCCCTGGCGGACACGGGGAGGAGATCGTCCGCTCTGTTTACGTGGATGAGCAGGTATGCACGCTCTTTTCATCCTCTGTCCATCCAGTAGACTGTAAGCTAACCAGACAGTCCCAATCTATCTTCACCTGCGGCGAAGACGGATTCGTCCGCGTGTGGAAGCAAGGTGAAGGCGCGGAGCCGGGCCCGGGCTCCGGGCAGGAGAAGAAGCCGAAGGAGAAGAAGGGGAAGGAGAAGGGCAGGTTTAGACCTTATTAGTATGAAAATGAGTATGAGTATGAAGTGGGAGAGGGATGGGATGATGTGGTGAGAAGAGAGTGGACATGTGTAATATCCAACGCGGTCGTTTGGGTTTTGTAAACTTTACTGGATTATTATAGATTATCAACTACGTACTGCATGAGCGCGTACCTCCCTTGTGTGTTGGTGAAATGCCCCCAGATCACGTCAATATCTCCCAATGGTAAGGGGTGTAAACCCATACTAACAACCCCTGGCATAGTCTATTCCATCTTTCTACCAACCAACTGATCCAAGCCTTATGCTAACTTGGTATACGGGTCGCTTGAATTGAGTTATTTCCTAACTAGTCAGCCCTACTCTCTTCTGCTATGACAGTGCTCGATAATTTCATCTCAATTATTTATCTTCGTGCAAGCTAGATCTCTCTAACTCGACATGTCAGAACTACTAGGTATATACTCGCTTTTCCTACCAGAGCTGTGATAGGATGGTTAATGGTAGATGTAAGGGAAGTCCGGGGTCAATCACCTGGCTATAACGGCATCGGGCTATTATACCCTTGTTGTGTTTTACTTCTGGACAACACCGACTGACATCTTTGTCTCTGAACATCATTGATTCCATTGAATGTCCTCCAGCTAGACTAGATTTATCCTACAGAAAGTGTTGGTATGTTGCAAACGGGAAATGACCATCCAATATATGATATGCCAAATCTACTATACAGTCTATCACTACACGCATAGTCTTTCGTCCACCAGACCAGGCATACCCTCCAGCTCGTCAAGGTCATGATGGTTCAAACAACACAACACGAGGCCAATCACCGCGGAAGCGAGGATTCAAACCGCAAAAAACTGTACCCATTCAGCGTCTCAGCCCACCGCAACCGAAACCCATACCACAAACCAAGCAACACACATCCCGCCGCCCAGACACCAAACAACACAGTCGGAGCATGCGGCGACACGTCCCCAGGCCCGAGGACCTTCCCCGGCCGCGACGCAGTCAGATTCTCGCCCAGCCGCGTATTATCAAACGTGTATATCCCATCGTACATGACCTGCAGCGCGTCCACCGCGTAAGCCCGCATCGTGGAACTCAGCAGCTGCTCGGACTGGAAATAGTGGCTGTAGAAACTGCCGTTCTCGAGCACCTTCTGCGGGTACGAGTTGACGGACTGCAGCAGGTTGTGGAAGACGTTGGGGTGGTCGTCCATTGGACGGAGGAAGTCGACGGGCCCGAATCCGAAGGGCTCAGTGCGGAGTCGCTCGTTGCCTTCGCTGTAGTGTCCGGGGACCGGTGGGATGCGGGTGAAGTCGTGGAAGGACGAGTCGCTGGGGTCGACTCGCGCGCTGCCTAGTGTGGATGCGGATTGGCAGCGTACGCCGATGGGTGAGGCGACTTCGATGATTCCGGATAGGTTGAGATGGCGGTTGAGGGGGCAGGTCTTCTCCTTGGACTCGATGGCGAGGAATGATGAGTTTGCGTGGTGGTTCTCGGTGATTGGACTGCCTAGCCCATCTACCGGGTGGGCGATGCCGCGGTTGAACATGTTGAGGGGGACGGATCGCATCGAGGGCTCCTGGACTAGCATCTGCCAGGCGACGATCTCGAGAATCTCGGGGTCGGAGATCGTGCCGTCCCCCGTGAACCGCTCAACGTCCAGGTAATTGTCTTTGGTTGTGTTACCGCTCTTGCCGAATTCCACGTACGCGAGAAGATTCTTCATCGTGGTGTTGTACACGTCGATCCATTCTGTCTTGCCCGGAACCGAGCCCGACTCCAGCCTGGTAAGTGCAGCATCACTGTCGACCGCGTGGAACTGACCCTTCCGCGGCAGAATAGTCAACTCTGACGCATTGTGCACGATAGAGCAGTTGTACGAGAGCCGAAGCCCCCATATGGTCCCACTAACCGGGGCCTCGGCCTGCGGGGTGAGGAAAAGATCGGGGACATCCTGCTCGACGGACATGGAATTGGGGAATTCCTCCAGATATCCATATTCACTGCGATCCACTCCCGGCGCGGTGTAGGCGATGCCGACGCCGGGGAGATTGACGCCCGCGCCGGACTGCCATACGACGAAGCCCCGGTCCGTGGGCTGGTGCTCCGTCCGATTGTTGTAGCTCTCGGGAAAGTATCCCATCATGTGAGGGTGCCCTGAGAGCTGGACATACCCGTCAAACAGCTCCATGCTGAGCCCCGACAACGGCAGCGCGATCGTGACCGCGAGAGTGATCAGGCTCAGCAGCCACCATAACCGCTGCGCAGGGATCTTCCGTCGCCGGATCAAAATGTTAAAGCATCGAATCCACCCGCCGAATCCCGACCACGAGTGCTCGCTGTGCATCATCAGCGACGTGGTGTTGTCCGCGTGCCAGAAACGGTCGTGCAGCATGGCTGCCTCCACCCCGGCCAGTCCATACTTGGACAGACCTAGCCCGAAGACGCCCAGAATCCACCACGAGTAGAAGACCAGCTCCCCATTTCGGTGTCCGTATTTGCTCATGTCGGGGTCCGGAACCATGTACACCCAATTGATGAGGATGAAGTATGCGGTGAGAAGCGGGGGCACCGTGACGAGGACGAGCGCACGGCTTGTAAATCGTCGGAGAGGATATGCCTGCTCGCGCGCTTCTTGCGACTTGTCCGATGCATGGCTAGAGTCACTGCCATTATATCTGCGGGTATGATTGGATTGGCGGACTGACGTCTCTGGGTGCTCGGCGAGCTCGTATCGCCCTGGAATCGTCGGATATGGGGACGAAATGCCGTCAGGGGATGCTCGCCGGTCAGTCGATGGCTCCATAGATTATTTTGACCATTGGATCTATAGGGGGTCGTGCATTCGGCTTCTGAGCAGGCTTCTGAACGGACAGGGGGGAGATAACATTTCGCAAGTGGACCAGAATTTGACTCAGGGATTACCCTACTATGTATGTCTGAGCAGAATGCTCGACAACAAGGCTGACACTGATTCCCCCCTGATTGACTCAGTCTCGTATTATACATCTTACTCGTCCTAGTTTTCGCCCGAGACGATCCCGTGGCGAGGCTGGAGTAGTAGGCACGCGACATTTCCTTCTTTGGATGTCGATCTCACCACGGGCGGTGCCTGGATGTACCCGATATAGAATGATCGGCGGTTTTCTCACCCTGTCGTATGGTTGTATCTATCATTAATAAATATTTTCTATACTCGTGGTCGATGACATTCCGACGATTTGAACACGAGTCTGTAAGACATGCAGCCCATTCGCGGAACAATGGTACTGCACCTCGAGGTACACTCCTCCATATAGCTATGGTTATAGCTCTATCATGACAAGGGTGGAGCCCGCAGGCCTAAGGATCACCGTGGCCGGTTTCCACCTGTGGTGGTAATCGAGTTAGCGGAAGGCTGTGCTATTCAAGGCCCCCAAATGTCGGTGTCTAGCTTGTGGTTTACCTCTTCGATGGGACTTGATTCGAACATATTATGTAACTCACATGAAACGTAGCGATATCGATCAGTAGGAAGGTTTGAGCATTCTGCTGAGCTATTCCCGTTGGGTTTCCCATCTGATACAGATCTTGATATTTTGACGCTACAAGGACTGCAGGTAGGGTAGCCACGCTATTATCTACTACATATATCATGCGGCCTTAATCCCATTGGTAAACGTCCGAGCCGAGTACTTGTTACTGAAATCTCACCAAAGGAGTATTTAACACTGGAGTATCTTGTTGACCTGAAACGTTGGCTTGTCAGTGAACAGCCAGACTCTTAGAGCTTATAGTTGGCAGCTTACTGTGGGTCAGAACATCCAATAATGCTTGACTGTTGTATTTAGTCTTATTTTCAATGTCTATTATATCGGCATTATCTTGGGATGGTGTTTAAAATATATTATCTTTGGGAAATTGAGAAGTAGTTGATGTGAACTGAACTTTCATATAGAGGTGGTCAAGCAGTATATATACTTCCATGCCTTATCGATTGATCGGAGTACTGCCAGTAGTCATGGATATGGAGTACAACATACCCCCAATCAGTTCATACATTCAGAGAGCATAAGAAAACCTTCAAAATTCTACAAAATAAGCACAAAATACCTTCACCATGAATGTCAGGAATCGAACATAGATGTCCAAAATAATGGACTCCAACGGTGCCAGTCCCAAGGCGGTGGCAGAACCCGACCCACCCATATCTGGGCGAGCAATCTAATCGCGCCGATAACAATTTGATTTTTTTTTTTTATCTCAGGAACATCCGCGGTTTTGACTGCGATCAATCTCGACATCCCTCTTTTTTATACCTCATCGCATTACACCAATTGGAGTATGGTCTTGATTAATCTACCATAAGACAGATACGACGCTTTTACCTTCCACCCTCGTTCATCTCACCTACCTCCCACCACACCGTCCAATCCAACAGGAACAAGATACAAAACCACACCCATTAAACGAAAGAAAGGACAGAATGAACGCAGAAGCCTACCTCCGCAACCACGGCTGGTCCGGCCCCGGCACCCCCCTTAACCCCAACCGCCGCCCCGGCGGCCCCAACGGCGGCCTCGGCCTTACAAAACCCATCCTCGTCGCCCGCCGCACCGGCAACCAGGGCGTCGGCAAGAAGACCACCAAGGACCATACAAACCAGTGGTGGCTGCGCGGGTTTGAAGATGCGCTCAAGGGCGTGGGTGGTCCGGCGAATTTGACGGGCTCCAGTGTGCGGCCTGGCAATGCGCTGACGAGTGAGCTTTATCGGTTTTTCGTGAGGGGGGAGACTGTTGCGGGGACTCTTGGGGATAAGTCGGCGGAGGCGAAGGCGGATGAGGGGAGAGATAAGGGGAAGGGGAAGAGGGAGGGTGAGTCGAAGGAGGAGAGGAGGCTGCGGAGGACGGAGAGGAAGGCGAGAAAGGAGGAGAGGAAGACGAGGAGGGAGGCCAGACGGGCAAGGAGAGACGAGAGACGCGCGAAGAAGGTTGAAAAGCGCGCCTTGAAAGAGGCGAAACGGTCGAGAAAGGAACAGCCGCATAACCCCCAAGACGATTATCCCACGCCGCCGGCGACCGAACAAGAGCTGATCGAGCCGAAGCTGAAGAAAGAGTCGAAGAAGTCCTCGCGGAAGGAGAAGAAACCCGAGTGATCCCGACCTGACTGTTTGTGCCTTTTTTTGCATACGAGCGTGTTCGCATCTGAGATATAGATGATAGATAGATAGATACCCATCGTTTGTCGCGCTTCTAATGGCCATACTTCGTAACATTGATTCGCATCTCTAAGACAGTAGGTATAAAATAAAGTAACTACATCATGCCCCCGACTCAACCGGCAACTTTCCTGGCTTCCCGGACAGAATCCACGGCCGTTTCTCCCAGAAGTCATCCTTGATGATATCGACATGATCGACCACCACCTGCGCCTTGCGCCGCAATTTCTGCAGCTTGTCTTGCTGGGAGCGCGAGGTTTGCGCTGGTTTCTCGCCTTCGCTCGGTTGCTCTGGCGTGGGCTTCGCTGCTTCTAGCTGATACTGTGTGGTGGGTTAGCACACGCTATACACGGATCCAGACGGCCATACCTGGCGGTAGACGACGCTGCCTTTCTTGTACATTGCGTCTTCGTTGTTATAATTGATCCCGAACCGTTTGAACAGGATCTCGTTCTTGTCGGCTGATACCGTGCCCTGGATTGTTGAGCGGATTTCGCATGTAGGATCGGATGGTGCATACCTGGAGTTCTTGCTCTGCGTCGGTGTTGCTCATGCCGCCTTGTTGGACCATCGCCCAAAATGTGGTGTTGTAGAGGTTGTTGATATGGCCTGGGGAGTTAGCCACGACGCACAGAGGGGAAAAAGAAGATAGAAGGAGAGAAAATCATACAGTCAACCTGTCTCCAACTCATATAATCCCGCATGTTCTGCACAGCCGGATACATAACCGCCCGGCCATCAAACGAAGGCAGATATGGCGATTGGAGGGGCTCATCGGGGAAATGAGTGCCCCACTGGTGGATGTAATGCGCCGTGAAGGTCGACACGATGGTAGTCACCAGTTTTCTACACAGTCAGCTTTTCTACATACGTATAGATATATAGGAGGATCAAAAGTAACTCACGCATTCCTACGCTCAAAGAGCTGGCAGCTCGGGTGGAAGACAAAACTGTACTCGTCGCTCACGCCATACGCGATGCACAGATCGGGCAGATCTTTCAGGACGGCGACGGCGGCCGCGTTCATGAGATCCAGGGCGCGGCGATCATTGGGTTTGAGGAAGTGGTAGCGGTCGGAGAGTCTACCTCGTGTCAGTCAAACCTATGAGACCCTGCGACTCGGGGTAATTGAGATAGGAGGACGGACTTGTGGAAGCCTCTGCCGTCGATGCGGACGACTATCCAGGTGTTGGGCAGCAGAGGGTCCGACTGTTCGAAGTCTTTGACGTATTCATATCTGGGGGATTAGCTTCTTTACTATTTCCCCTCGTCTTATCTCTTCTTTCTTGAGGACTGGCAATGAGACGTACTTGGAGTTGGCCATGGTTGGTGGTTTTTCCTATCTGCATCCAAGTGGAGACCGTACTGGTGGGATGAAGTTGTGCGGGAGTAGCCGAAGGGACAGTAGATAGATGGAGGGGGATATCCACGGCGGTTGGGTAGTCATGTCATGGTTGACGTTGTTTCTATTGTAGTTGATCGTGATACAGATAATTTGTCCAGGATAATCACTTGAGGACTGGATCTTGAGACTGGATGGAATTGATATACTTGAGATGAGGTTGAAGGTTGGATGCATGCATCGACTGATTGGTCGGATATCTATCTATCTACATTTCTCATTACTTACCCAGACTACTACAATGTATAAACGAGTACAACAATCAAATTAGATCCATAGTGTTATAATCTAAACATATCTATCGTAGATCTCGAAAAAGTCTGTTCATGCTATGGATCAACGTATAAAAACTCAACTGCATAAATGATTACTCAGCGCATAACCCCCCCACCCCAACCGAGGCCCCCGACCAGGTGACCGGACCCCGTGACCGGCCTGGTTGGGCGCAAGAAGTCACGTTGAACTCCCAACATTATCATCAATTTCTCCTTGATCCTTTTCTCTCTCCTATCTTCTTCTGGTCAAGACTGTCAATCGGTGGCTTTGTGTCCCTTTCACTCGTTCCCCTTTCTTTGTTGTGATCCTCATTTTGTCTCAACAGTGACCACTCGGACCACTCGGACACTAGACACTGGACACTGGACACTAGACAGTTCCCTGCAATCGAGACGACCAACTCAATCCTTCTCCGCATGTGTCTCGGCCGCTGTCACATGGCCCGTATGTAGGCGCCACTTCCTACCCCGATCTCCTTTACCAACCCTTCACGCTTCCTATCGGTCCGATCGACGAGTCCTCTGTCATCATGCAGTACGTGCGAAGTATCAGTGGCTCCGTCTCCAAGACCTGGAACTCCATCAATCCGGCGACCTTGAGCGGCGCCATCGATGTGATTGTCATCGAACAGGAAGATGGTACGTACCCTCTTTCACATCGGGCCGAAGGGGTAGAACTGACCACATCTAGGCACACTCGCCTGTTCGCCGTTCCACGTCCGGTTCGGAAAATTCTCCCTCCTCCGTCCGTATGAAAAGAAGGTACGACACTCCGATGTACCTGGGGGCGAATCCCCGCGCTAACTAGAGCAGGTCGAGTTCAAGGTGAATGGGGCCAAACAAGACTATTCCATGAAACTTGGCGAGGGCGGCGAGGCCTTCTTCGTCTTCGAGACGAACGAGCGCATCCCCGCCTCGCTGCAGACGTCGCCGCTGGTGTCCCCCGCCGCCAGTCCGAGGACCCGTAGCGAAGATAATCTCCCGTCGACCCTGCAGGAGCCCGAGTATTTGGATCTTGATCGCCCGGCCGTGGACCCCTTGGACGACCAATCTACCGATCTTCCGATCCTATCGCGGGCGACCCGGGCGACCAGTGATTTGGGTATGATCTGCGGTTCCTCCGGTCGGACACAGAACCGTTTTGTACTGACGTACCACAGGTGCCATCACCCCCCTATCCCGATCGCCCGACGAGACGACCATCGGCCGGCCGTTTGACGACGGCCCCGGCAAAGCGGGCCGCACGATGTTGGACGACTTTATCGCGCCGAAGCGCCGCCCCCGTCGCGACAGCGTGGCGGACCTCACCTACGGCACGCCACTGGCGGACCCCAGGGTCGTCAGCGACGACGAGACCAGCCAGGACCGTCCGTGCAGCCCCCCGCCGCTGTCTCCCGAGGAAGCCGTGTCGCGCGCCGTCTCGCTGTCCAAGAAACTGTCCGGTTCCAACATCCCATCGCACGTCACCGACACGGGCGACCTCATGCTCGACATGACGGGCTACAAGAGCAACGAGGAGAATGCGCTGCGCGCCGAGGTGGTCGCGCGCAAGATCCTGGCGGAGGAGTTGGAGGGCAACTACGACATCGGAGCGCTCATCGGAGCCGACGAGCACGGGAACCTGTGGATCTACAGCAGCGAAGAGGCCAAGGAGGCGGCCGACCGCCGGGCGACGTTCAACGTGATGCGGCCCAGCTCGGCCCTGAGCGAGAACGCCGTGTCGGATCCCGGCTACCACAGCGACAGCGACCAGCCCCTCCACCAGAGCATGGGGCCGCGGCACCTCCGGACGCAGTCAGATGTGCAACCCGGATTCCCGACGCCGCCGCAGTCGCCCGTGCCGGGCGAGACGCGCAACTACGCCAAGACGCTGCGGCTGACCAGCGACCAGCTCAAGGCGCTGAAACTGAAGCCGGGGGCCAACGAGATGTCGTTCAGCGTCAACAAGGCGACGTGCACGGCGTCAATGTACCTGTGGAACGGCAACACGCCGCTGGTGATCTCCGACATCGACGGGACCATCACCAAGTCGGACGCCCTGGGCCACGTGCTGAACATGATCGGGCGCGACTGGACCCACGCCGGGGTGGCCAAGCTGTTCACCGATATCATCAACAACGGGTACAACGTCATGTACCTGACCAGTCGGTCGGTGGGGCAGGCGGACACGACGCGGACCTACCTGTACGGGGTGTGTCAGGACGGATACCGGCTGCCCAAGGGGCCCGTGATCATGAGCCCAGACCGCACCATGGCGGCGCTGCGGCGCGAGATCTACCTGCGCAAGCCGGAGGTGTTCAAGATGGCCTGTCTGCGGGACATTTTGGGGCTGTTCAACGGGAAAGAGAATCCCTTCTACGCGGGGTTCGGCAACCGACTGACGGACGCGCTGAGCTACCGGTCGGTGAACATCCCGTCGAGCCGGATCTTCACGATCAACTCGAACGCGGAGGTGTCGCTGGATCTGCTGAGCCTGACCAAGTACAAGAGCAGCTACGTGTCGATGCAGGAGCTGCTGGACCATTTCTTCCCGCCAACGAGTCTGCTGGTGCAGGCGGGTGGGGAAGAGTACACGGACTTTACGTACTGGCGGGATCCGCCGCCAGACTTGGATGACTTTTCCAGTACGGATAGTGAGGGTGAGGACGACGGGCCTGGACCGGCGGATGAAGACGACGAGGAGGATGATGATGACGATGATGACGAGGACGACGAGGAAGAGGAAGAGGGAGTAGAAGACGACGACATTGAGGGAGAGGATGACGATGAGCTGGATGAGGATGAGGATGATGAAGGCGACGACGAAGACGAGTCCGACGGAGACCTGAGCGAGGATGAAGACCTAAGCGTCAGTTACCTGACCGAGTCGATGGAGGCGACTACGCTGGACGACAGGGACGACACGGTGAAGCCGGTGCCGTCGATAGAGTGAGTAATATATATCGCATAGCAAGGCGTTGTGGATAGACATAGATAACAGTACATATGATTGATTTAAATTGCTGCAATGGAATAATCCCTTTCTGTTATACCAGTCTCGTCTCTACCATGTATAGAGTAGATATGACAGCAGCATTCACCGCCTCCACTTTCCGTTAGCGGCGGCAGAATCCACCTCAGTTCGTTCATCTCAACATCTCATCTTCATCTTCATCTCCACCTCACTCCACCCTCACTCTCGATCGATTACTACACCATCCGAATACAATAACACTCTCCGAGCCATCCGCGAACAACCCCCATACTCCTCGCAATGGCCTCCCCAGGCCAACAAGCAAACCAGCAACCCCTAACACCACCCGCCGAACCATCCTCCTCCAACAACGCGCAACAATCGCAATCACAACCGCAATCGCAATCCCAATCCCAACCGCCCTCACAACCTACCACCCAACAACAACAACAACCCTCACACCCCACCCAAATCAATGCCTCCACAGCCGCCACCCCCGCCAACAACCAACCAACCCCCATCCCACCCACCTCCCTCAAAGACAGCGGCAAGTCGCGCCGCCCGCGCGACATCCGCCTCATTCACATGCTCCTGTCTTCTCTAGGCGTCACGTCCTACCAGGAGCGCGTCCCGTTGCAGCTCCTCGATTTCGCGTACCGTTATACCTCCGGCGTGCTGCAGGATGCTGTTCATCTCGCGACGGAGGGCTACGCGGGCGTTACCGATAGCGTTACGACCTCCTCCAAGGGTGGAGTCGGCCAGACGGCCGAGGTGAACAGTGTGACGCTCCCCGCGCTGCGACTGAGTATTGCTTCGAGGCTGCACTATCAGTTTCAGACGGGCCTGCCGAAGGAGTTCCTGATGGATGTCGCCGGGGAGAGGAATAGGGTTGCGTTGCCGGGTGCAAGGAGGGCGTTTGAGGATGAGAATGCGGCGCAGGCGAAGGGCGCGCAGGGTGCGAACCAGAGTTTGCTCGTTGGGGGCATGAGGTTGCCGCCGGAGAGGTTCTGTCTTACGGGGACTGGGTGGGATATGAAGGAGGAGTGGGAGAGTGAGGGGGAGGAGGAGTTTTCGCTGCTTGGGGAGGGAGAGGGTGAAGGGAAGGGTGGGGAGGGGGATGGGGAGGGAGAGGGTGACGAGGATGAGGATGAGGATGGCAAGATGGAGGATGTGTTTGGGCCGGGTGGGGATGAGCGGGGGGACCAAGATGGCGATGGCGATGGCGATGGGGATGGAGATCGCGATATGACTGATGTTTGACATTTTGTTTTTAATTGCATGGATGGAGTTGGCGTTATTACCTATTTACAGTCATCATCAGACAATCCCTTCAGAGTACGGAGTAGTAAGATGATAATATACAGTCGAACCTGTAAGAATACTATACATGTACATGAAACGATGCAACGCCGACCCAACATCATCAATCAATCGACAAAAGCAGCAAGAATTCCACCAGTCTAGAATCACTTCGAAGCAGCAGCAAGCCTCTGCCTCTCCTCATCCTCCCTCATCAACCGAATGACCTCCTCCCGCCTCGCCTCCACCCGTCTCGTCTCCTCCTCCTTCTTCCGTCGACGCTCTCCATGCGTCGCGAACCATTCCTCCCGCGCGCGGTCCTCCTCCTCGGGCTTCGCGTGCTCCAGCATACACCCGTTCATGGCGAGGCGCTCGCTCCGGCAGAGCCATGTTGCTGTTACTGTGCGGTTGACGGCGCATTGAGCGAATGCTATCGATCATTCGATCAGTACTCTTTGCTTGTATTGAGTCCAGTGGGATGGGGGGTAGCGTGGTAGGTAGGAGATAGAGTAGGAAAGAAGGAGATACACACCCTTGATTTCATCCGCGCAGTGGCTCCGTACGCGCTTGTAGAACATCTGCTTGACTTCGGATTCCTGCGCTGCGGAGAGGGGCATTGGATTGCGCAGGTTGTAGGTTTTTGTTGGTGCCGGGGTGGAGGCACTCGCTGCTGTGTTTGTGGACATGGTGGGTGTCTTGTGTGCTGCAGTTGTGCTGTAGCGGTTGTAGTGGTGGGGGAGGGTAATTGCTCGGGATGCGATTGTTGACTATCGATGACCGTGGATCATTCTCTCTTGGAATTGAGTTGGATTGAATAGAGTGTACTGTGGTGTGGTGGACGTGATGTGGTGTCGGTCGTTGTGGAGTAATGTTGGAGTTGACGGTTGAAAGTTCGAGCGGAGGTGGATTGGCCGACACCGACTGACCTTCTTTCTTACTACTACCACTGACTACGCCGATCCGACTTTTCATCCGTCATTTTATTACTTTTTACATCCACCTCACAACACTACCCACACTTTTTTTTATAATAATACAGCGACGGAAAGAAAAAGACAGCAAAGAAAAAGGGAAAAGGAAAAAGAAAATCAAAATGAGTACCATGCGCAACGCCGTCCAACGGCGCCAGCACCGCGAGCGAGGCCAACTCGCCGGCCGCGAGAAATGGGGAATTCTTGAAAAGCACAAGGTACCTTATATCCCTCTCTCTCTATACTCTTATCCAGTTATCTTGAAACTAATCTAATACCCTTGGTAATATAGGACTACTCCCTCCGCGCAAAAGACTACAACACCAAAAAAGCCCAAATCAAGCGCCTCCAAGAGAAAGCCCACGACCGCAACCCCGATGAATTCGCCTTCGGCATGGTCTCCTCCCGCCAGGGGAAACACGGCGGGGGTGTCGGCGGTCGCGATTCAGCGGCCGCGAGGGGCCTCAGCCATGATGCGATCAAGCTTTATAAGACGCAGGATGCGGGGTACTTGCGGACTGTCGGGGAGAGGGTAAGGAGGCAGATGGAGAGGCTGGAGGAGGAGGTGCGGCTGCAGGGGTCGTTTGGGGAGAAACTGGGGGAGGAGGATAGTGAGGAGGAGGCGGGGGATGATGAGTCGGATTTTGATGATTTTGATCTGGATGATGCGCCGGCCTCCAAGAAGAAGCGGAGTTTGCAGCAGCAGAAGAAGGTGGTGTATGCGGATGATCGGAAAGAACAAAAGACTTTGCGCAAGAAGCGCTTACGGGATGGGGACGCGTCGGGTGAGGATGAGGACGAGACGATGGGCGAGGAGGCTCCGAAGAAGAAGTCGCAGAAGCAGCTCCTGGCCGAGCGTCAGGCGCTGGTCGACAAGCGACGTGCGCGCAAGCTCAAGAAGCGCGCTGCGGAAGCCCGCCAGACCAAGCTGGCTGGCTTGCGCAAGCAGTACGCGGATATCACGGCCGCCGAGCGTGAGCTGGACTGGCAGCGTGGACGCATGGATAACATCGTCGGCGGCACGAACAAGAACGGCATTAAGTGGAAGATCCGCGAGCGGAAGAAGTGATTGCATAACTAGTACCCTCATGTTTATAGAAAAGTTCACGATACCACTTTTTTTTCTTTTACTAATCTATCTGGTATATTAAATGAAATTTCACTCGCGATTACTGCATGTGGGCGACGCGGATGCTGACTGCCCGCTTGTGCGCCTCCAGTCCTTCTACCCCGGCGAGCTGCTCCACCGTCTTGGCGAGGCCTTTCAGTCCCTCGGCGGTCAGGTTCGAGCTGGTGATGTGCTTGAGGAACGAGCCCAAGTTGACGCCCGAGTATTGCTTGGCGTAGCCGTAGGTCGCTACATTAGTCTGGATTAGCCTAGGTCCCGAATTGGATAGGAAGGAGGAGGGAACATACGGAGAGAGTGGTTCACACCCGCCGAGTAGTCGCCGACGCTTTCCGGCGTCCACGCGCCGATGAAGACACTGCCGGCGTTCTGCACCTGCTCGACCGCCCCCTCGGCATTCTCGATCTGCAAAATCAAATGCTCCGGCGCGTACTGGTTGCTGAGCGCCATCGCCTCCGCCAGGTCGCGCACCACGAACGTCACCGAGTGCGCCAGCGACCCCTTGACGATGTCCATCCGGGGCAGGGCGTGCGCCTGCTGGTCGACCTCGTCCTCGATCGCCTGCAGCTGCGCCTCGTCCAGATCGATCGCGATGAGGATCACCTGCGAGTCCACGCCGTGCTCCGCCTGGCTCAGCAGGTCCGAGGCCACGAACGCCGGGTTCGCCTGGCGGTCCGCGATGACGAGCACCTCACTCGGCCCCGCCGGCATGTCGATGCTGACGCCCGCCGACGTGTCGTTGGCCACCAGCATCTTGGCCGCCGTCACAAACTGGTTGCCCGGCCCCAGAATCTTGTCGACCTTGCTGACGCTCTCGGTGCCGTACGCCATGGCCGCCACCGCCTGCGCGCCGCCCGCCAGCACGATGCTCTCGGCACCCACCTTGTGCGCGACATAGACGATCTCGGGCGACACGCTGCCGTCGGCGCGCGGCGGCGACGCCAGCACGATCTTCTGGCAGCCCGCCACCATGGCCGGGACACCCAACATCATGGCCGTCGACGGCAGCACCGCCGTGCCGCCGGGGATGTACAGGCCCACGCGCTCGATGGGGCGCGAGAATCGCGAGCACACCACCCCGGGCATGGTCTCCATGCTGAGGGCCTCGTTGCCGCCCTGCTGGGCGCTGTGGAACTTGGCGATGTTGTCGATGCTGACGTCGAGGGCCGCCTGGGTCTCGGGCGACAGTTGCATGAGCGACTCCGGGAAGGGGGCGCGCAGCACGGGGGACGTTAAGGAGGTGGCCTTTTCGAACTTGTGGGTGTACTTGAGCACGGCAGCATCGCCGCCGTCGCGGACGTCCTGGACGATGGGGCGCACCAGGCCCACGATGGCGTCGTTGGACTTCTGCGACGGGCGCTTGAGGTGGTCCGCCACCACGGTGGCCGGCGTGCTCGCGGTGACGACGCGGGTCATCTCGATCCGGCCGTCGGCGGGGGGCTGTTCTTCCTTGGCGGGGGCGGGGGCCGGGGTGGCCGCGGGCTGGTTGACGCCGAGCTTCTCGGCCCAGGGACCCTTGGCATCACCCTTGCGCCGCTTCACCTTCAAGTTCTTGAGGTCCAGGTTACGCTCGACGTCCTCGAGGCTGACCCCGGCGGCGACACAGCGCGTCAGGGCGAAGTAGAACAGGTCAGCGGCCTCGAAGGCGACCTCCTCGGGCGTAGTGGCGCGGCACAGCTCGTCGGCCTCTTCCATGATCTTGGCCTGGGTGAGCTTGGGCTCGTTGAACAGGCGGGCCGTGTACGAGCCGGCGGGCGCGTCGGCCTTGCGGGCCTGCAGGGTCTTCTGCAGGCGCGACAGGCCGTTGTAGGGGCCGAAACAGCTGGCCCTGCCCAGATGGCAGAAGCCGCGACCGACCTGGTTGACAACGAAGACCAGGCAGTCGGAGTCGCAATCAAAGCCGACGCTGATCAGCTCCTGGACATCGCCGCTGGACTGTCCCTTGTACCAGAGGCCCCGCTTGCGGCTCTGGTAGACGCCGGTGCCGGTGCGCAGGGCCTCGGAGATACTCTCGTCGCTGCTCCAAACCAGGCCCAAGCAGACACCGCGGGCATCAACGACGGTGGTAGCGTACAGGCCATTGTCGCTGGTACGGACGGCGCGGAAGGAAACCAGGGCAGAGGCGACGATCTTGCCGGCGGGGTTGCGCTGGTCGAGGGTGAGGGCGTCGGCCGGGATGATGCTGACGCCGCCTTGCGTGATAGTCTCCCGCAGGCCCTCCTCCGTGACGGGCGATGTGTAGGTCCGGTAGAGGCTCTGCGTCTCCAGACTGACGCCCAGCTTTTCCGCCAGGGCGGTGAACTCCACCTGGGGGTCGTTGGTGGAGAGGCCGGCTTCCTTGCGGCTGGCGTCCTCGCTGACCCAGCGCTGGAAGGCCTCCAGCTCGTCCTGGCCGGCATATTTGACGATCAAGCGATCGGCCGGGACGGACTGTTCCTGGGTCAGGGCCTGCAACTGGCCGAGGGTGATGAAGATCTTGGCGGCGCCGGCATTGAGGATATCGACGAGGTCGGCGGTCTGACGGATCGCGGTGGCGTCAGCGTAGACGTCTAGGCTGCGGACATGACGACGGATGAACTCTTCAGCCTGCTCGCGGGTGTCGACCTTGACGAGGACTCGCCCGAAGTAGGCGATTTGATTCAAAGTGAGGCCATTGGCGGAGGCGGGGTCGAGTGGGGGTTGACTCGGGTCAACCTGGACAATGAAGGGGACGGACATGGTGAGTCCCCGGGGTGGGGTTGACAGCAGGGACGATTGGGGACAAAGTAAACCGAGGCGAAACTTCAATGCGGGCGAGATGGAGCGGAGGAAGACGGGGGAAGATGAAGCAAAAGTCTGGCAGTCAAAAGAGTCAAAAGAGTCATCGCGGGGGATGATCGACAAACGGTGCAAACCCGAATGCCAAGGGAAACGACCGGATCGGGTTAGACCCGGATAGCCTGAGGCAGGGAGGTGAATTTTGCCGACCTTTCCGCATCCGGACTAGCGCATTCCCGCGTTGCTGATCGTCTCACGCTTTTCCTCCTTCGGTCCTTCTTACTTCTCCATTCATTCCTCGATCCTTCTGGTTCTGCATTGGGATCTGACGGAAGATAATATCGACCTAGAAGCACCAAGTGGGGAGGCTAATCGGAGTTATTGACGCACTAGGACCTAGCTGATCTGATCGCGGACTTGTCTTAGTCGATGAGTTCCTATGTCTCCACCTGAGGACAGAACTATGACCAGCGCTAACTACTCCCTATTGATGGAGACGAACGTAACCATCAACGAGATGATATCCAACAAGGCCGCCAGACTTGGGCAGTAAGACGATGCCTGTCGACACGGATGCACGGCACAAACCAGGGGAGATGATGGAGCATATCATCTGACTAATTGTGCACGCGACTGCGTCTGCCTCAGGTCAGCTGCTTTGGGTGGTCCAGAGTGACCAGAACTGATGATCGAATACTTCAGTCTTTGAATGGGACAATTTGGAACATGTCGACGGTATTCCTGACTCAACTATTCAAGTCCTCAATACCACAACAACAGTCCTACCTCCGATGGACAGGATTGATGCCCCTGCATCGGCCCATGCATACTTCCCCCCCTCCATTCAACCAATCATCGCGTCCAGATCGACCGGGTTTGCCTGATCGGGTGATCAAGGCTGCAATCCTGCCTGACATCCCAGGCTCAACCGACCTATCCTCGTTCCTGCTTCCTTCCTTTTTCTCCTCTTTTTCTCCTCTTTTCCTTCTTGTCTCCTATCCTACTCTTCTTCTCTTCCCGTCTCTCTTTACACCAGTCCCTCATTTCCCCTCTTTAGGTCTTGGCTGACCGTGTCGCTCTCTTCCCCTTCCGATCGTCTGATCGACTATATAATCAATTCCGCCTCGCCGAGGCTGTCATTCGTTCTATTTACTTTATTTGTACCACCCCTTCCTTCTCTGGACTGTGTGCAAGGCCATTCTTTTGTATCATGCATTTCGCCTATCTGTCGGCTCTGCTGGCCGTTCCGGTCTGGGGCCTGCCCGGACAACACGCGATTCGCCGGGAACCCTCGCGCGCCGATGTCGTCCGCGAGGCCTTCTCCCACGCCTGGGATGGGTACCGGAAATACGCCTTCCCCCACGATGAACTGCACCCCATCAGCAACGGCCATGGCGACTCCCGCAATGGTTGGGGTGCCTCCGCGGTCGACGCCCTGTCGACCGCCATCGTCATGGGCAACGAGACCATCGTCAACGAGATTCTCGACTTTATCCCGACGATCGACTTCTCTCACACCGACGACGAGGTCAGCCTGTTTGAAACCACCATCCGCTACCTCGGCGGCATGCTGTCCGGCTACGATCTCCTGAAGGGCCCCGCCAAGGGGCTGGTCAAGGACCAGAAGAAGATCGATGCCTTGCTGACCCAGTCCCGTACCCTGGCCGATATCCTCAAGTTCGCCTTTGACACCCCGTCCGGCGTCCCCTACAATAATATTAATATCAATAAAAAGACCAACGACGGGTCCACCACCAACGGTCTGGCCGTCACGGGCACCTTGGTCATGGAGTGGACGCGCCTGTCGGATCTGACCCGCGACGCGCAGTACGCCCGCCTCAGCCAGAAGGCCGAGTCGTACCTCCTGGACCCCAAACCCGCCAAGGGGGAGCCCTTCCCGGGCTTGGTGGGCAACGGCATCTACATCGAGAACGGCACCTTTGCCGACGGGCGTGTTAGCTGGAACGGCGGCGACGATTCCTTCTACGAGTATCTGATCAAGATGTACGTGTACGACCCCAAGCGGTTCGCCAAATACAAGGACCGCTGGGTGGTGGCCGCCGAGTCGACCATGAAGCACCTCGCCTCGCACCCGGAGTCGCGTCCCGATCTCACGTTCTTGGCCTCGTCCGACAACGGGAAACTGGGGCTGACGTCCCAGCACCTGACCTGCTTTGACGGGGGCAGCTTCCTGCTGGGGGGATCGCTCCTGGATCGGGATGACTTTGTCCAGTTCGGTCTGGATCTGGTGAACGCCTGCCACACCACCTACAACGAGACGCTGACGGGCATCGGGCCCGAGCAGTTTGGCTGGGATGCCAAGAAGGTGCCGTCCAACCAGAAGGAGCTGTACGAGCGGGCGGGCTTCTATGTCGTCAGCGGGGCCTACATCCTGCGGCCCGAGGTGATGGAGAGTTTCTACTACGCGTGGCGTCTGACGGGCGAGGAGAAGTACCGCGACTGGGTGTGGAAGGCGTTCGAGTCCATCAACCGGTACTGCCGCACCAAGTCGGGTTTCGCGGGACTGAAGAACGTCAACGCAGCGAACGGCGGGGGTCAAGATGACAACCAGGAGAGTTTCCTCTTCGCGGAGGTTATGAAGTACGCGTACCTGGCGCAGTCGGAGGACGCGGCGTGGCAGGTACAGCGGGGGAAGAACGAGTTCGTGTTCAACACGGAGGGCCATCCCATTGCCGTGGCTTGACTGGTTGGGAAGTACCCATAGCCCATACATAGCACAATAATTTGAACATAATATCAGAATATCGAGTAGACTGATTCAGTTGTGGGTTCAAGCGGGGCCTGACCGCGCCAATGGCCGGTAGAGCCGATGACGTATGGTCTTGATCAACCTCGCGATCTCGGCATTCAAAACAAACTATCCCCTCACTACACTTCTTCCGCGACTCAGACATTTGAATTATAGCACAATGGCTTCACCCAATACTATCCAATGGTCCGAAGGGGCCGATCATGCTGAAGCAGACCCACTCTTGAACAACATCCTCCAACAAGGCTGGCAACTCAACGAAGAGGCCAATGGTATCAGGAAATATTTTCGCTTTAACACGTATACTAAAGTGATGGTTTGTACATCCATCCCACATAGATTTCTATATGCATGCATATATATGTATATAGCAATATCTATATTTGAAAAAAAAAATATTAATGAATAGGACTACGCAAACTGCATCGCCATTAAAAGCAAACGCGCAAACCACCACTCGGAGCTAACACTGGTATGTCTACCTTTCCATTCCCATTCCCCACTTCACTACATAGACTTTGCAGAAACATGCATACATACCTACCTGTATAGTTAGGATTGTCTCTAATGTGTTGAATGTGTATAGAAAGCCCGCTCAGCCACCGTCCTCTGGACAACGCACGTCCCCAAAGGACTGTCCATGAAAGACCTGCGGATGGCGGAGTTCTGTGAGATGGCTGCTAGGGAGATGGTGCTTGCTGTTGAGGGGGGTCAGGAGGGGGAGGAGCGTGGGCCTTGTGGGGGGGGTTGAGATTGGATTTCTGGTATTGTTGGTTGATTATAGTTCTTATGGTTCAGTTTGTGTATATACTGTTGAAAGGTTGATGCATGATGCGGGCCATATGGTAGGTACCTTCCGTATGATTTTCAGAGGTTTGGGGTGTGATGGAACTTCATATACGAGGTCAATCTAACAAGGTTCAGCCCATGTAAAACAACCCAATAAATCAATTCTAAATAGTAGTGTATGCGTCTCACGCCATATAAATCGAAATCATCATATCTCATAACTTAACATCCGGGTATGCCATATCCAGACCAACCAACCAACCAACAACCGACCAGCCAAAAATGATAGAAAAATGCAATGAAATAACGAAATGCAAAACGACCAAAGGAAGAAAATGAAGCTAAGTTCGGTAAATCTTCACCACACTGATAATACTCTTCCGGCAGATCGGACACAGATCGACCTGCCGCGCGCACGTCACGCAAGCACACACATGTCCACAGTCGTAGAACAGCGCGTCCTGTTCTTCGCTGTAGCAGATCTGGCAGAGGTCCATCTCCTCGTCCGCTACCTCCCAGTAGCTGATGCCCTTGCCGTGGCGCTTGCCGTCTTTGTAACCCCCCTCGTACCGGTTGCCCGTCTTGTGCTCGACGAAAGTGCCCTGTCCGTGGCACTGATTCTCGGCCCAGCTGCCGTCGTAAGTGTCGCCGGTGGGGTACTCCATGCGGCCCTGGCCGTGGCGCTTGCCCAGTACGAAGTCGCCCTCGTAGGTGACGACTGTGTCGGACACGTGCTTGCCCACGCCGTGATGGTAGCCCTTGCAGAAGTCGCCGCTATAGTAGTCTGTCGTGAAGGACGCGTCGACTGTCTTGCGGCCCGTGAAGGCCTTGATCGGGTGCTGGCGCGTCGCGGCCCAGAGGTACCGCACGAGGTGGTCCGGGTTGGTCAGGAGGCCGGCTTCGTTGAGCTGCGACCGGCGGTCTTTGGCCAGCTTGTCGCCCACAATGAAGCACGTCCCGTCCGGTACGAAGCCTTGGAATGTCTGCAGGGAGGAAACGGTCGACACAGACGTGCCTTCCACGCGCTGCCAGATCTGGAAGTCTTTCGTCACCGGCCGCTGCAGGTGCTTCCGCAGCGCCTTCTTGATGTTCTCCTCCTTCTGCGAGAAGAACGATCCCACCGTGCGCAGGGCCTGGGCCTCCACGTCGAACAGCTGGATGAAGTAATAGACGTGATCCACCGGCAGGGTCACCGCCTGCTCATCCGTCGAGGGGGCTTCAGAAGATTCAGGGGCTTCAGGGGCTTCAGTCGCTGCCGGTGCGGCCGGGGGAGCGGCCGGCTCAACCGGCGCGGGTGTGGGTGCCGGCGCCAATTCCGCAATGGGGGCCGGCTCCGATGGCTCAGGCTCCAACTGCTGGACATCGGACGCAATGATGGCCGCGATGACGGCGTCATTATCGGCGTCGCCGGTCAGAGAGTCCTGGCGGGCAGGTTCTGCGGAGGGAATGACCGGGGCAGGGGATGCGGTCGGGGCCGCGGCCTCAGCCGGAGTACTTGGCTCTGCCGGGGCTGGCGTCTCCACTGGCGCAGCGGGCTCCGCCCGGACCGCGGGGTCAACCACCCCGTTGACGACGCTGTCGTCCGACGACTCCGCCGGTTGCGACACCGTGCCGGACGAACTGGCGAGCGCCGCGTCGGCGCTGCCCGTCGACGGCCGGTCGGGCTCCGCGCCCGCCTGCTCCGGCACGGCCTCCTCCACCTTGTTCGTGGCTACCGCCGCCTCGCGGGGGTCGGCCATGGCGAAGTACTTGGCGTCGCCGTCCGACACCACCTGCATCCAAAACCGGACCGGGCCCAGCGACCCGTCCACGGTCGCCGTGAGGTCGGAGACCCGCGAGAAGGCCAGCGTTGGTCCGAATCGCTCGCGCGTGTGGCCGATCTGCCATAGCCGGACGTGCTCAGGACGTAGGGGTGCGTCTGGGTCGGTGGAGTGGCCCCCCGCGATCGTCTTCCGCAGGTCCTGCAAGGTCGAACCGCGCGGCACCGTTAGGTGCTGGACGCGACCGGCCGACTGGGCCTGCGCCATGAGGTCGTACGTGTCGAACAAGCTGCCGAGCAGGTCATAGTCTGGCATGGTATACACCTCCACCGGCACCGAGTCCGGTGTCGGGGCCCCGTCCGGCGTCGGCACGGGGAGGGTGCCCTGCTCGAAGTACGTCTTCATCGCGGCGGAGGTCTCCCACGGGCCCTGGGGACCGGGAAGGAACTCGTCGACGACATCGGCGCGGATGTACATGACAGCAATGGCGACGTCGTGGCCCGTCTTGTGGTCCGGCTTCTGGGACGCGTCGAGGCCCAGATGTGGGCCAAAGGCCGTCTTGCGGGTCAGGCATTCGACGCGGTTATCGCTGCCGTCGTCGAAGGCCAACCACCGCGTGCCGGGTCCGCCCGGGCGCAGGATGCTGAAGAACTTGCCTGAGGTGCGGCGCCCGCGGTGCACGACGTAGCCATACAGCACATACCGGCCGCACTCGCCCTCGAGCACCCACGGGGTCAAGTCGACCTCCTCGTCGGGTTCTACGCGGTTGTAGAGCAGGCGCCACTGGCGGGCCGCCTTGTCCAACCGCTGGCGGTTCAGCTCGACATGGAGGACGGGGGGCAGGACCCAGCGGCCCGGCTGCGCCCCCAGGTACCCCCGCAACGCCTCCTGGGTCGACGCGGCCTGGTCGGCGGGCACGCGGATGCGGGAGTTGGCCTCGCGGGGGAGGGTGTGGATACCGCCGGCCGGCTCCGGGGCGTCCCGCAAGATCGCGGCCGGCGCGGGCGAGTCGAAGAGGCGCGCCAGGTCGTCGGCGGCGGCGGTACCGGTCAGCTCGAGCTGGAGGGTCCGGCGGAGCGACTCCCAGAACTCGCACACGTCCCCGGCGTACTCGTGCAGGTTGCGCAGGGTCGAGGTGATGGCGTCGGTGTCGACGTACTGCAAGGATTGGTCCCGGGCACGCAGCTGCCACAGGAACTTCTGCAGGGCATCGCACAGCGGCTTGGGTTTCACGACGCCGTTGGTGTGGTGTTCCAGCACGTTGGCCTGCTGGATAATGCGGCCGAATGGGGCCAGGTGCAGCCAGCTGGCTAGGCCAGCGACCTCGGCGCTGTGGTTGATGACCGAGTCTCCCAACGGCCGGTAGCCCGTCAGGCCTAGGCTGTCCCAGGTGGGTTCGGAGTCGCTGGCGTGCCACCAGAGCGAGCAGGTGGGGTCGTCGACGACGCGAATGTAGGCGTCGAAGGCCAAGGTATCACCACGGAGCAGGGCCTGGCGCTGGCCGCGCTGACGGCGGTGGATCTGGTCCCAGGGGCCGTGGAAGTTGGTCCATCCCCAGTCCAGATTGTGGGGGTTGAACTGGTGGGAGGACGACTGCATCCAGCCGGTGCGCGGCTCATCCGGGTTGTAGAGGATGACGCCAATCTGGGCGGAGACACGCCACGTCTTGGGGCCCGTCCCGTCGCACCTCGCGGCGGCGGGGTACTGGGCCTTAAAGGTATCCACCCAGGCCGGATCGGCCGGGGGCAGCGCCGTGCACACTTCCTCCTCGTCCTTGCCCAGCGGCTGGCCGGCGGGCCCGCGCCGTACCGCAAAGTCGGTCTCGGGCAAGGTCTTGTCGCCGGATGGCATGGTGGGCGAGCACTCGAGGTAGATACTCAGGGAGCCGACATTGTTACCACGGGGGAAGAACTTGATGGTCCACCAGTATCCGCCGATGTAGGCGGGCGGGGAGCGCATGATCTTGGCACGGTTGGGAGCATCCTTGGTGCCACGTACACCCTTGATCCGCCACGTCATGCGACCCTTCTCAACGGGACGGTACTCGGGATCGTCGAGATCTGGGTGGAAGTTCTTCTCCCAGTACGGATCTAGCCGGTCAGCACCTGCGTTGGTCTGTCGGAGGCCTGGTGATAGCTTGACACTCACATTCGTAAGCACTGTAGTCCCCGTCCGCGGCAGACTCGATCTCCTTCATCTCTGCCTCGTCGGGCAAGGAGGTATCCTCCTCAATGTCCGCCCAGTAGGCATTCTCCAGCTCGGGGGGCGCTGGACGGGGCGGGGTGGTGGTGGTGGCGGGGGGTTGGTCTCCATGATCCCTAGAGGCCTCCTGGGAGTCAGGCAACGGCTGGGCCTCTGGCCGAGTCTCGTCACCGGACGGCTCCAGGGCCGTGTCGAGGATCAGGGTGGGTTCCACGGGGGGATTGTCGGCACTGAGGGTGATAGGGGGAGGCACCGGCTGCAACGCAACGGGTGGTTCCTGGGGGGGATCCATGGTGTGGATTCCGGCAAGGATGTAGACTCTGGCAAAAGAATGACAATGGACCAGGCTGTGAGCGCAGAATGAATATATAGGATGACTCTAGGCAACCGTGGGCGAGGCTACAAGTGAGTCAACGAGCGAGAGAATGAGTCAACAACGCAGCCCAGATCGGCGGTTAGGAAACCAACATAGATCCAGGACGGAGAGGTCTATGTGTCGACCGGTCCACGACGAATTCGAGGATGTCCAAAGCGAAACAATGGATGAACAGAGTAAAAGAAGGATGAACAAGAAGAGAGAAAGAGAGAGAAAGAGAGTGAGAAAAAGAAGAAGAAGAAGAAGAGAGGAAGAACGAGGAAGATAAGACGGGGCAGCCTTAGGCTTATCAGCCCAAAAGATGGGGCGCACTAGGCCGGATGCGGTTTAGAGCGGAAGGGTTGGGGATCGCCCGATCGGATGGCGATACTGAAGGAGATCCAATCCGAGGCAAATAACCACGCAAGGTCACGAAGTCTGCAGAGAAATGAAGGACGGCCAACAGCAAATTGAATGCAACTCTCACCGAAAGAAAGAAGTCTCAAAATCGATGTTGGGGAGAAGGAGAATAAAAGAAGAGAATGAGGCGCACACCGCTGGTTGGGGCGGATCGGTCGGCGGTGGCAGAAAAACGGTGATTGGTCCCCGGGAGTTGCCACCTGAGGCAGTTTGAGGAGGTGCCTGCAAATCCTGCCAGTTCCTACCGTTGGTTCAGGTGTCGAGGCCGGGTTGCCCCTGGCGGGTACGGATACCGGATGCGGTGATCATTAATATATATTATATATTAATATAGGATCTATTATATAATATTTATACGCAACATCAAATATGATATACAAGTGATCATGGTAATGTTGATACTCCAACAATGTTCATGTTCAAATATCGATAACGGTCTAGGCCGTCTCCACACGGCCTGAGGCACCGGTCGCCGCCAGACCCACTTCGGTTATTCGGCTGTTCTATATTTGACATTTCATACGGGGGACCCAGAGACCCTGGACCCGAATGAGGAAAGGAACTGGAGAAAAGGGGAAAGTAGAGAAGAAAAAAATGACAATTGACAAGAATTTCACAAAGAAAGGAAAAGAAGGAGAAAGGAAGAAAATGATAGTCCCTCTAGTCAATGGAATTATGTACAATCGAATCATCTCTAGACACCACGTTTCAAGGACCAGATGCCTCCGCCGACGGTTCAGACGCCCGTGCAAACGACCCCGCCACGATCAACGGCACCACCACGGTTGCCTCAGCAAACACCTTGACCGACGAGGCGTTGGGCTTGATCTTGCCCCAGCTGACCGCCTCGTCCGGCCGGGCCCCCGCGTCGCTGCCGTCGAACTCCTGCCCCGTGTTCACGTACACCGCGTGTTCCGCCCCATTGCGCATCAGGCACGCGTTGGCGATGTGGTGCTTGATCACCCCGCCCCCGAGAATGATCATCCCCGCCCGCGCCGCCTTCATGGCCATCAGGTTGATCCGCCGCACGTCCTCCACCACGTCGATTCGCAGCCGCTGCGGGTCCGATCGGAACGTGTGGAAGGTCAGCATGTCGCCCAGGCTCCCGTCCGTCAGCGCGGGGCAGAACACCGGGATCCCGTTGCGCGCGGCCCAGTAAAGCACCGAGTCCTCATTGTCGATCTCGCGCCCCAGCCGCTCCGTCACTCGGCTCGGCGTCCAGTGGAGCTCGTCCTCGTCGTTGCCCGTCTCCCGCGCCTTCTGCTTGGCGGCCTCCTGTTCCGCCAGCATCTGGTCGAAAATGGGCACGATCCAATCCTCGAACGCGCAGTAGTTCTTGTTGGGCACCACCAAGTTGCCGATCCGGTTTAGTCCCTTGGCCCGGAGACCTGCCCCGGCTGCCGCGAAGGTGCCCATGTACGTCGGACCCAAGCACTTGATCAGATCTTCCTCCACGCCGCCCGCCGTCGTGACGATGGCCGACACGTGCTTGTGTCGGACGAGGTAGCGCAGGGTGTCCCGAAGGCCGGACGAGATGAGGTTGGAGGTGTAGCCGAGGAAGATGGTTGTCTTTTCGCCCGTTTCGGGATGTCGATAGGCGCGCTAATCACACACCACAACAGCGGTCAGCGAATGATCTTTCCTGAAAGGAAGACGGACGAGGACATGGTATTTCTTACCATCTCGTTGACGATGCGGGTAGCCTCGGCGACGGCACTGCCCTGGAACCCCATGAACTCCATATTGTCCACCAGCTCCGCCACGGTGATGTCACGACCCTGATACTGTTCAAAGTCGACGCCCTTGACTTCCCGGGCGTCCTCGGGCGGCGCATCGGACGGCACCAAGACCGCCTCGCGGGCCGAGTCAAAATTGGTGGGATCGGGAGTGGGAGACATGGTGATGAACGACGGCGGGGTCGGTGGAGACGGCGGAATTTCGACCGGACGAGGGGGAAGAGAGGAGGGGTGGGGTGGATAGATCGATAGACGTAGTCCTCTTCATGCAACGCAATACCAAAATGTTATAAATGAAAAGGAGAGTTGTGATCCATAAATGCGGGAGACAGGAGCATGGCGACCGAAAAAGTGACGGAGAAAGAAGGAGGGGAAAATCTCGATAATCAGATGTGGGTGCCTGGGGCAGCCACGGAGGGGCGAAAGCCTGCGCCAGGCATGCAGGCACCCAGGCCCCCAGGCCCCCAGGCATCCAGCCCATTGACTTCCCTTTCCAGAAGGAAATTAATGAAATTCACCCATCAAACCCAATCAATCCAATTCTCCATCCATGGATACTCCTGGATCCACTTCCAACTTCATCTTCCCTCTTTTAGTCTAGTTGCTGCGGTGGAAAGTCTGGGACTCCCATCTCAACGACTCCTCCCTCCTCACAGGCTCCATTCAAGGTTCTCTCTTTCTTTTCTCCTCATCCTGCCTGAACATCCTTTTTATCAACCTCCGCGGCAACGATCGATGAGAGTATTCGAGTCCAGAATCCCTTCATTACCCATTGTGATTCCTTCATTAGTCGTCTCCGCTTTCGACCGTTCTTCCGATCTATCGCGTCTCCTGGACGTTTGTTTGTCTCCGAATCACCTCCGGTTGTCACATCCGGCGTCCCTGCGGCGTGACGAGATTTTGCTCCCCAGTCCGTCGGATTTCGAGACATCCGACGCAAGGGTCTAGTCATCAGTTTGGGATTTTGTTACCCATCTTCTTCGTCTAGAGTCGGACGGTATCGTCTTTAATCCCGGTGCACCATTTCATCGGATCGGTTTTGGACAATAGAGCAACGTTGATGTTGCAGACGGGGAGAGCTGGGTTTCTTTGTCGTGGTACGTTCGATTTTCATTTTTTTTTTCCCTTCGATTTTAATTTTTCAATTATTATTTCGATATCATGTCAGTTTTGATTTTATTTTTTGTCTTAAATTGTTTCTCGTCAACCTTTGTTTTTAAATATTTGTTTGTGATTTTATTGGCTCTTGGTCATCTCGTTCTTGAATGTGGCCCCGTCTCCCTCGTCTCCCGCATCATTCTTGTTGGGTTTCTCCCCCCGAGGGATCCTGGTCAATGGATGGACCGTGTCGTTCGATCAGCCAAGCCTTTTCCACCTTTCCCAGACGATCGTGGCCAGACAGATTGGCTCCTCTGCACACCCGAGGGCGTTTCGTGGCGCCCGCTAGACCGAATCGCCGTGCACTGGCTGGCATTATTCCTGACTCATCTGCATCCCGACTGCGTTGTGAACGCCAGCGCCCGATCCGGCCTAGTGCCTTGGCCCGTGCCCTGCCCACGCCGTCGCCGGTCACGTGGTCTCCGCATCCCCCGTTCGCGCTTCTGCCATTTCTGCTGCTGCTCTCGCGGGTCCTCCTGTCGCGCTTGCATGCTTCATCCTCTTCCCCCTCGGGTCGGGATCTGCCTCCAACTGTTGTTTTATTTGCATTCGTCACTCCTTCGATCGTTCTGTGGTTGCTACCTTTCTTCTTTGCATTTGCGGGTGGATACCTTTCTTCAACCCCCATTGCTCAGTGCACCTCACTAACCCGCCCTGTACGGCAGTCCCTCCCTCCTTCTCTGCCAAGTTCTTCCTTTCCCCCCCATCGCTTTAGCATGATCCGGTGATGTCGTCACGATACCCCCATCCCTCAGGCTACGGGGCTCGAGACCGTTCGCCACAACGCTTTCCCGACCGTCGACCACCGGCTGGTCCTCGTGGCTCCGACGATGGCAATCTACCGCCGCTCGGGCGAGAACCGCCCCGAGGCCCCAAGGCCCTGACTGATCCCCATCGAGGTGCCCCCTTCGGTGGCCGCGGACGGGGCTACCCTAGCAGAGCGGATTTCCGGGACCGTGATCGCGACCTCCGCGACCGCGATCGAGATCGGGACCGTGACCGTGACCGAGACCGAGACCGCGATCGTGATCGAGATTTTCGTGATCCCCGCGATGGCCCGCCCCCATTCCGGCGAGACCTCGACCGCGACTGGCCTCGACGCGATCGAGACTTCAACCCTCGCGAGCCTCGCATAGGCTTCGGCCGCGGCCGGTCGCGTTCGCCCCCGCTGCCCCCGCTACCCCCACGAGATTTTCGAGACGCACGAGAATCGATAGGAAGGGACCCCGACTTGGTCCGCATGCGCCGCGGATCCCGGGATAGTCTGCTCTCTGTCGGTTCCAACGCCCCCGATACGCCCTCATCCGCGCCGGGACATCACCCACGCAGTGGTCCCATCCGCGGCCGGGGCCGTGGCGATTGGGACATTGGCCGAGGTCGTGGCCGGGCTCCGTATCTGGACGACCGGGATTCCTTCCGCCGTCGCAGTAGATCTCGCGACGGTCGGTGGGACCGCGAGCGGGATCGAGACCGTGACCGCGACCGCGAACGAGACCGCGACCGGGATCGCCTGATGGATCGCGACCGCGAACGGGACCGCGACCGTTTGCTCGACCGGGAGCGCGATCTGGACCGTCGGGACCGGGATCGGGACCTCGAGCGTCGCGAGCGATTCGACCGACGGGACGAGATCGACCGCCGCTTCGACCGGGAGGATCGCGATCGCCCGGGCGACCATTGGAAGCGGGATCGCCCGCCTAGTCGTGCCGAGAGTCGCCTGCCCAGCACCCCGACGCTCCCATCTGGGCCCCCGATGACGCTCCCAGCGGTTCCTCCGTTGGCAGATCGACTACCCGACCCCAGCCCGGACCTGCCCCGCAAGCCGTCGGTCGTCGACAGCCGCCGCGACCTCGACCGGGTCGAGCCTCCGGCGCCGCGCCCGGAACCCGCCAAGGAGGTTCCGCCCCCCGTGAAACGCTCCCCGCCGCCCGCCGCACCGCAAGTGCCGGCCTTTGGGTCGGTCACAGCCCCCATCCCGGGGCTATCGCCGGAGAAGCTGCCGCCGCCGCCCGTGGAGAGCGTTGCTACGGCGGTTACGCCGACCAAACTCGAGAAAGAGCCGGAACGCCCGGAGTCCCCGTCCCGCCCGCCTGTCCAGCCGCCGACGGGGCCCAAGGCGGAACGGACCCCGGCGCCACTGCCGCCGCTGCCCCCAGCGGAGGTGCGCGCCCGACGGGAGGATGCGCCGCGGGACGACGCGCCGGATGTCCAACTGGACCTCCCCGCGCGGCCGCCCAAGCCACCGACGGGCCCCGCCCCCAGCGCTCCCAGCGCTTCCAGCGTCCCAAGCGCCCCGAAGCGGTCCGATCTCTCCCCGCCCACCGCCCCTGCTGCCATGACGGGCAAGGACGCTGTGGTGTCTCCGCTGCAGTCGCCGTCCGCCATCCGCCCGCCGCCCACCATGCCCTCACCGGAAATGACGCGCACCCTTCCTCCGGCCGGTCGGGGGTCGTCCCCCGACGCTCTGACCTCTCCACGCCCGCAGCCCGCAGGGGGCATCCCCACCGGTCCCCGGGCCCTTCAGCATCGCGGCTCCATCTCCCGTGGCCCTAAGGGCATGAAACAGTGGGTGCGTCCAGGATACCCGCGTCCGCCGCCGGCAGCAGGTGCGGCAGCACCCCCAAAGCGCGAGTCGATCGATGCCACGGCGCAGGGTCCGCCCAGCCCCGATACCGGCCGACGCGATTCACACCTGTCGGTCGATGACGGGTCGGGGCTAGAAGCGGGCGAGATTGCCCCCGAGCCGGAGGTGTTGCCACTCAAGCGCGAGCCGCCACGGTCCTCCACACCCCCCACCGTCATGGAGGTCAAGGCCTCACCCCCGCCCACGACCCGTCCGCCTCCTGAAGCGCCGGCGGAGGCACCTCCCGAGGGGCCGGCGGAGGCACACCCTGCTGCGACGGTTGACGATCACCGGCCCCAGCCCATCCCGGATTTCGCCCGATCAAGCGACGAAGAGGAGGAAGAGAATGTGGTTTTCACCCAAGATTACCTCGAGGAACGGCAGCGCATCTTCGAGAAGGACCTGACCGCGCTTCGAGCCGATTTGCCGCCGTCGCCGCTGACCGACCCGACAATTGTGAACCTGCTGTTGCGCATCCAGCTTCTGGGCATGATCGCCAACGAGACGTCCCCACCCCGACCGCCCACGCCGGCTCCGGCTCCGGCTCCCGTCGAAGGGGGCGAGAAGCTGGACGGGAACCCCCCGGTGCTCTCCGTGGATGCAAAGCCAGAAGCCCCGGCAGATGGTCTGGAAGCTCCGACCAAGATGGACCTGGATACCCTCCCCCCGGCCGATGCGGTCACTGTCGACCACCTTCCTTTCCTTCATTCGGGCCCGCCCACTCCCTTATCGGATCTGGACTCCTACCACGCCAACAAAAACGCGAACGAGGCGCGGAAAGACGTCTTCCATGCGGAGATGATGAAGCGCCGCAAGGAGGTTGCCCGGAAGAACGCGGCGCTGCGTCAAGAGTATCTCAACTTCTACATCCCCTGGCGGTTGCAGATCTGGGACCTGGACCGTCAAAAGAACAAACCCATCGTTTCTCCAGATCCCGCCTCGCCCCCCGCGGGTGCTCTGGCCGTTACGCCCACGCCCGTTCCCGAAACCCGCGAAGGCCGCGAAGCCCGCGAGGGGCGGCGGTACAAGGGCAACAGCGAACTGGACTTCCAGAATGCCTTGCGTGCCTCGGAGATCTCGGCCCAGGAAGAGCTGGAACGGCGGCGCGGGAACAAGATCACGGCGCACCCGGATCTCGCGCGGGAGGCAGAAATTCCTGACATGCTGGAGCTGCCCGAGGCCCGCGCCCGCATCTACAAGGATACCAACAACATTGTCGATGCGGCCAAAGCTATGGAGGTCTTTGAGTTCTCCCCGCCGCCCGACGACTTTACCCCTGAGGAACACGAGATTTTCACCGACGCCTTCATGGCCTACCCCAAGAAATGGGGCAAGATCGCCGAATCTCTGCCCGGGCGCGGCTACGCCCAGTGTATCGTCCACTACTATCTCACCAAAGAGGAGATCAAGTATAAGGCGAAACTCAATAAACGCTGGAGTCGACGCGGCCGTGCCCGGCGCTCCGCCCGTCCCAAGTCCAACGCTCTCATGGTGGATCTGGGCGTCGTCAAGCCCGACTACGTTGGCGAGGAAGAGCCCGCGCCCGTCACGGACACGGGCCGTCCACGGCGTGCTGCGGCACCCACGTTTGGAGACTCGTCCGCCGACGCCGATCATTCCAACGGTCGCCGGGGCAATTCCAGCAAGGATGGGGAAGCGCCCGAGAAACCGGCCGGTCGTCGCGGCGGTGCCCGTACGGGTGCCGGTACTCGTGGAGGTCGACGAGGCAAGGCAGCGCAGCAGCAGCAACTACAACAACAGCTTCTGCAGCAAAAGCAGCAGCAGCAGCAGAAGACAGCGGCACCGACTGCAGCCGAGCCGCCCGTCCCTCCCGTCCCGGTGGGTGTGGTGGCGTCCCCTGCGCCGCCGACCAAGGTCGAACCGGCCGGGGTTTCAATGGATGGCACCATAGAGACGACCGTTCTACAATCCAGAGAGCCCGTGGAACGGGCTCCAGCCGAAGCTCCCCCGCGCGTGAAATCGGGACGTGGTCGCCAGCGAGATTCGGCGTTCGTCGAGTCCACCGAAACAGAGAGCCCAGGGGCCTCGGCGGGACGGCAGTCGGAGAGTGGGCATGGCTCTTTGCAGCCGACGAGTTATTGGTCGGTCCCTGAACAACGCGACTTCCCTACTCTGCTGGCCCATTTTGGTCGCAACTTCGAGGGTATCTCAAATTTTATGAAGACCAAGACGACAGTGATGGTCAGTACCCGTTCCAACTTTCCTTTTCTTTTTTTTTTTTCTTTTTTTATTTTTCTTTTTTAATACTGTGCATCGCTAACTCCCCATCAGGTGAAGAATTATTTCCAACGGCGCATCGACTCCGGTCAAAAAGACTTTGACGATATCGTGGCGGACGCGGAGAGTAAGAAAGCTCGTGGTGAACGAACCGGCCCTCTTCCAACCCCTAACCCGGCCTCCAAACGCCGCTACGAAGCCACCCCCTCCTCCATCGTGCCGCGACCTCTGGCGCCGCACACGGAGGCTGCCTCCGAAACGGACGACGGCCGACTGGCACCCACGACCCAGGCGGTCGCTGCAACTCAGCCCGTTCATTTGCACGCGCGCGCACCGACGGAGAAGGAACGCTCGGTATCCCGCTATCCGCCGCTGGCTCAAGCCAGCAGTGCACCGATCGCTCCCGGCACCGTGCTGACCGAAGACCCCGCGCGAGGGATGCGTCCGCAGGCAGCCATGTCGTCACGGATGCCCGGTCCGCCCTTGGGTTACTTCACTGAGGACCGACGCGAGATCCCTGCGGTACTGCCTCATGCGACCCCGCGATCTCAGGAGACAGCGTCCTTGACCGCACGACCGACGCAGGTTTCTGCTGCAGAGATGCCGCGCATGGAGCCGTTGCCTAGTCATGGATATCGCCCCGCCGACGTGCATGGGTCGCCTCTCCTCGCTGGCCAACCCATCATCCAGTCATCGCAGCAACCTTATATGCAGTCTACCCTAATGCCGTCGGCCTCTCACTCACGGCAGACCAGCCTCAGTAAGCCGCCGGGCTCACCCGCGCAGCCGCTGCATCGATCGGAGGCGGACGTCTCGCCCATCCGCCGTGACTCGGTGAGTCAGCGGCCGTTCTATGCCTACCCGGGCCAGCATCCTGCGATGGCACAGCCTCCGCCTGTTTTGTCACCGGCCAAGGAAGTCCCGCGGCCTAGCTCCACGCCTCTCGAGCCGCCCGAGGCGCCGCGCCAAGTCCTGGCAAAACGGTCCAATATCATGAGCATTCTCAATGACGAGCCCGAAGAGCCACAGCCGCGCAAGCGGTTCGCTAGCGACCAGGCGTCGGTGTCGGGTGGAGGTGCGGTGTCTCCGTCGCGACCCGTGTATGCCGGGGCACCATCCTACTCGCAGCAGCCGCCCGCACGACTGGAAGAACAGAAACCCCCACTGTACAGCCAGCCCAGTTCGTATGCCCCGCCCCCGCGTGGCTACTCGGAGTATCAGTCGTACGCGCCCATGTCGGCCGGCTCGGCGCCGGCAGGCAACGACTGGATGGCTCGATTCGATCCCCGCGGCCAGCAACCGACGCCCCAGCAAGCGCCTCCGCCGCAACCTAGCGCTCGCCCCCCTGCTTCCATGGCCCCGCAACCGCCCTTTTCTCCCTTCACGTCGGCTCAATCGCTATCCGGGCCGTCCCTGTCGAACCTGACGGCGCCGTCCCCCGCCCCGACCCCTTCGCCGGCACCCTCCCAACGGCCCTACGCCGGATCCGTCTACACTGCATCACCCGCAGCACACCCTGCGTCGGTGTCGCGCGAGCTTCCGCCGCAGAGTGCGATGTACAGACCCAGTATCGGATCACCGAACATGCGGAATACGGGCATCCCGTACGGGTCTCGCGCGGGGCCACCGACCCCCATCCAGTCTCCGTCCAGTCTTCTCGGGGTGGGTCCCCGTCAGGCCTCGGCGACCACGTACGGCTCACCGGTCCCAGCCCATGTGCAAGGCCCGCCTACCCCAGTCGGTCATCAGTCTTACCAGCAGCATGTTCAGACCATGGTCACGGGGGCGCATCAGCCACCAGGGCATCGGACTCCGCTCGGGTTCAACGGGGGCCCGTATGGTCGCAGCACGCCCCCGCCCCCACCGCCCTCACAGACCTCGCGCGGTTCCGTCCTGACGGGCGGTCCACCCCCGGGAGTGTCCATGGCGAGGCCATACAGCCCTCCCACGATCCTACAGCCCAGCCGCGCGGCGGGTCTCAGCTATGCCGCTGGTGGACCTCCGCCGCCAGTCGGGGCCGTGCACCCGTACCAGACCCGCCCGGGGACCTTGGCCGAGGTGGTACACACACCCGGCCACCACCGTGGCTACAGTCAAGGGTCAAACGTGGGTCTGCCAGGATCAGGCACGCCGCAGCATCCTCCCCGTTAATCCCCCCCTCTACCCGTCATGTGATTGATTGGGTACCTTGCATGTCTGTCTATATCATTGTTAGTGTATTGTAGACTCTCATTTTCATTCTCCTTTGCATGTGCTTTCATCTCTCCTTTGTTTCACCGGCTGGATGTCGGATGCATGTACACTAAATGAGGAATGGATCAGTGGTGTGTCGTTGAGGTGTTATCACCGGCAGCACGACCACTACACGAATTTTCACCCATTGACGGCGTAAGAATTAGTACACCCGTAGTATGATATGTCCCAGCTGGTGGGTGGACTAGTCTCTTTGACTAGTGTTACTCGTGCTGGAGCTCTGTGTGTAAATAGCTCGCCCGTCCCGCCTGGTGCCATGGTAGCCTCCGAATGATGTCGTGAAACATGCAGTGGGCAAACGTCAGCTGACTTGCAGCATTTCCCCCCACGAATTTTGGGTTTGATTCTTGCAATCTTGTGAATGTTCATGACATTCCCATGGTCTTTTAAGAGTTGTCAAAAAGACGAACAGTTTTGGTCTATTTCATTGGTCTTCCCACAGTTAGCACAGATATACTGACTACTTATATATATATATTGATGAAGTAGACTACAATACCTACCCTACAAAGATACCGCCCCCATATATCTCAATATTATGTATGGATCAGCCAGAGAGGCAGAGTATAAACCATTCGATAGTCCTAGAAAGGGATAGCTGTTGGTATCACACGCTTCGACTTTAGAACTCGAGGACCAGCTAGATGCCTCAGACCAACAGGCGGATTAGAAAGAATCGCTGTCAGCATGTACTCTCAGCCCTGCAGGGTTTGACCCCGTACCATAGTATGCTGACGGCTGTCGAGATATCATTGGTGTCCCTTGATTCTGCGTGTGGGTCTTTCTAGCCTTGCATTCATCGGGTTTGTGACTCTCACTTGCGCTAGATTGGATTGGTGGCCGACGATGGCTACATGTCCCTCCTGCATAGTTTGTGCGGCTAGCCAGCGTCGGCATTCAGACTCCACTGTTGTCTAGAATGATAGCTGGCTGCCCGTCGTCGCATTCAGAATTGTAGGATACACAGCTGGTTTGTGCCAGCCAGCAGACTCGAGCCGAGTCCCAAAGGATGAGCTGGCTGAAACACGTCGGATATGAAATATTTTAGGAGACAGCGCTGATCCGTCTTATACTCGGGGCGACATGAGGGCTTCTCAGGGGAAGAGTAGTCGAACTGACAATAATATAAATAGAGACAGTCGGGCCCTCAAATCCCCATAACACACAACCGTCACAGATAGTATTTCAATTTGAGATCAAGAGCACGCAACCCTCACCGTTTACACACTTCGTCCTAGTCACCCATCATGCGCTTCAATTACCTCTTCTTCGCCGCGCTTCTCGCGGGGTCTGGTGTTGCTCACGAGCGTATGTTCACTAGCCCACCTGCTCCCCAGTTCACCGGTCGACAGTGACATGACTGACCTGTTATACAGTCAAAGACACTGGCGCTGCCCCCACTGTCAACTGCAAATGGGAAGGGACTGCACCTTCTTGCTTTCCGAAACCTTGTCTCCAGGGAAACAATCCGCGTCTCCATGACTTACAGTGGAGCGATTGGGGCGATGGTCCTACATGCACCAAGGGATATAAGAGATGTTGTTGCGCCGATGATAGTCAGAAATGCCCTTTCCTATCCTGGTTCTCGTGATCGGTGTCTTGGGACTCGATACTAACTCTTGTCCAGGTGATGCATCGAAAGCTTGGTGCAGAAACACCAATAAGCGCCGTGAGTAGCCACGGTATGAGAGTCTATAGCCCGTGTCAGCCTTCACAGCTATATCTTCTTGTCGGTTGGATGTGGATTTGGTAGGTGAAATCATGATATCGGGGGGACCTTGAGGAACACCAAGTATCCAACTGCATTTCGGACAATCAATACATTGCATTTTGACAGAGTATATCAGTAGCTTAAGTGCGAGTTCTCACCTAGAGCATCAGTGAGAGGGTACTGGGAGTTGGTGGAGGCATGAGGTCTTATCATCGGATGTATGAATATATAAATATCAATCGAATTGATTTGGAGGCCTGCAGGGAGATGTGGGAGGAGAGAGTGTGGTTGGATATGGATTGGCAGTCACCTGGGGGGCTTCTGGGTTTGGAACTACGGTGTCATGTCTAGGTCTGGTATGTTTGTCTGTATCTGCCACTCTCCATGAATACATACTGTGAATCTAGGGTTTCATTTTAATAGTCAACAGGTCAATCAAATCTTCGCTGATGGTAGCTCATATACGGGCTTCTTTTACCTAGGCTCGGACTCGCATACTGTCTAGTGTCTAGACTAGTTGGGAACCCTACCGACGTATTGCTCCTAATCAAGTCCTTTTCATAAGAAGAATGATATATTTGATAAAACTAACAACTCCATAAAATGTAAACTGCCGGCGGTACCACCCGTTGGCGGCCGTCCGCATACATGAGGTAGTTACATGGACGGTGATATAAACATGGCCACGCAGGCATAGATAGGAAAAATCAACGATCTTCTCCCCCGGACAATTCCCACGGTTCAGATCAAATGTGTGGAATATACATCCAGATCACCAGGGCGTATCAGCGGGCATAGTCTTGTCACCCTCGCAAGGGACAGCGCAGCTAGACAAGTCATCAACACCAGGCTCTATCATAAGGATGAAAGGGAAGAAAACTCACGTATATCCAAAGACCATACCACCCTTGTGGAATTGATCCTTGACACCGCCGGAGCACAGTCCCTCACCGTACTCCTTATCCACATCCCCGGACATGGACTCCCAGGTGTTCAGAATGATTTCATGATCATCCCGATAAAAGGTAATCTGAGGATTGCAGATGCCCTCTCCCTGACAGCCTTTCGCCCCTTCAATGTCCTCATTGACCTCGTCCTTATCTTTGGCTGTGAAGACAATGCTGTATCTCCCAATACCACTTTCATAACATGTTAGCTCGGGGAACTAGTTGCCTTGCTGATAGAAAACTTACGGGTCGGTGAAGTATTGTTTTCCAGAAATCTTTTTCTCGTCATCCCACCAGCACACATTCCAGTCTCCATCATGCTCTGTAGCTTTTCTTTCTTTCCCGGTATTTTCACCAGGGGTGGTGTTCACGTTGCAATTTCCCTGGTCTCCTGTCAGTCTCAGTTCACCCAGGTCTCATTGTGCCCGGATATCCACTTACCCCACCTTGGGTAGAGATGTACATCAGACAATTCCCAGACTCCGTCTCCTACACAAAAGTCAGCGGCTGATGGATAGATGTGTATCTTCAAACCAGGATCTCGCCCCACCCCCATCGGCAACATACAAAAGGGCGGGCCTTTCCGTAACCCAGATGGTCCAACCGACCCTCGGTCCTGTGGCCGACCTTGGTACCCTTAAGATACTTGATGAACATTCCCGCCGCACGGATGGGATTTCGCTTCTCCAATCCCCTTTCTTCAAAGGCGGCATGATCAGGAGGAACGGCTAATGCGGACGACGTCGCCGTCAAGCAGAGTAGCGGTACGAGGAAGTTCTTCATCGCGATAGGCACGAAACCGGGTTAGGTGATAGTCGATATAGATTTGTTTTGAGGATAGGATGGCTTGCTGGCAACTGAAGGAGCTGATTTACTTCTCTTCTTCTTCCACTGGAAGGGCAAGCAGCTACCCTTTTATAGCCCATCCCAGGGCCTTGGGCCATTTGGATCGGCACAAAACCGTAGCACAGCCTGCGCCCGCGATCTGTTTCCTTTCAACACCCCATCCACGAGAACTGCCCTGACTGGGCTTCCCTCGGGGATACAGGATTGCTGTTACGGAATCCTCATGTTCAGATGGAGAGTCATGTCAGCCGCAGGGAAGCTTGGCACGGGGGCCAAATTACAGCCTATCCTATAACCTTCGGCCATCCCGCCGTGCCCCCGTTGCAACTAGCTGCTTTCATATAAGCCCTGTAGCCTTGCGCGCTTGGCGTTCGTAGGAGTAAATCCCTCCCAAGGGACCACTGTCCCCATTCTGATAAGTCTCGTCGTTCTACTGCACTTTAGGGCGGAAAACGTACAGTGCACTGCCTGGAGCTGAAGGGTAAGCACCCCCACTTTCCTGTCATTGCGGGATCTTGCGTAGATCTACTCCGTGTATACATGGTACATACTATGCACTATGCTTGGGTCAGTCTGCCTTGGTGCTGATGCCCTTGGCCTGGGAATATCGAGCACCGCAGAGCGAGAGACATCAAAACGACCGGCTAAAACTCCGTAAATCTCTGCAAGCCACGAGATGTTCCCTGTTCGACCTCTTGATTAACCCGCGGGTTCAACCCAGGCGGAGTATTTCCCAAGAGTCTGCCTTGCAATGAGCGCGTAATATTCTCTGTCGAACTGATCCGCACCCTACTCACTGTTGTCTGACGGCCACCTCATGGCGCTATCTAGACGCTACTACCTTCTGGTATCGGGTCGTCACCGAGGAATATATCCGTCGAGACTTGGACCATATTCACAACTTGATTTTCACGGTCGGTTACGCAGTGAAGGTTTCCAAAAGACGGTAGAGGCACACAATAAAGGCTCACCTATCACCACGGAACTACCTGACGGAAGCCAGATCAAGGCAGCTCACGCACCCAGAGTTATACGCAAGGGGTAAACTCGCGCTGACTCTGACAGCGAGCCATGAGCTCGAATCTGACCGCCGCCCGGTGTGGCTCTTGCATGATATGACTGCCCTGCTCGCTGTCGTCTTCAGGGCACCGTTTTCAGGGCACACGCCATTGTGATGTCATTCAATCACAGCCAGACTGTCTCACTGGTGAGGGGCAATTGTCAATCAACTACCTAGTGCCATTGCGTCATAACAGCCCCCGGTCCTCGGATTACCCTTTCGAGCCATCCGACAAGCGCCACGGCCAATCACTCGGCCAAGGTACACGTCCCCTGAACTGGATCAGGGGATTTTCAGGAAAGACAAAATAACAATGGCTCTCCCTGCCAGACGCAAGGATGGTCGCCACTCGCCGACTCTGCGGACTGGCCGACGGCCCGTCCTGACAAGTGGACCGTTTGGGATGGATCACGGGGAACCCGTTCGACTGTCATCCACACGAATCGCCGCCCCATGCGAGGAGACGAACAGGAAATGAGGTAGTGGTGGGACCTGAAGAAGATTCTCTCCTATCCCCTTAGAGAATGGATCTGCAAGTCATACCCAATCGTGAGATCTACACCCGAAGCCGGCGATCCGATGAGGGAAGTCGAGAAACGCCATGACGTCGAAAAACCTGGGGTTTTTGAACGCGGATCGGCGATGGGGTGATCGCATCGACCAGATATAAGGCTTAGATGATCGGTGCTTGATTGCCGATGGTCTTTCATCTTTGTTAACCTTCGACATTTTATCATACCTGTGCTACTTCAAAGGCTCACTTCTACTCATATCTTGTGGCCTCACCATACAATCATCATTTCATTTGATTTGACGATTTCTGTCTCCCATCCCACTCGTCCAAGGTGGTCGGATGCATCGTGCCATCATGGCACCCGACGAGATCACCAATTCGCACACGCCGACCGAGGGCCTGAAGAAGGAGACGGACCGCCCCACGAGTCCTACGCAAATTCCTAAGAACACCCACGCCGAAGATGCAGCGCAGTCGGATGGCGACAGCGACCCGCGCGGCAAGTATACAGCCGACGGCAAACGGGAGCTTACCGAGGACGAATGCTACGAAAAGCTAGGGTTCTGCTTCCCATGGTACAAGAAATGGGCCATCTTGACCGTGATCTTCACGGTGCAGATGTCCATGAACTTCAACTCCAGCGTATATGCGAACGCGGTGACGCCGCTGTCCGAACACTTCCATATCAGCGAACAGGCGGCCCGTGTGGGGCAGATGATTTTCCTGGTCTCGTACGCCTTTGGCTGCGAACTGTGGGCGCCGTGGAGCGAGGAATTCGGGCGCTGGCCCATCATGCAGCTGAGCCTTTTTCTGGTCAATATCTGGCAGATTCCCTGCGCACTGGCGCCCAACTTCGGCACCATCGTCGTCTGCCGGTTCCTGGGCGGTCTCAGCTCCGCCGGTGGCTCGGTCACGCTGGGAATGACGGCGGACATGTGGGAAGCTGATGATCAAGGGTTCGCAGTGGCGTATGTGGTCCTGTCGTCGGTCGGTGGCACCACCATCGGGCCCATCTTCGGCGGGTTGATTCAACAGTGGCTCCCGTGGCAGTGGAACTTTTGGATCCAGCTGATCTTCGGCGGGGTCACGCAACTGATGCACTTCTTCTTCGTGTCGGAGACGCGGTCCACCATCCTGATCGACCGCGAGGCGAAGCGCCGCCGGAAGACCGGCGAAGACCCCGACTGCTACGGCCCCAATGAGATGCGCACGCCGCGCCTCGACGCCAAGGATGTCCTGCACGTGTGGCGCCGTCCCTTTGAGATGTTCGTGCGCGAGCCCATCGTGCTGTTCCTGTCCCTGCTCTCCGGCTTTTCCGACGCCTTGATCTTCACCTGCATCGAGTCGTTCAACCTGGTCTTCAAGCAGTGGGGCTTCCAACCCTGGCAGATCGGCATGTGCTTTGTGGCCATCATTATCGGATACGTGGTAGCGTACGGTATCTTCCTGCCGGACATCTGGCGGCAGCGCCGAGTGCGGCAGAAGCACGGTAAGGACGCGCGCTTTCCCGAGCGGCGCCTGCTGCTCCTGCTGTTCATTGCGCCGCTGGAGACGGTCGGACTGTTCGGGTTCGCCTGGACGTCCATGGGCCCGGACTACACCCACTACCTTGTGCCGTTGGTGTTTGCGTTCCTGATCGCCATCGCCAACTATGGCATTTACATGGCCACGATCGACTACATGGTGGCCGCCTACGGGCCGTACTCGGCCTCGGCCACGGGCGGCAACGGGTTCGCTCGCGACCTGCTCGCCGGGCTGTCGGCCATGTACGCGACGCCGATGTACAGCAACATTGGCGCCAACACGCGGTTCCACCTGCAGTGGGCGAGCACCATTTTGGGGTGTCTGGCTATCATCGTGACGATCCCCATCTACGTCTTCTACTGGAAGGGGCCTGAGATCCGGTCGCGGAGCAAGTTTGCGCAGACCCTGGCGGCTGACCGACGAAAGAGCGAAGGGCGGCGGGCGAGTCGACTGGCAGGAGAGGAGAAGCCGTATGGTGTTTAGAAGAGTATTATCGGGAGGGGACTGTAAATAGTATCACGATTAACGGCATCATGTATCTACGATTTATTCTATTTATTGGATATTCTATTTCCAACCATTTCATTTGTTTTTCTCCCTTACTCCATCTATCTATCTATCTGTTTTCATTTGTTGTATCGCCCTGCATTCCGCGCGGAAGGGCATTCCGAATCACCGCGCGTCTTGATGGACGGAAATCCTCGGCGACGGCGCATCCCCCGCATCCACTATTGATCTGCTGCGTCTTCTCCGCACTCGTCGTGAGCACCAACCGTCTTTCCCTACTCTTCCCCGCCATTTCAGCTCGACGGTCTACTTTCTCCGGGAATAAGCTCGGAAATGTCCCGTGGGCGGAGGTCGCTGACGGGGTGAAGAGCATGACGTTGCGCTGCCTATAAATCCCACCAACCGCTCCATCGAACTCTGTGGACCTCTCCCCGACCAGCGTCTTTGTTGAATTATCTTTGTCTTTTTGTCATCTCGCGATGGCTATCCAGACGGTCGCGATCGCCGCTATTGCGGTGGTCTACTTTATCATCCGCTATTTCAACCGCACCGACGTGCCCAAGATCAAAGGCCTCCCCGAAATCCCCGGCGTGCCCATCTTCGGTAATCTATTACAGCTCGGCGACCAACATGCGACGGTAGCCGGCGCGTGGGCGAAGAAATTCGGCCCAGTTTTCCAAGTGCGCATGGGCAACAAGCGCGTGGTCTTCGCCAACAGCTTCGACTCGGTGCGCCAGCTCTGGATCAAGGACCAGTCCGCCCTCATCTCCCGCCCTACATTCCACACCTTCCACAGCGTCGTGTCCAGCTCGCAGGGATTCACGATCGGTACTTCCCCTTGGGACGAGTCGTGCAAGCGCCGTCGCAAGGCCGCCGCCACCGCGCTGAACCGCCCCGCCGTGCAGTCGTACATGCCCATCATCGACCTCGAGGCCACTGCCAGTATCAAGGAATTGTTCAAGGATAGCCAGGGCGGGACGGTGGACGTCAACCCCACGGCATACTTCCAGCGGTTCGCGCTCAACACCAGTCTGACGCTCAACTATGGCTTCCGCATCGAGGGCAACGTCGACGACACCCTGCTCAAGGAGATCTGCGACGTCGAGCGCGGCGTGTCCAACTTCCGATCGACTAGCAACAACTGGCAGGACTATATCCCGCTGATGCGCATCTTCCCTAAGATGAACAACGAGGCGCAGGAGTTCCGTGAACGTCGCGACAAGTACCTGACTTATCTGCTGAGTATTCTCAAGGAGCGCATGGCCAGCGGCACGGATAAGCCCTGCATCACGGGCAATATTCTCAAGGACCCTGAAGCGAAGCTGAACGAAGGTAACCACCACCCCCATCGGATGTCCCTACTTCCCAGTGCTTGACGCTAATATCCTCCCAGCCGAAGTCAAGTCGATCTGTCTGACCATGGTGTCCGCCGGCCTGGACACCGTCCCCGGAAACCTTATCATGGGCATCGCCTACCTCGCCTCCGAAGACGGCCAGCGCATTCAACAGAAAGCCTACGACGAGATCATGGCCGTGTACCCCGACGGCGACGCCTGGGAGCGCTGCCTGGTCGAGGAGAAGGTCCCGTACATCACCGCCCTGGTCAAGGAGATTCTGCGATTCTGGACTGTCATTCCTATCTGTCTGCCGCGGGAGAGCACTAAGGATATCAAGTACGAGGGGGCTACCATTCCTGCTGGAACGACTTTCTTCATGGTGCGTCTCTCTCTTACCTTCTGTCTCACATTGCTGTTTCCTTCCAGCTTACTAACTGACAATATAGAACGCCTGGGCAGCCGACTACGACGAAGACCACTTCAAAATGGCCGACCGCTTCATCCCCGAGCGCTACCTCGAGGTCGGCGAAGGCTCCGGCACCCCCCACTACGGCTACGGCGCCGGCTCGCGCATGTGCGCCGGCTCCCACCTCGCCAACCGCGAGCTCTACACGGCGTTCATCCGGCTCATCACGGCCTTTACGATGCACCCTGCGCGTGATCCGGCCGATGCGCCTATCCTTAACGCTATTGACTGCAATGCTATTGCCACGGCGCTGACGACCGAGCCGAAGCCGTTTAAGGTGGGCTTTAAGCCGAGGGATGAGGTCTCGTTGCGGAGGTGGATTGAGGAGAGTGATGAGCGGACGAAGGAGTTATAACCTTTTTTAACCCATTTTTCTTTGTTTCTTGTTTCTTGTTTCTCTGGTTTCTTTGGTGTCTTGATGGTATCTTTCCGAGGTTCAACGTGCGTGAAATGATAGAATTTGATTGACTAGGATAGGATATGATGATCACATCGCATGAAGAGTGATCAAAATGGAATGTACTGTATATACTACGTTGGAGTGGGATAAGCGAAATCTCGAAACATATTATGTCTAGCCATTATTCAGCTGAAATATCTCACTGCGGCTCTTTCAACACAATCAAGTAAAAAGAGGCCGTATCTCCTGCTCCCAGTCGAAATTCTCGAACAATGTCTCAAAATCCATGTCTGTATCCCCGGATAAGCCACCTTCGACTGCCCTGGTTTCATCAGAAGGTTGTCCCGACACAGCGCCTGCGCATGCCGACAGAACAGAATCGAGAACCCGCCGGATGTATGCGAGGCCTTTCATGCAAGTATCGTAATCACCTTCTCTACTGGGGAAGAACGTTTCGATCTGTGCTGCAAAAACACTGAGATTCTGAATGATCTTGGATCGAGGAAAGGATGTCCCGCTTGTTGCTTGGTTTGCGGATGACTGTTAGCGGCGGAGCAATTCTTTCGACAAGACGGCAGCGGCTGGAAGACCGATGTAGGAGAACTGATACTGTCAGGAGAGCTGCAGGGGCCGAAAAAGTTGATTTGATACGTACATCGAATATGGTGAGATGACTGACAGGTCCTGCCCGCGATTGCTTGGAGACCAGATCTAGAAGGCCCGCGAGAATATCCTGGGACGTATCGATCAGGGAGTCCGGGATCTCTCCGGTCTTTCTTGCGACTGTCTGGTAGAGAAGAAGGTCTTGATAGAGAAACTCGAGACGAAGCGACGCCGCTAAGGGGTGTGTGTTACTGGGCGACCAGCGGAGGAAGGGAGGAAGTTTGAGTCGTATCTGATTCGACTCGTGACGGATCTTTCTGCGCCCACAATATCAAATTAGCAAAACATCATGAGTATACGTTCAGAATGTACGAACTCCACTCTGTCCCACAAATTATCCACATCGTGGCTGAGCGACAATTCCAAGATCATCTCCCGGAGAATGCTGGCCAGCAGGGTGAGTCGGGGTCTCGCTCCTTTGTCCGGGTCTCCCTGCACATTCCAACCATCTGGATTGAGTTGCTGGATTGCGACCTCCCGAATGGAAGTGTCTGCCACTAGATCTTCCCACCCAATGTCTAGAGGGAACCGTAAGTCACAGTATTGCCGGCATATGCGAGGAGGCCGACCCAAAAAGGTAGCCAGCTCCTTGTCCATCGAGTATGCAGCTACCATGGTTCTGCTGCGGATCTCAGACAAGAAGAAGGGAGTGCGCTCATCAACTGTTCGCTGGTGAAGGCCAAGGGCAAATACCAGGGAAACTACTTCCCCCTGTCTCTGCCATGTTCTGTAATCTTAGACAAGGTCAGATCTCCATCTCAGAGGTAGGCGGACGGAACACTGACCATTGGACCCGTGCATGTCCATCATGAAAACGGTGTGTTGAACGGCTGCCCAGCACAAGGGATCACTGATTACACCAACTTTATTGCAGAATTGCAAGCACATGTCACTAACTGCGACGGCAATCTTTCGCAACCCATGCCGATCTTTCCCCGGGATCCCATCACGCGTGAGGACCCCTTCACCCGGTGCAATCTGATACGATGCGGTACCTACCAAGGCAAAGATTAACCCAACGGTTTCCCATCGCGGAGACACCTGTGAAACATAGTCGGCCAATGTCATGGCAAGATCCATTTCGATCGTGGCGGCGGTGTTGCGGAAAACCAGTCTCGAACCCTCTAGAAGACGGGTATGTCGATTGTCCGCACTGGAATCTTGCACCACACCGTGGTATAGCATTTGCAATCCGAGTAGAGCTTCTCGAATCAGTTGTGGGCCAAAAATCCACCCCTCAAACAGGTCGAACCGCTTTTCAAGCAACTCTGCGTAGAAGGGAATATGGTCTAAGAGTGACAGAATCTGTGCTCCGATTTCCACCATCGTCGAATCGACCGCCGCCGTGTTGATGTCACCGAAAAGACTCAACTGCGACTCACCATCCGAAGCATCATCACCGAAGACCGTTGCATGGCTCGTGGGGCCCAAAAACCCCAGGGGAGAGAATGATTCATCCCGACGCCCGGTCGGCTTCGGTTCGAATCTACGAGCAGGGACGGAGGGCATTTTGTCTACCCAGTCGAACGACTCCCTATTCGACGAGACACCATCATCACCAGAGTGAGATTCTCTCTGGTTTTGATTGCTACGGACCAAGGCTCTCTTCGGTCGGCCTTTGGTGAGAGGGCACGGGTGATAGGTGCATTGCTGTGTTCGACGGTTTGTCACGCACCGCTGACAGACTGGAAGAGTGTGATCGCATCGGAGCTTGGATTTGCGGCATGGTTCGCATGATGAAAGTAGACCATTCCGTCGAGGGGCTGACATGATCTGTGGGGTAGCAATATCCTAGTAGGGAGGATGATCTTGGTGATCAACAAGGAGGTGGAGGGGTGATGGAAAGTGGAAGTGGAAGTGATCAGACAGGTTCAGCGCTATGACTCCATTGGCTGCCGCTAGCCAATGTTATTAGGGAGTAAGCCTCGTGGATTTCGCAGTAGTATGAGAACCGATAGATGTATTGATATTCTGGAAGAGTCCCCGGTGCTCACTAGTCGTGATCTTTATATAAATCATTCCTCTACTATCAATTTGTATGGGAGAAGTTTGTAAGAAATCTAGATTTGGTCCTATAGTAGTATCGTACCTGAAAAGGGTTACCTTTTCCAACCGGGTCGCTCACCCTGTATTGCATATGAACTGTCCATTTTTAAACTTATATATTTCAACGACGAGACATTTGTAGAATTTTAAATCGAACGTCTAGCTTCATTATGTATTATATCTACTGAATACAGGATGAGCGGCTCAGTTGGGAAATACGTTACTTATTTTCCCACTTCGTGATCAAGAGAGATAACAACATTGGTAAAAGTCATTAGTTGATCATAATGAAGAGAACTCAAATATTAAGATTATCCTGATAGGCAGATGGAATAAAAATCAGAATAAAAGCATGGAATCAAAAATAGAACAAGCGTATTGAGTACTGCAATCTAGAAACTCATTAGGTGGAATATCAGGCATATCAAATCCAACCACGATACCGTTCGGTATTGGGGTGTAGTGGCTTGAGAGACAATAGAACAAGGGGATTGAAGACCCTAATCTACGTGGTTGTTCCATTGTATATTCCCTGTCGCATCAACCAGAAAATCATCCCCCCTTCTCCGCCACGGCCAGCCAATCGACCCTCGCCGCCGAGAGTAGTCATAATTCTTCGTCACTGCAGGGCAGTGGAGAAAGTGCTCCGGCAGGTCCGTCACCCGGAAGGCTCGATCATACGCCAATTTCGCCAACGGCTGCGTGGTCCACGATGCCAGTGGAAACTTCGGCCACTTCTTATACAAATATTTTTTGGCCACCTTCTCCTCCCAGTGGTAGGTGCAGGCACGGCAGTACGTGCCCGGCTCGAGGGTCTGCGTCTCACGGTCCCAGTAAGGAAACGCCGTTGTGCCGCAGTGCCGCCAGAATAAGGCGTGGTCGCTGCGGAGCGGGTGCGGCGCGATGCGTCGGCGACGAACAGAACGGTCGCGAAGCCCTCGCCGGAATTGATCCCGTCGCTGGCGGTAATCGTCATCCACGGCCCTCACACGCTCCATGGCAAGCTGTTTTATCCGCTGCGAACTGCCGTGCTTGCGGAGGCCCAGTTCCCGGGCCTGGGCCACGTCTACAAACTGGCGTGGTCGGGTTCCCTCCCCCGGGATCTTCTTCCTCGGGATATTGTGTATCACTGGCAGTGATTTGATCTGGTAGCGGGTGATGCTTAAATGGAACATCACATGTGGAATAGGGGCAACTTGATGGTCGGGGCTGAAGAGGCAGCACTGGAAGCAGAGACGGGAGAGAATGGCAAGGTAGAGATAGGGTCCGAATTTTCCACAGGCGCGGCACCAAGGCTGGCAAAACTCAGTGAACAGCCAGCGGATGGGGAACAAAGACGCGCACTTAGTGGCGTGCATGACTCTCAAAGCATCCGAGGCGTGTTCTCGCAGCAACTGATATGCCGGGAAGGATTCAACGAGGTGTCTTGTCGCGAGGTTGACTTGGCGTACCCGTCCCAAACTGGATACGTCAAGCTCGAAGAAGATCTGATGGATGAGCTCAATGGAAAGTTGACTGGCAAATGATGGGACTAGTAGCTTGCCTGGCGTTCTTTCGATGGATGGGGCCTTGTACAAGTTGACGACTGGTCTTGAATTACAATTAGTTGGATATAGATGGAGAAAGTCCATCCCGAGCTGGTCCCAGCGATATGCTGTTCCTGAAGACATCGTCTTATATGGAATGAGATGATCTTCCATTGAACTTATATGGTGGAGGCAGTACAGATCAAGTGGTATTCATACCAGCATTGTAGTTTCATTTTTGTCGTCATCGGTGGTCATCCCCGAACCATCCACGGGTAGTGAAATTCAGAAACAACACCTTACACGAGACACTAGAATAATTTTCTATTAACTCTAACATTCCGCTTAACATTGGGTTGGAGATAAAGAGGGGTTAAATCCCTAGCATGTAATCATTGGTAGATAATAGAACAGGGCTGCAGATGGACATCATCGTGACATATCGAGGTCATAGTTTCGTCAATACCATAGGTCAATCTTAGCCACAGTACCGATGTATCAGACCAGTATTGGAATTAGGCATGACATGATTGATATCTTGACATATAATCTGGATAATATACCAGACATCACTGACAGTGTGCTTTTAGTAACAAAAATATAGTTGCATCTTCCGCTCACGTCATTGCTTCATCATTCGCCAACTCGTCATTTGACTCATGGGCAGTTGCTAGCCATGTGCCGTCAGGGCGATCATATGCCCTGACGGCCCGATGTCCCACCAAGTGGTTGTAGCAATAGGCCGGGACCTCTGCAATGGATCGCAACATGGGTTGGTGCCGCTGCCGAGGAGTCCGCGGTGTGTACATCAGCACTGGTACCTGATCTGGAACCAGAAACACCTGCCATCAATCAATACAAAATCTCAATCTTCCCGAACATGATGCCCTATATTGGGACAGAGAGGACGATAGTCAGAGTTCTAGCACACAACTGTTAGTACTAGGTGCTGAACCGGGGCTGTGGATGGTCATGACATACCTGGCATCTGATAGTATTGGTCCTTATCATGAATTGATCAGCCACTATCCCAGAATAGCGAACGTTACTTTATCGGGCTTGATATGACAAATCTCCGACGTTCAAGTTGGATAAAATGCCGTAGGTGTCATTGGTTGGAGTGTGTAATCTCCCCTCCATCTGCTATTATCCGTCATTGGTCTTCATCCAAATCCTCCCTATCCCCCCTCGGGCTATCACGCTGACAGTACACCTGCCTGGCCTCACGTCCAACCAGGTGGGAGTAGCAATACGCGGACATCCTGACTTGGCGTCTAGGCCCCAAAGGATCGCATCGTGTGTTGGTGCTTCGGCGGGATTCACATTGCCGAAATGCCCCGCGTTGGGAGCAGCCACACCGGTACGTGATTTCGTACCAGAAACACCTGCCATGAATTACTATGAAAGCTTATATTGCTTCGTATATCCTGGCTCACATTGGGACAGAGAAAAATGGTGGATGCAATACTAGCTAACACCAGTTAGAAGGTGCTAAACCGGAGCTGCAGATCGACATGGCATACCTGAGTACTATAGTATTGATCAATATCATCCGCAGTACCAAAACAGCGAATGGTCTTTGGCGATATCTATAATGTAGCAGGTGTCATCAATTGTACATTCTTGTTGATAATAATATAGCCTCCCATCTCATCCACTTGTCATCAAACGTCATTGATTTCGATCCAAGCTCGCCCATTGGCCATCAGGTCAGCCAAACACCCACCATGGAGTACTATAACAATTCTTTATCAACTCTGATATTTTGGCTCACATCTTGCGGGGAGGATGGTGACTGTGGTACTAGCACAAAACCGTTAGTCGGCGATAGATCGGCGTTGCAGATAGACATGGCCTACGTGAATTTTGTTGGTGAATAGCTTTGAGTTCTTGATGTTCTAGACAATTTGCCCGGGTAAGGGAATGCCCAACCCCTGATATATGTGACTTGGGGGTGTCTGAATGCGGGTTTCTTTCCGTTTATGGGGTATTAGGTGGGTTGGTTCAGTCGCATATGATAATTCGCCTAGGACGACGTGCAGATGAACATGACAGACTGGGGAATGATTATCCTTACATTTCGACCACAACTTGCGGGAGCAGAGGATTATGAGTAGGTTAAAATGGTGTATTTTGGCAGCGGACGGAGTCTTGAGCCTGATATATGAGATTGTTGTGTCGAGTACGTGGATTGGCAGGAGCTGCCCAGGTAGTTTCCTGGCTCCTTCGGTGGAAGGACTGATGACAACGGTCAAAATAATGATAGATTTCATAAACACCAAGACAATGAACAAGTTGCGAAAAAAAAAAAAAAAACATGCAGGGTCAAAAATGACCGGCGTGGGAAAAAAGTACAAGTCAGCTGAGGTTGGCCGACATCATGTTCTACAATCCCACACATCACAGCCAGACAATGCAGTGAATTCAGCCTTCACTTTCCGACATATACACCAGTCATCTTGGTAGTATCTTCAACTCTACAAAAGCACGACTGGCACATTACACCCCCATCCCACGCCACACTTCCCATACAGTCTTGCAATGAAAAAGTCCTCTGGATCTCGTGTCTGCTGATTTCTCAGCAAGCGTCCGTAATTCTCCTCATATCAGCACACGCCCTGGACATAGTCCTGTAAGAACTCAGCCATGTTTCATGGCAAATAACCGTACGAGTCTGCTCTCGGAGTGCAGTCAACGGGGGCTCGGATGATCCAGTGGCTGCGGTACAGCGTCTGTCAGCCGCTCGATGAGTCGTTGATGTTTGCTATGAGCTTGTCACGGGAATAAGCTTGTAAGCGAGGACTATGGGCGCGAGGGTAGCCAGTATGGATCGGTTTTCTTCTGATTAGAGATAAGTACGGGACTTGCTGATGCTAGGGCTGACCTGTGGTACTAAGTCTGCTGACCTCACAACAGTAGAATGGCATATAGACCGTAGATATATGACCGAGATAGGAGGCACTGATAGACACTTGTGAATAACAGAGAGAAGAATTCTCGCAAATTTCCCCCAGTAGATACCCCAACAGCCCATCCGATGTTTCAGTCTCACGCACAAAACAAAGTACGTTCGCAACAGGCATAAAAGAGCATGTCCCGTCCATTAACAACAAAGCAAATCTCACCGAGCACTAAAAAACCGCGTAGGCCAACTCACGACCCATTCACACCACACCCTCCCAAAACCGGATCATCATCCTTATCCAGACACTCATTATGAGGGTCCAAATTCGTACACCGATGCCGGGAGCAGAATTTCGTCTCCCCCTTCTCGTTCCAGTTCCCAACCTTGAGATAGCACCAGTTCTGTTTCTCCCCGTTCTTGACCTTTAACCCTGAGGGAATTCCATGTCGGTAATCGGACGAAGGATAGCACGTTGTTCGGCACATTCGGTTCCAGCATTCGACAGAATTTCCCTCTGTTGATGGTTAGACATCACCGTTTCTTTTGTAAATTCAGACGTATAGAGACAGGGAGACTTACGTGGTTCCACGGCCGCTGACACGAGAGGTCCGGTGGTGAGGAGTAGGAATCCGAGGCTGAGAGTGGTTTTCATGTTGACAGAATTATCTACTGTGGAGGAACAGAAAGACCAGAGAATATGCACAGCTGAACAAAGTTGCTTTTGATTATGCCCAACGACCGACGAAGCAGAGATGAAGCGAGCGACCTTTTATGCTGCCTTCAACCACAACAGTATAGTAATGCAACAGACTGGACAACAACCCCAAACACTAGGCAGTGTTTCGAGATGTAAGCTATCTCGCTGCCTTTGTTTGTAGACATGGGACCCCCTCGCTCGCTCCTTTGTTTGGATTCCAGCAGGACATGGATTGACCGGAAAGAGGCAACGGTTAGGGCCTGGTGGGGTCACGTGTGTTGGTTGTTTTTTGCTTTGGGAAGTGATCTCATTTCTCTGTTCAATTGAACAATATGAAGCTGGACAATACGAAGAACCTTACTGAATACTAACAGGGGCCATTCGGGAGTGGTGCGTCTTACTCTGCTAGGTGCATGAGCCGGTTCTTTGTCTTGAGCATCAACACCACGCTGTATGACCTATCCGGGTTGGTGATTGGCGTATTAGGGAATTTCATTAGAGGAAACTTCAAGTGTTCTCAATTATTTACTGAGATGTGTGTAGGATGAAGATCGTTGAGTGCTGGGAGGACATGTAGCATACGGTGGAAGTTGGATGGAACGGGTTCGCTGGACCATAAAATGGCGCCAGTATTCCAACTAGTCTGAAAGACAGATCAGAGTTTGATAGCTGCAAGCTCACTGTTCTTGACTGGGAATACAACTTTAGGAAGCAAAATGTCAACTACACACACCACTGTTGACACATACGACCTCAAAAACCCCACCAACCATATTCATCAGAAAAGCTTCACCCACGGACAGTGCAACCAAAAGAGGAAGTGGGTCTCGAACTGCATCCTGATTAGTTGTAGACTCCACATCCCCAGCTGTATCCTCGGCTACGGAATGAATCCCCGTCATTTCCGCGTCTTGTCCCTATTACTATGTGGTATCCCGGATATCTGCCAATATCCCGCTCTCCTCCCCACTATGATTGATCCCACCATGTCTTCCTCCCTGGATGAACGACCTACCTCAATCCACGATGGTGATCCTCCGCGGAAACGCCGGCGGAAATACATCGCCAAAGCCTGGTATGCCCGCCCTTTTCAAAAGTTAATGGCCGACACTGACCGGCCAGCAATGAATGTAAACGCCGCAAAATCAAATGCAACGGACAGATCCCCTGTCTCCGCTGCGGTCGCCAAGGCATCGACTGCGTGTACGCCGATCGTCCCAATCGCGGCGACGACGATGACGACCCTCAAATTCTGGAGCGGCTGTGCGCGCAAATGAGCGCCATGCAGGACCAGATCGCCACACTGTCTGCCACCGTCCAGACCCTATCGCGCCCCGACCTGGGAAGTCAGACCGCGGCCCGCGCCCGACCTAGCCCCCGCGCGGTCCTCCGTGGTGGCCCCTCCCCGCGCGAACCGCCCTTCCAGGGCCCGACGACCTCGGGCTTCGGCTTCGACCTGGCCCGCTCTAGCCTGGAGCAGCGCGGCATCGTCCAGCCCCGCGACGCCTCCCCGGGCCTCCTCCCCCCGTCACCGCCCGCCGTCCCGCCCGCCCCCTCGGGGGAGGACCCGCTCGCGACGATCTCCAAGACCGAAGCCCTCCGACTCTGCCGCGTCTACGAGGAGGAAATGGGCATCATGTACCCCGTCCTCGACCTGCCCGACCTCCTCCACCAGGTCGAGCTGCTCTACTCCCCCGCGGGCGAGGCGGCCCTCACCCGCGACGACGTCGACATCCTTCGGTTGGTCTTCGCCTGTGCACTGACGGCCGAAGCCAGCGGGCGCAGCGAACTGGCCCTCGCGCTGTTCGACACCGTCCGCGACGGCGCCGACCAGTGCGTCTGGGGCCCGCCCGACATCCCCAAGATCATCTGCCTGACGCTCGTCTCCATCCTGTACTTCCAGCTCGACGAAGAGACCCTCGCTTGGCGGACGATCGGCATCGTCGAGCGCATGTGTCTCGAGCGCGGCCTCCATCGCCGCGAGTCGCTGCACCAGCCAGCCGTCATCGCCGCCGGGCGCGAGCGCGTCGTCCGCCTATTCTGGTCTATCTACGTGCTGGACATGCGCTGGAGCCTTGGCACAGGCATGCCGTTCGCCCTTGAAGACACCGACATCGACCCCTGGCTGCCCGAGCCTGAAGAGAACCAGACCCCCTACCTGCGCGTCATGATCCGCTACAGTCGCCTGGCCGCCAGGGTGTGGAAGTTCGTCGCTGCCTTCAACAACACCAACGAGATCAAGAAAGACGAGATGCACTACCTCGACTGGCAGGTCCTGCGCTGGGTCGCCGACATGCCGGACGCGCTGCGCCTCGACCCGCCGGCCTCGTACTCGTCGCCATCCACGACGAAGTCAACAACAACCGTCCCCGAAACGCGCGGTCTTCGCCGCCTCCGCTGCATGCTATCTCTCCGCGCAAACCAGCTCCGCCTCCTCATCCACCGCCCCGTCCTCCACTCAGCCGCACACATCGTCCGCTACCCAGCCGAGAGCCAAACCGTCGTTGACATCGCAGCCGACACCGTCCGCAGCATCACGCGCCTCAACGCCACCTCCGACATCTACCGCCTACAGCAAGTCACTTTCAACTACTTCCTAGTATCCGCGCTGGCAGTGCTCTTCCTCGCTGTGGCGCAGACCCCCGCGCAGTTCAGCGCCCGCTGCAAAGATGAATTCTACATGGCCCTCGAGCTCGTCAAGGGCTTTTCCTCTCGCTCTTATATCTCCCGGCGGTTGTGGACGTCCCTGCGTGGCTTGCGCCAGTTGGGCCCGCAGCTGGGTTTGCAGACTCAAGCTGACGGTAGTGTGGAGGGCGGTGCACCGGCCCTTCCGACCGCTCCTGTAGCACCCCCTGAGGGCGGGAGCGCACTGGACGGCCCGCAGATGACTCGCGAGCTAATGGAGTGGTTCGAGGCGGTGGGGAACCTCGAAGACCAGATCATGGGTGTCGGAGTTGGCGCGTCGGACGAGTGGCTGGGCGGACGGGGATATCCGCTGGATTATGGGGCGGAGCTGTCCAGTGTGATGAGGGATTGTTTCTGAGGTATCTCTGTATTAATATGGTAGCATGCATTGTCGTGATTTAATTGTAAGAATATAAGAATATGGTATAATAATATCACCGCAATCCTCCCCGCAAACCCTCCAGATCCTCTGTCTTCCAATCTGTAACCAGCATATGTCCCGGTTCGTGAGAAAACACTAGTCCCTCGATCTTGTCGCCCGCGGACTCGACTGCTAACTGGGGAGTGACACCACACGCCTGCAACACTTATCATCAGTAATCACATCGACGAGAAAAAGAGAAGGGAAGGAGACAAACCCAGAAAACAGGAACCTCCCCCTCCTCAAACACCTGCGGCTGGCCGAAATCCGGCCGTCCGATGTCCGTAATCCCCAGCCTTCCCACCGCATCCCACCCCCACGCCACGGGCTCCCCATGAGCCGCCAGATACGGGCGTGACACTTCGCGCACGCGCTCGATGTCTTCCGGCCTGTAGGGCCGCATGGAGACCACGCAGGTGGCGTTTGTGAAGATTCCCGCGGGGAGGAGCGGAATGGTGCTGCGGTACATGGCGACGATACGGCCGGTGGAGTAGTGACGGGGTGGGAGGCCGGCCGCGGCGAGGGCGTCCTCAAAGGAGAACGAGCACCCGATGAGGAACCCCACGTAGCGTTGGTGAGTATCCCATACGTCTTGTAGGTCGGTTCGTGTCTCGAGGTACTTCCCGTTGCGGTAGATGCGGTATTTGGGGAAGTCGGTGCGCAGGTCGAAGTCACCGGCTGGTTGGATGCATTGCGCGGGTGTGATGGAGTTCGTGGAACCGGGTTGCGTGCTGATTCCGAGGAGAGGGCAGGAGACGGGGTTGCGAAGACAGAGGTCGTGGAAGTCACTGGCGTGTTTGGCGGGCAGAATGAGGAGGTTGGCTTGGAGGTAGCCGGGGGCCAGGCCTGCAGTGTTCGTGATCTTGTTGGCGCGACTGAGAAGCCGCGTTTCGTATGCGGACATTTTACTGATGTTGTTGTATTGGTCTTTGTGTCTGTGGCTGTATTTCGATATCTCTTTGAAGTTGTTGTATGGAGAGATATGGTTAGTGTCGTGGGAAGGATCTGGATACTGACATGACGGAATGTCTACGATAATTGGAGATATACATCGGAGCCCATAACCCGACATCCCCCCAGATAATGCCTGCCCTGGTCCCTCCGCACGCCTATCAATGGGTGTGATTGGCGTTATAGAGACCCTGGGTGGGCCCATCTCCACTTCCTGTGCCACATTCACGAATGAAGCCCTAAGATGAAATCCCCAGACCCACCACTTATCAGCACATCGGCCCGACGGCGTATCCAAACGGCAGACAATCGCCGATCCAGGCGCTGGAAAGACGCGACAGGATGGTCTGATGGGTCCGGGGAGTTTTCATTACCTGATGGATGAATGTGATATGGGGTTCCCCACGCTTATCGAGGGACCAAGTTCTTTTTAACCCCGGATTTCTCCTGACGAATTTACATTCCCCACGAACAGCCTCGAACCAAATACACCATGGCTGAAACAGAGAAGGTTGACGACCTGAAACTGGCGGAGCTCGATGTCAAGGAGTCCGACTTTGGCAATGTCGAGAACATTGTATTGGACCCGAAAAAGGAGAAGAAGCTCCTCATGAAGCTGGACCTGGCTTTTGTTCCCATTATCATGGTGACATATCTGTCCTGCTTTCTGGATCGGACCAACATTGGTATGCTATTGGGATATTTAGAGCCCTATTCCAACGGATGAACTAATGGGAACAGGAAATGTCAAAGTAGCCGGCATGCCCGAGGCCATCGGCGCCTCAGACAGCCAGTTCTCCACCGCCGTCTCGATTTTCTATGTCACCTACGTCCTGCTAGAGGCTCCCTGGGCGGTGCTCATGAAGAAGCTCACTCCCCGAAATATTCTCACGGGGCTCTGTATCGTGTGGTCGGTGGCCACCGTGTTCACCGGATTCGTGCAGAACGTCGCGTCGCTGTACGCCACGCGCCTTATCCTGGGCGCTTGCGAGGCGGGACTCTTTCCCTGTCTCAACTTGTACTTGACGATGGTATATCGGCGCGAGGAACAAGCCAAGCGCGTCTCTTACCTGATGAGCTGTGCAGCCATCTCGGGTGCTGTGGGGGGATTGCTTGCGTATGGGCTGCTGCATATGGATGGGATTGGAGGGAAGGCGGGCTGGAGGTATTTACATTCATCTTCCCACCCCTCCCTGGGCTTGACCAGCCTGGTCCACGGTAATCCTGCTATCGTGATCTGACAGTGTTTAGATGGGTATACATCATCGAAGGCCTCTTCAGCGTGGTTTGCGCCCTGCTGATCTGGTTCGGCCTGCCCAACGACCCCGCCAACGCCTACTTCCTCACCGACGAGGAAAAGTGGATGATGCGTGTGCGCAACGAGCAACGACGCCACTACATGGGTAGCGAACACTTCACCTGGGATGAGATGTGGCTTGCCCTGCGCGATCCCAAGCTCGCTTTCAGCGCCGTCGTTCAATTCTGTCAGGATATCCTGCTCTACGGGTTCAGCACGTTCCTGCCGACGATCCTCCAGAGCATCGGGTATGATTCGCTGATGAGCAACGTGCTGACTGTGCCGGTGTATATCTGGGCGGCGATTGTGTTTGTCATTCTGGCATTTATGGCGGATCGGTACTCGAAATTTGCGGTTGTGGGTGTCCTCTTTCTTTTGCTGTGGCTCTCTTATGCTAATCAACACAGTTCCTCATCGGGAGTAACGTCTTCGGCATCATCGGTTACATCCTCCTCCTGTCCGTTTCCAACAATTCCGTCAAATACTTCGCCACCTACCTCTGCGGTATCGCGACCTACACCGGTGTGGGACTCAACATCGCCTGGCTGAACGTCAACGTCGCGCCGCACTACCGTCGCGCCATGGAAATCGGTCTGCAGCAGACGGTGGGGAACTGCGCGGGTATTGTAGCCGGGCAGATTTACCGGAAGTCTCCGTACGTGCTCGGAAACTCATTCAGTTTGGGGGCGTTAGTGGTCGCGCAGGGGGTCATCGCTGTGCACGCGTGGTACTTACGCGGGGAGAATGCAGAGAAGGTGGCGATTGAGGGGGGGAAGGAAGATACACGGCGTGTCCGGACGGGAGATGGGGAGGTGGAGTTTCGGTATCATTATTAGATTGTTGGTTGTATTCTATGTATGTGGATTGCCTGTGACTTCCTTTGCGGTGCTCTAGATTCTGGTAGTTGGTGGATGAATTGCCAAGTTGTCTAGAACGAGGGATTGGGCTTCAGTGACTCATACAATCTTTGCATACTGCTCGATGATCAACAATCCAATCTAAGCGAATTCCAGACCAGACCAAATCGTTAGTAGGTGCCCTAATAAGGCTTAAATTGGCTTCTTCCGCCAAAAACACACTACACCAACATCAATATATCATTTACCATTTTGATCTCCACCTCTTCTCACATTAGGACGGCGTGGCCCATCGCAAACTGCCTTGAAATGTCCACAAAGAATCTAGAACTAGACGCCGAGTATGGAGCTTTCGCATTTGACTACTACGTCCTGGTTTGAGCATCTATCCATTCTGTCTCAACCGACCGTGACTCACATCGGTAGGACCATTGGAAAGAGGATTCTTTCGAGGAAAGTCAGCAACAATGGGAGCGACTGGTCTGGGATTATCAAAGACTGTCTCTCAAAGAGCGTTATGTTTGTTTCCTCAGGTCTATCATTTCTCGTATTGGTTCTTATCCATGACAATAGATATACCACCATCGCACTCAGCTAATCCCCACCGGGGTACCCCCCACGCATGTCAAAGTTCTCCGCACCCACCAGACCATCTACGAGCGCAACCTGAGCATCCCGAACTGCACGGGCATACAAACCGTCTGGCTGCGAACGTGCTACGATGCAGACCTTGCCGAAAAATACGCAGACATGATGGCCGAGTCATACATCATTGGGGACAAGGTCCTAGACGACCCCATGAGGTATGCCTTCGAGGAGAACTGGCGAATGGTTCTCGTGCGTATGCCCGGAATTACGGATTTTTGGGGTCTTTCTGACCAGAACGGCGATGGAGCCATGCTCAAGTATCGCTCAAGATTGGACGATGGGGCGATCCGGGCTCAGTACGAACGGATTGAGGATGCGGATTTTCAGGCTCTGGCGCTCAAGGCGCTGGAATTCCAGGCTTTGCTGTATCTGGTGGACCGCGAGGCCATTGAAATGGGACTCATCAAGCTACTCTGGCTGGATGAACATGGGTGCTGTGCTTGGGAGAATCGGGTGGCCCCGGCGAGCATGTACCAGTTGGCGGGCGCGCTTCTCGGTGCCACGAGTTTCTGGGAACTCACCCAAGGGAATGCCACGCGAGGCTGTTTACTCGAACTATAGATTGTTGTGAGTAACCTAATACCATATGGAGATGATCCCAGGAGGCGTCTGTGCCACAAAATCGAAAAGGTTCCTCCATCATACAGCCACTTTGTCTACCGTCCTCTCTTTCGGGCAGTCTGTGATATCTGATCTCGGTGTTTGACGGACATTCCACAATAGGCAAGATTGTCAGAACAGATCCATTTGTTGAGACACTGTTGTCTCCGGATTTGGCATACCACCCACGGACTGGACCCGCTTTCGGTCTCTTCTTTGGTCGATTTCGCTGGTGAATTGGTGTCAAAGGACAAACCCCTTGCATACCACACGCTCTCGGCGACGCACGCGAGAGGGACCAGACAGGGACCCGTCCTATTAACTCCCCCTGTCATCAAGGGTCATGATCAATGCAAATCCCCATCATCTAACCCATGCATCTCTGGCGCAACAATTTCCCCGTCGATGGCAAGGTAGGGACCCTGCCCCACCAACGTATAGATCACCCTCTGACCATCCAGCTTGTCGTCGTCGCCGGGGGCTCCAAAGGCCTTGGCCGGGCGTTAGCCCTGGAGTTGGCGGGAAAAGGTAGGCCAGAACACAATCCCATCGCATGACACCCGCTCATCCTGTATAGGAGCGAATCTATTGATCCTCGCGCGCGAAGAACTCGCCCTGAATCGCACTCGCACCGATCTTCAAGCGGCCTGCGTCTCGTCCAAGCAGATCGTCGACGCTATCTCCGTGGACCTGACGCAGCCGAACGACGTGCGCTAGTCCCAGCTCCCATTCTACCAGCCAGCCCCACTGACAGATGGTAACGACCAGATCGACCGCGTTCTCGCCCACTACCACCCCCCCGACGTCCTCATCTGCACGGCCGGCGGCATCCCCGACGAACCGGGCTTCCTCGCCAACCAATCCCCCGCCGCGATCACATCCTGCCTCGAGCAAAACTACTACACCGCCATCTTCCCCGTGCAAGCCTGCCTCCAGCGATGGCTGGCGACGCCCACGCCCCACTCCACGCGCCACATCGTGTTGACCTCCTCCGCAACAGCCCTCGCCAGCCTCCCCGGCTACGCCGCCTACACACCAGTGAAAGCCGCAACCCGCGCCCTCGCCGACACCCTCCGCCAGGAACTGCTCCTCTACGGCCGGGACACGTTCCGCGTCCACTGCGCCTTCCCCGCCAACTTCCTCGGCGAGTCTTTCCTGCGCGCACACCCCACCAAGCCGCGCCTGACGAAGCTCCTCGAGGGCACGGACGTGCCGCCCCAGCGGCTGAGCGATAATGTCCCTGCGTCGCGGGAGGTCGCGCGCGCTATCGTTCGGGCCTTGGAGGCGGGAAGGACGTACATCACGGTGGATTCCCGCACCCAGTTGATGTTAAACCATATGCGCGGGCCAAGTCCGCGGTTTTGGACGCTGTATGATTTGCTCATGGGGTGGTTGGCGATTGGGCTGTGTTGGGTGTGGAGGGTGAGAGCGGATCGTCAGACGGTTAAGTATGGGCGGGAGAATGGGATGGAGCGGTAGTTTTCTTTTTTTTTTTTTCTTCGCATGCTTTCTTACTTATTTCCGCCGTTTGGATTTTTCGTTTCGTCTCTGCCTGATTATTGTTGATTTTTCGTGGTGTAACATGCGATTCTATACCTGGCGTGGCGTTATTTCTAGGAACAGCGGTACTAATGCACACTCCTAAGTCACCACCGGTCTTGATGAAAAGCCAAAAGTAACAATACAAGCAGGACAAAGTCAGACAATCCCCTGGGCGAGCCTGACTTGAATCAATGGACATGTGGAGATCGATTCATGTACCAGATCAAGAAGGGACATGACGTCACATCCTTCGCTCCTTGCTTGTTTACACCGGGCGCGTTGCTTCTCAGCTGAACTCACCGCACCTTCGCCTTTATTATTATTATCCTCACATCCCTGCCTGGATTTTAACAAAAGATCCCACTATAAATTCGACGACCAGAACACCAATCCACAACCACTTTATCTACAAATACGATCCATCTAAAACACCATGAAACTCTCCTCCCTCCTCACAATAACAACCCTCCTCGCAACCACCACCGCGAAAAAAGAAAAAATCAACCTCCAATGGGCCATCTGTAACCCCACCCCCCAAGACGTTCTCCCCAAACTGGGTCTCGCTTCAAACACACCCCCCTACAAGGAAAACCCCATCACCTACTACGATGCGCAACCCCCGCGCTACATCGCCCACGGCTTGATGTTCCGCACGAAGACTAATAAGGGTCATCCCCTGTCGACTGTTAAGGCGCCGCTTCCGGGGGATGTCGAGGCGCCTGGTTTTGTGGAGTGTGCGTGGGCAAGCTATGGGGAGAATCCGGCGACGTTTACGTGTGAAAAGCGGTGTCTGAGAGATGGGGATGGGGAGGAGGATGAGGAGGATGACGAGGGGGATGATGACCTGTGGTGTCCGGAGCAGATGGAGTTCGTGAAGAGTGTGGCGCCTGCTCCTGTGGAGTGGTCTGCGCTGGTGCCGTACGGCCCGTTTGCGAACGGGAAGTGGAAGGTCAAGGTGGACGGGGTGAAAGCCAAGTTTGACGACGTCGTTGTTCCCGAGCACGGGCTACACCTGATGGAGATCGAGGCCAAGGTGAAAGCTTCCAAGGCGGAGAAGGCGCGCGTTGCCATAACGGAGTATTTGGTGGAACAGGGGGTCGAGCTGTGTGAGCTGCAAGAGGGTAAGACGAAGAGGCTGTTCCGTGCCATGGGGTATACAGATACGGAGGAAGACAAAGTCGAGCTGTAATTAACATTGAAATCATTCATTGATTAGCGTAACACATTGCTAACATAACGCTCAATTCCATAAAGCAAGACACTAAACTCATCATAATCCCCGCCAGTCGATAACTACAACATATATCGGAACCCCTTCTGCAGCTGGCGAGCTTGCTCGACAGAGACACCCTCCACCTCGGCCGTCCGTTGCAACTGCGCCCGGTCGGCGTCGCTCAGCGGCACGTCGACATTCTCGAACCGTTCCAGCTGGCGGTTCTGATGCCGCATGTGGAAGTAAAGGAAGACCGCGCACAGCGCCGCGACCACCTGCAGCGCGATGCACACCCCCATAGCCGGGCGGTACTCCGGGTCGTCCTGCTCGCGGTAGGTGAAGGGGGTCCAGATGCTGGCGGAGTTGCCGATGGCGTTGATGAAGCCGTAGGCGGCGGCGCGCTTGGCGGGCGGTCGCGGGATGGAGTTGGCGATCCAGGAGAAGAAGGTGCCGAACTGGGCGAAGACGAAGATCATGAGGAAGAAGGAGATGTAGCGTGCGGCGAAGCTGGTGGTCTTCGTGAAGAGGATGAAGCCGACGATTGTGATTGGGATCGGGTACACGAAGAACCAGAAGCGTCGGTTGTAGCGATCGGAGAGGTACGAGTGCGTCAGGCTGAAGAACACCATGAAGATGTAGGGCGGCGCGACCAGCAGGAGCGACACCATTTTGTTGTAGCCCAGGGTCTGTGTGAGCGTCGGGAAGTAGTTCTGAAACCCGCTGGCCCCCGTGATGGCCAGGTAGGCGAGCGCCAGGACGTAGGTCTTGACGTCCGTGAAGGCGAGCTTGAGACCGTGGAGCTGGCCCGCGCCGCCCTCGGCGTCGACGTCCGCTTCGGCGGCCTCGACAGCCAGACGGCGCGAGGCCACATCTCTCATCTCTGGGGAGAGGAGCTTCCACGTCTCGGGGAAGTCGGGCAACATGATGCAGATGACGAGACCGAATGCGACCGTGATGGAGCCCTCGATGATATAGAGCCATTGCCAGGCGGAGATGCCGCGCTCTCCGGCCAGACCGTCCAGGATTCCTATATTTCATCAGCAGGTGTGAGGAGATGAGTACGGGAGGAGACTCACCGGCCGCGATCAGGTTCCCGAAAGCACCACTAAGGAGAGAGCCCGAGTAGAAGATACTCATGCGCAGGGCGAGTTCGTTCTTGGTATACCACTTGGAGAGGTAGAACAGAACTCCGGAGAAGAATGGTGCCTCTATATCTTGTTAGCTGGCTTCTCGACATCGTAGTGATACCGTAATAATACTAACCGACCAGGCCCAGAATAAACCGACACGCCACGATGCCACCGTAGGAAGACACCTGGCTTGTCACGGCAGACACCAGTCCCCATGCACAGACGAAGAAGCCGAGATAGAAGGACGGACGGCCGACGTAGTTGAGCAGGAGGTTGGACGGACTGGAGATGTTAATCGGGATATGGGGGATCTCGACGGGAAACTTACGTCTGCATGAGGATATAACCGACGAACAGAATCGACAGACCCACCTGGTACTGCTGTTCGTCGATGTGGAGATCCTCCTTCAAGCCCTGGAGCTTGGCCGCCGCATAGTTATTCCTAGATCTGTCAGCTATGTTTCTCTCGCCGTCCAAAGCTTCACCTACCGATCGATGTAGTTCATCAGGTAGACCAGAATCACCAGCGGCATGATCAACATATCGATCCGTCGCCGCAGCTTCTTCTCCAGCACCTGTTCCCCCGGCGTCAATCCCACCTGGTGCGCAACATCCTTGGCGATATCTTCATGGTACATCGACCCCTTCTCGGCTTCCTCCTGGGTGATTGACTTCCGATCAGTGTCCATAATGTAGGGTCCGTCCGGGTGATTCTCTGTCCGACTCAACCGGGGGGAATTCCTGGGGAAACCACCCGGGGGCGGGTCGACTTTAAGACAAAAAATCGGGTCGCATGGAGACAGAATGCGGAGAAAAGCCGGGGCAGGTCCAAACGCGGTCCCGTCCGACCGAGTGTTGCCAAAGTTGCCATTCCCAGTTTTCGCTTCCCCGGGTTTGTTGTCGGTGGGTCTGGGGACGTGGGATGCTGATGGGGCGACGTGGGGGTTGCATCGTCGGTCTCGGCCTCAGTTACTGCATCGGGGGGGTTGACTGGTCGGTCACTGCCGATGTGGATGCCGATGAGCTCATGGGATTGGGTTTATATTGACTCCTTGAGACTCACTGGGGTGTCTACTCGAGTATTTGGTCGGGAAAGACACATGCGAGGTCGGGGCATCTCCGAGGTGAGGGCTTCAAGGTCGGCCGGATCGAGTTTAATCCAGTTTAGGATCAGGGACAGAGTGGAGCTTTACTACTGGACCTTGCTGGTGAAAATGCCTCATCATGCAATTGTATGATGCAAGGAGATATGGTTGATCAGATGGTTGGAGTTGATGTGAGGTCTCTGGGTTCCTCAGTGGTCTGTCTATATAAGAGAGTTCAGCCACCACTATAATACCATTCATTATAAGCATCTTCCAAGTATTTCTTCAGAATTCAATTCGATTCATTTATTGACCAAAATATAAGACATCACTTTCTACAGAGTTCAATCACTGCGCAATGATAGTCATGGAAATCTCTCTGATTATGCTCTTCATAGATATTGAAGATATTCGATATATAATAAGAACAAATGACAAACTGGCAGCAGACAATAGTCTCATGTGAAGATTCAAGTTTAGTATCATATATTTCCTCCCCATCTGTCCTCAACGATATGACTGCACTCGCTTGGTCTTACCCCACTTCACCACAGCGTGGGAGATATATCTCCCATTTGCAGCTTCAATAAGACTACATATATATGACATCTGCTCCCTATTTTCTAAGCATCTCTATCAGGTGGAAATTCATTATCACACCATCTCCAATTCTATAGTGACCCACCCCAATTGACTAAGATTATATCTCCGATTATGTCTCCGTCAGGGCAGTTGATCAATTTGTCAGCACATCCAGCACATCATCTCTTTAGAATCAAATCGAATTTACTGCAACGACTCAAAGTATAAATAAGATCCATACACCAATACAGGCCACCAGCACTCAAATAAACCAACTCACCATGGGCTCCATCGCACCCGCCGTTATCCCCGCCCCCGAAGCCCCCTACTTCACCCCCGCCAACCACGATGTCGGCGCCGCCCTCAACCCAAACGACCCCTCCACCCCCACCCTCTTCCGCCCCCTGACCATCCGCGGCGTCACGCTCAAAAACCGCATCGCCGTCTCCCCCATGTGCATGTACTCCGCCGAGTCCGACCCTGCCGCCCCCGACGTTGGCGCCCTAACCGACTACCACCTCGCCCACCTCGGCCAGTTCGCCCTGAAAGGCGCCGGCCTCGTCTTCGTCGAGGCACAGGGCGTGGAGCCCCGCGGCCGCATCTCCCCCAACGATGCGGGCCTCTGGCAGCACGACACCGACAGCGCCCAATTTCGCTCTCTCCAGCGCGTCGTCCACTTCTGCCGTAGCCAGGGCGCCCACGTCGGCATCCAGATCGCCCACGCCGGCCGCAAGGCCAGCGTCACCGCCCCCTGGGTCGCTCGCCAGGCCGGCCGCCCCAGCGTGCGCGCCGAAGCCGCCGTTGGTGGCTGGCCTGACGACGTGATTGGCCCGTCGGGCGGCGACAAGCACCGCTGGGATGCCGACGGCGACTACTGGACCCCGCGCGCGGCGACTGTAGAGGAGATCCAGGGCATCGTCCGTGCCTTCGCCAACAGCGCCGCCTGCGGGGTCCGCGCGGGCGTCGAAGTCGTCGAGATCCACGCGGCCCACGGGTACCTGCTGCACCAGTTCCTCAGTCCCGTCACCAACCGTCGCACGGACGACTACGGTGGCAGCTTCGAGAACCGCACTCGGCTGCTGCGCGAGGTCGTCGCGAACGTGCGGGCGGCCGTGCCGGAGCAGACAGCGGTATTTGTGCGCATCAGCGCCACCGAGTGGCTCGAGGGCCAGCCCGTGGAGGCCGAAGCCGGCGGGAGCTGGGATGTCGCCAGCTCCGAGCGGCTGGTGCCCATCCTGGCGGATCTGGGTGTGGACCTGGTCGATGTCAGCTCGGGTGGGAACCACCGCGACCAGCGCATCCCGCACGGCTCGGTCTCGTACCAGACGGACCTGGCTGGGCGGCTGCGGCGCACGCTGCAGGCTGCCGGGCGGTCGACGCGGATCGGGGCGGTGGGCTTTATCACGGGGGCGGACCAGGCGCGGGGCCTCGTTGAGGGGTCCGACGAGGCGGAACGGGCGGCGGCCACAGTGGCCGGGGCGGACCCGGCGGCGGACGTGGTGCTACTCGGGCGGCAGTTCCTGCGTGAGCCCGAATGGGTTATGCTTACGGCGCAGCGGCTGGGGGTGAAGGTGGGCTCACCGAAGCAGTTCTGGCGCGCGGGAGGGGCGTTTGACTAGAATACTTATTGAACGTTTTGTCCATGTATATATTTCGATTTACATATTTCGATATATCTTTGACTTCATAAGGTCATTGCACTCCACTTCCACCAAGTAATGAGAGGTAGAGAGAACAACCTCGGCTGATTCCGACGGAGACGACCGGACATAACGGTCTTAGCGGCATCGCACGTAATCCGGATACGGTACGGTATCATCATTTCCCCCGCACCAACTCAACCCCTCCATTTCTCTCCTTCTTTCTCCCTTCATCCCTCCATTGCACAACCAACTTTTATCAAAATGACTGTCAAACCCGGTGACTCTTTCCCCAACGACGTCGTCTTCCAGTACGTCCCCTGGACGGAGGAGAATAGCGGCGTCCAGGCGTGTGGCATCCCGATCAACTACAATGCCTCCAAGGAATGGGCCGATAAGAAGGTCGTGCTGTTCTCTGTTCCTGGTATGTCTTTCATATATGTCGATATTGACAGGCAAATTAACGAAACAGGCGCATTCACCCCCACCTGCTCGGTCAACCACCTCCCCGGCTACATCCAGAACCTGCCGCAGTTGCGCGAGAAAGGGGTCCAGATCGTGGCCGTCCTCGCCTCCAACGACCCCTTCGTCATGAGCGCCTGGGGTAAGGCTAACCAGGTCCGCGGCGACGATATCCTCTTCCTGACTGATCCGGAAGCCCGCTTCTCGTCCTCGTTGGGATGGGCCAATGCGGGCCGCACCGGTCGGTACGCCATTATTATCGACCATGGGAAGGTCACTTATGCCGATATTGAGACGAAGAAGGGCGCTGTTGAGGTGTCGGGTGTGGATTCTGTGCTGGCGCATCTGTAATTTGTCTGTCTCTGTCATTTGTCTCCATCTACGGTCGCTCGCCTGACTGCACTCTTAATATAAACTGCCACTTGACTATGGACTGTTTGTTGATGTTGCATAAGCTGTATCTCGGGCCGATATTTGTAATCCTCTGCATAGCGTGATGCACACGGGCGGTGAAGCCGTAGTGGGGAATGGAGGGGACGAGGGAAAGAAAGACATCTGGTCGGAATCCTTCATCCTGCTTCTTTTCTTCCTTATTTTTGTTGTCTGTTCTTCTTTTTCTTCTTCTTCTTCTTCTTATTCTCCTTCTTCTTGTTTTTAACACTTCCTCTGCAGTTTACGATAGAATGTCCCTCCACAAGAGCAAGCTCGCTTTCATTGGCGGCGGCAACATGGCCTCCGCCATTATCGGGGGTCTTATCGCCCAGGGGGTTCCCAAGACTAATATCTGGGTTGCTGAACCCTGGGATGTTAACCGTGATAAGATGGCGGCCCTGGGTGTTCAAGCGACCGCCTCTAATGTTGAAGCTGGTGGCCAGGCTGACCTCATTATTATCGCTGTCAAACCCCAGGTTGCTCAAGGCGTTTGCGAGGAACTCGCCGCTGCCTGGTCCAGCCGCGATACCCTCCCTGTTGTGGTGAGTATTGCTGCTGGTATCACTTTGCAGAGCTTGCAGGACTGGCTGCGGACGGGGAATAGCTCCACGGCACACACGAAGGATGGCCGCACGGCGCACACGGTGCGTGTGATGCCCAATACGCCCGCGCTACTGGGTCAGGGCGCGTCCGGCGTGTTTGCCAGTGCAGATGTCACGGCTGAGGAGAGGACCCTGGTCAATGACCTGCTGGCAAGTGTGAGCCAGGCGACCGAGTGGGTGGATCGGGAGGAGTTGCTGGACGTGGTGACTGGGCTATCGGGTGAGTTGATCATACCTGGAAGTGGAGCGAGGAAGAGACAGTGCTGATACGATGGCGGTTAGGATCCGGCCCGGCCTATTTCTTCGCGATGGTAGAACACCTCGTTGCCAGTGCCACTGCTTTGGGTCTGTCCTCGGAGCAGGCCACCCGTCTCGCGGCGCAGACCTGTCTAGGGGCGGGCAAGATGCTTGTCGAGTCCTCTGATACCCCGACCAAGCTGCGTCAGAATGTCACCAGCCCGAATGGTACAACGCACGCAGCCCTGCAGACCTTCGAAGCAGAGGGGTTCCAGGAGATTGTGGACAAGGCGGTTAAGGCGGCCACCAATCGGGCGGCGGAGCTGGGGGATATACTGGCCAAAAAGTAGACTTACGATTGACGGGTATCAATGATAGCGCAGTACATCCGGGTACATGAACGGTGGAGTTGACGGTTTTAACAACATTGTGCTTCACCATCCGTAGATGAGCCATCGGTTGTAGGACGCCCACTTGGTGCCAATGCTGGGATATCTGTAGGATTCTATGCCCAGTCTGGGCCGGTGACTCACGCCTCACATGGTTCGGGTTGCTTGTCTTGAATCGAGCTACGCGCCCGTACACCTACATCTGCTCAATATCCAACCACGGTGATAATGACGACCATGTCAGCACAGGGTGAGCTGACCCACTCAGATCAGCCGTGGGGCTGATGTGCGGACTTAGTGGACATCCACGCACATGGCTGACAAGGGGGATCCAATAATCGTCACGAATTTCTCTGCAGAAATACATTCACTGATTTAACTCCGATTCCTGGATGATTGCCGACATGAACCGCGAAGATCGAGCCACAAACCGGTCAGCCATGGGTTGGGATGAATAAGGTTGTGATGTCATCCGTCCGTTTTCAGCCTCTATATCAACCCCGCGACCCCCTCTGTCCTTCAAGCTCTTGTTTAAATTCCTGTCCACATTCCACTGCTCATATTAATACCATATACACTCTTAATCATGGCCCCTAAAGTTCTCATCGTCCTCACCTCCGCGGACAAGATCCCCGCCAACGGGTCCCCCACGGGCTGGTATCTGGTAAGTCACCGACCCCTCATCCATCTGACATCAGCATAATCTGACCGACTAGCCCGAATTCGCCCATCCCTGGGCAGTTTTGCATGAGAAAACCGAGCTCACCATCGCCTCCCCCAAAGGCGGCGAGGCGCCTCTCGACCAGGCCTCCGTTGAAATGTTCAAGAGCGATGCCACCTCAGTTGACTTCCTGAACAACCACAAAGACCTCTGGACCAACACCGTCAAGCTTGCCGACGTGGCTAACCGCGTCGGAGAGTATGACGCCATCTTCTATGTCGGTGGTCATGGCCGTATGTTGTCCCGGATCGCCCGATGAAATTTATCGCTGACTAAAGTGTCTGGGCACATAGCAATGTTCGATCTCCACTATGACCCCGTCTCTCTTGGCCTCATCCAAGCCTTCGCGGCAGCCAAGAAACCCGTCGCGGCCGTCTGCCATGGTCCGACGGTATTCCTCCGCGCGACCACCGCGCAGGGCGAGCCGCTGCTGTCCGGCGCGACGGTCACCGGATTTTCCAACGAGGAAGAGGACCAGGCCCAGAAGACGCAGTTCATGCCGTACATGCTCGAGACGGAGCTGAAGAAGATCAACAACGTGAAGTATGTCAAGGCCGATCAGGCGTGGGGCGAGAAGGTCGTCGTGTCCCAGGTTGCTGGCACGGGCAGTCCCCTGATCACCGGGCAGAACCCTGCCAGTGCGACTGGTGTGGGGAAGGAGATTCTCAAGGCGTTAGGACTGTAATTCTTCATCGAATTGGCTTGACTTATCGCCATTTAATTTTCATGTTCCCTTCTTATCGTTGTGTAGGCAGAAGTGTTCTAGGTGGTCCGGATACCCGTCGGTCCCCGATCGGGGTTGGTCGGTGGGGAGAGAAATGGGGAAATTGATCCCTTAATATCAAACCTGCCGACGACGATCCCCTCACCCCCAGCGAATCAAGTTGGCAAATTCAACTGCATGGGTGTCCCGCTAGCTGCAGGACATATATCATTGGCGCGGCTCGAACACAATCAGATGGTTTTCTGCTAGAATCTACAGTTAGATTAAGATAAGGGTTGGATATACCCGCCCGCAAGGGGTGGGTTACATCGTGAAACCGACATGTCGAGATGCCCCTCTCGGCACTTTGTATTTAACCCGTCCATGTCTCGCGCGGATTCTCGTCCCTCACGGCGGGTGTAGTATCACGAAGGACCCAGAACGTTCATCATGGTCAAATTGTTCACTGTGGCCCTCGTGGCGCTTCCCCTCATCGCGGCCGCCCCTAACCCCCTGCCTACGCCCCCCGGCGTGCCGTCCAAGACGGAAGCAGAGAGTGATCTGGCCAAGTTGACGGTCGCTGAGCAGGGCTCTGGCGATGACTATGACCGGGACAAGTTCCCTCACTGGATTGACCAGGGAGAGTATGTATCTCTTGTTCTTTGTTGAAGTTGAAGAGGGAATAGAAAAAAGCTAACTGGTCAGCTCTTGCAACACCCGCGAGATGGTCCTCAACCGCGATGGCACCGACATCGACAAGGGCTCCGACTGCTACCCGACCAGTGGGAAATGGGTCTCTTTGTACGACGGTGAGACTTGGACGAAGGCTTCCGATGTCGATATTGACCATCTTGTGCCACTGTCGAACGCGTGGAAGGTACGTCCCGTGACTGTTGAGCCTTAGTTTCTGCATACTGGATCGATATTGACTTGACTTCTTTAGTCCGGCGCCGACAAGTGGACCACCGCACAGCGCCAGAAGCTGGCCAACGATCTGGAGAACCCCCAGCTCCTCGCGGTGACCGATAATGTCAACCAGCAGAAGAGTGACAGCGGGCCGGAAGAGTGGAAGCCTCCTTTGGGTGAGCATCTTATTCTATTCTTATCTTTTTTCCATTGGACACTAACTAACAGTATAGAATCGTACCACTGCGACTACGCCAAGATGTGGGTCAAGATCAAGTCGATCTACGAGCTGACGATCACCGAGGATGAGAAGAGCGCGCTGGTTGGCATGCTGGATACGTGCTAGTTCTTCTCAGTCATTACGAGTGTTTGTTCTATGATCTTTACAGTACTACGCTTTCAATATGAACTGGATTCGTCGTATTATCGTTATATCTAGTCTATCTAACACTGAATCTGCCCGTCGCCATGCCATGTAAGACCGTGGATTAGTATAGGTCATCTATAGTAAAGTAAATCAGCCCAACAGCCCCACGCCAAGTCTTCGCCGAGGGTCCTCCACGATGTGCTCAAAATCCGACCCCGCCACACGCGCATAATCATAGGGTTCACGGCCCGACACGTCCCGGATATACGGACTGTTCCAGTCCATATTCTGCTGAACTAGGCGCACCATGCGTGTATTCCGGGCCATGAGCGCGTACACGAGCGGGGAGCGCCCGTCTTCGTCTAAGGCACCGGCATCAACCTGCTCATTTTCTAGCAGCATCCTCGCCACCTCCAAGTGTCCGCCCGCCACTGCGTATGACAGCGGCGTGCGCCCGACCCCGTCCCGCCGGTCGGCGACGATATCGGACCGCGCCAGGAGCTGCGCGACCATCTTGGCGTCGCCGGCTTCGGCGGCGTAGGACAGCGACGTCCGCAGTGTATATTCGTCCTCGCGGTTGACGTTGACCTCGGGGAGGGCGAGCAGCAGTCGTGCTGTCCGATGGGCTCCGTACAGGACGGCGTACATGAGCGGAGTGCGGCCGGCCTGACACGCGGCGTTGATGTCGGAGACCTGCGCCTCGGTGAGTGTGTAGGGCCCCGGCTCGTAGTACAGCCCCAGTAGCATGCGGATGACAAGGGTATTGCCGCTTTGGGCGGCGTGGGAGAGCGGCGTGCGGAGATTGATGTCCATAATTCCGGGGGAAATCTTGGGATGCGCGAGAAGGACGCTGACGACTTTGGGCCGCCCCTCGTAGCAGGCGTACATGAGCGCGGTGAACCCGGTGGTGCCGGCGAGGTTGATGTCGACATCATCGCGGGCGATCAACTTCTCGACGACGCGTGCGACGCCGACCCCGGCGGCTACCATCAGCGGGGACGTGCCGTGGATGCCGAGCTTGTTGACCTGGATGTCGGGCCGCGCCAGGAGCATGTCGATCATGAGGTCGTTATAGGGCTGCTTCTCGCGGGAGTAGGACATGGCGCAGGCCAGCGGGGTAAAGCCCTGTCGGTTCTCGACGTTGATGTCAATGACCGGACGGCCCAGGATTCGCCGGCAGAGCTCGTCGTAGTTGTCATCATGGCAACCGAGCCGGCTCAGGTAGTGGAGGACGGTATTACCCTTGGAATCAGCCGCTTTTGCGAGCTGTCGGGAGGGGAGCCAATCGACGAGCCAGGGCAGTATTTGCAGCAGGCGGAGCAGATCCTCCGGCTCAAGAGCGTCGGTGATATCAAGGATGATATCCAAGGGGAGGCCTGTAAGGGATCGGTCAGCCATGTTTTCTGCTAACTATTTGTAATCTAGAGGGGACAATGAGCGTGATATCGCAAACAGGTACAGGTCGGATTGGCTGGTATTGTATGGGCTCGTGCTGTGCTGTCGAGTTGTTGTGTTTGAGGATAGGTTGGTATGGGAAATCATGACTGGGTATTTATAAGTCTTAGTGCCTGGGAATTCCAGGAATGATCTCTGAACAAAGCATGGTGGTGGTCAATGTGCTCATCTTTGTATATCAATCCAGAATGAGAGTGGAAACAGTGGTGGACTCGGGTTTCTTTATCTTCATTGTATCAAGAGCCGATGATGTCAAGGCTTTAACAACCACACATGGTTTCAACATCAACAACACATCAATGGATTGTACTAAACAATCAAGACAAAGAGAAAAAATACGTCAAGGACAAGGCCCTCCATGAGTCGGGCTGATCTGGTCATTGGCTGGACCGACTCCTCTGACGCCATTCATCCCCTTGTGTACCGATTGGTGGACCGTTAAGAACTGAATGCTATCCAACACATACCATTAACCTCGAGGTAGAGAGTGAATAGTTATGTCACCCATACTGAGAAACATCATGAGACTGCCCAGCGTTCTCATCACCGGCTGCAGCGATGGCGGGATTGGGTCTGCCCTGGCCCTCGCCTTCCACAAACGAGGTTATCACGTCTTCGCTACTGCCAGAGATACCTCGAAGATGGGCCTCCTGCGCGATCTGGCGAACGCGACGTATCTACAACTAGACGTGACGAAGCCCTATCAGATAGCCCTAGCGGTTGACGCTGTCCGGGAGCGCACTGACGGACGGCTCGACTTCCTCGTCAACAACGCCGGATACACCCGGTTCATGCCACTGCTGGACGAAGACCCCGATGCTTGTCGCCAGCTCTTCGAGACCAACGTCTGGGGCGCTCTCGCCGTCACGCAGTCATTCGCTCCACTGCTGATCCGGGCGCGGGGCACGGTGAGCTTCATTACCTCTATTACAGGCCACTTCCATCTACCGTTCATGGGTGTGTACCCCACCCTCTTAGATTAAAGTCCAGATAGTAACCCCCGCAAGGCGTCTACAATGCGTCGAAAGCTTCCATGGACCTAATGGCTGAAACCCTTCGACTGGAACTCGCCCCATTCGGCGTCAAAACCGTGTCTCTTATCACCGGGGCCGTCGAGACTCGAGCGCTGGCATTCTTCAACACCTGGTCCCTGCCTCCCGCGTCTAGGTATAAACCCATCGAGCCGGTGATTACTGCTCGCGTTCGTGGCGTGGAGACCTTTCTCCAGACCCCTACCACGGATTATGCGGACCAGGTGGCAGATAAGCTCATCAACGGTACGTCGGGGAGGGTTTGGACGGGTGCCAATTCCACGCTGATGTGGTTGTTGGTGAATTACGTGCCGGGGTGGATTCAGGTACGCTCCTCACTCCCTTTTTGGGTAGAGTATGACTGATTTCATGCAGGATAGAGTATTGTTCTTTAGGTCGGGGTTGGGCCGGATCACTGCGCACAGAGAGTGATCATGCTAATAGTATTCCGGAGAAGAATAAAGATAATTTCACACGATTCCACAGCATCCACATAGCAAGCCATCCTCTCCTTCCTCCGTAGCCCAGCTTTTCTCGTCTATGTACTCCGTATCTTCTTCATCCTGATACAGCGCCCGAAACACCCCAATAGAACGCACCTCCAGCTGGAATGCGCCCTCCTGCGCACCAAAAAAGCTGCACCTATTAGCCTCACACATCTGCCTCTCCATTAGCAAGGAACTTACCTCCTAATCATGATCCGAAACCGCCGCACACGACTCAAGTCCAAAGGTCGTGCAACAGGCACCTCCTTGCCTCGATAGGTCGGTCGCAGCTCGCTCCACTTCACCCGGACCACCTTTTCCATCTCTTTAGGGCAGAAATCCACCTCCCAAATCAGGGCACTCTGCTCGCGACCGTCAGGTCGACGCTCAGGGATCTCATCTGTCACTGCCACGGTGTAACGCTTGCTGTCGCAGGCATGCACGTCAAGCTCGAGTCCATCGTAGTCCGACAGGTCCCAGGTCTTCTCAGTGCTGACGGTTTTCTGCGATGCGAACCCCGCGCCGCCCAGTGCTTTGATGTCAAGATTTCCGTGGAAGAGGACGCCGTGAGGCGTGCGAGACAAGCATGACGTCGAGTGGCCGCCGCGGACGCGATCGTCCGAGGCTGCCCACTCTTGCAGGTCCCAGGGGGAACTAAATAATTTTTTGTTATTTGCGTATTCCATGTCGCCTGCCAGGTGATTTTTCTGGAATCTTGAATTGAAATGGCAAGGGTTTGCTTTATATAAATGACAGATCGATCGATCGATCGATCTGGTCGGCATGACCTCATCGAACCCTAATCCACTTCTTTCCAGCCAACTATATTCCTCCAACCGGGTATCTATCAAAGAAAAAAAAAAGAATTACAGCTTCGCTCGCGTCCGCTCATCTCGGACAACCAGCCGCTTCCCTTCCACTGGATTCCTCTCGCGATCTCGCAGCACTCGTCGCAGGATCTTCCCACTCGCACTCTTGGGCACCTCATTCACAAACTCCACCTCCACCAACCACTTATCCCGGACCTTGCGCGCCCGCACAAACTCCAAGATCTGGCGTCCCACGTCCACTAACCCATCGATATCCGCGGGAGACCCCGGCGCCCGCACCACATATGCCTTGGGCTTCTCCCCTGCGTAGTCGTCCGCCACACCCGTAACGGCTACGTCGTCCACGGCTTCATGGCTCAATAACAGATCTTCCAGCTCCGCTGGCGACACCTGCACGCCCTTGACCTTGATCATCTCCTTGATGCGGTCGGTAATAGTCACGAACCCCTCCTCGTCCACGAACCCCACGTCGCCCGTGTGCAGCCACCGGCCCCCTGGTCCCGAGAACGTCTCGAGCGTCGCCGTCTCGTTCGCCAGATAGCCCATGACCACCTGGGGCCCGCGCGCGACGATCTCGCCCTCCTGGCGCACCCCCAGCTCCTCCCCGCTAGATACGTCAAGCACTTTGACCTCCGTGTTGGCGACGAGGGCGCCTCCACGCGTGGCATACGCGTAAGTCGACTTGTCGGGCGGATGCGCCGTAATGCAGCTGCAGCTTTCGGTCATACCGTAGCCTTGCTTGAAACCCGTGCGCGGGAAGCGGGCTTGCAGCTGTGATAGCACCTCCGCTGCGATGGGCGCCGCCCCGGAGGAGAAGCGCTCCACGTGCGAGAGGTCGTAGTTCGTTACGATGGGATCGTTAAGCAGTCTGATGAGGATGGGCGGGACGAGGAGTAGCTCGCGGATGCGGTATTGCACGACAGTGTCGAGCATCGTCTTCATGTTGAATGAGGGAAGCATGTAGACTTCGGAGTTGAGGAGGATGGGCAGGTGCATCTGGTGGACCAGGCCAGTGACTGCTCTTAAAGTCAGAGGATTGGATTGGAGAGGGGAGGAAGTGAACATGCTGTGGAAGAGAGGCAGAACTGCCAGTGACCGTCTGTGATCTGCTGGAGTGAGTTGCTGGATCTGCATGCATTGCGCAATGACGTTGGAATGCGCGATCATCACCTAGTTCCCATCAGTACCACTGACGGCCCTGCTGGGAGAAAGGTAGGTAAACATACCGCTTTTGGCAGCCCCGTCGTCCCACTGCTGAAGCTCAAGAACCCACATATATCTTGGTTCGTCTTCCCCCCAGGCAGCTGGAACGAAGCGACTTGGCCGTCGATACCGTAGTCTCGTCCAATGGCGATGAGCTGCTGCACGGTCACATACCCATCCTCCGCCCCTTCCAGGAGGAATATGCGTTCCTTCGGGATCCCCGCTTGCGCCGCAGCCGGGACGGCAACGACCAGCGACGAAGGCACCGTCATCAGAAACCGCGCATGTGCAGTCTTCAACGCGTAGGCCATCTCTTCGACGTTGTAGGCGGGCGATGCGCCCGATATAATGCCTCCTAGTTTGTCGTTAGTCCATCGCGCCCATTTGCTATAGCGTTGGTGGGAATTAACGGACCCATTCTCACGGTCGCAAGCATGGCCACCGGGTACCAGATGGTGTTGGGGCTGAATAGTGCGACCGTCTGACCTGGTTCTAGACCATATCTCCTCACGAGTGCCGTGGAGATGGCCGTGGTGAGCTCCCTAAGCGCATCGTAGCGGACTTCTTCCTTGGTAATGGCATTGATGTAGCCACCTAGCTGGGACGGTAGAAATTGACGAAGGGGAGAGTAGTCCGAGTCGAAGAGGAAGTCCCAGATTGGGAGGCTGGTGGGAACTGATCGACGTGAGTAAATCAATGGGTAAGTGAGGAGAACAGGTCGACTGGGCTTACTGTCTAGTTGCGGCTGCGTAGATGTGAATACCATGGTGTCTATCTAACCTTCGCGGTGCAAGCGGACGGGAGAAAACAGATTTCACCAGACCTGGCCAGCCTCGTATTCATATAAGTTTCGACAGGACTCTGGACCTCCCTTGCAGACAGTGAAACGAGTCGGACCTCGGAGGAGACGCGATGGTTTCCTTTCCCCGCATCCAAGGCAGGATCAACCTCTTTACTACCTGCTGCGCCATGCTCCATACGAGAAGGATCCCCGCATCTCACCTCATTTTGAATGGAGGTCAAACCATTTTTGCTAGTACAGTGCATATTGTATATTGAAGGTCATAATCATACATTATCATACATGGTAGTCATACATTATCATACATAGTGGTCAATCATACGTCATAAGTCTTCCCCCCAACGACTTCCACAGGAGCGCCTGCGAGCCGACTGCGCCCCCGCAATCCCGGTCCATACATCTGGAACACCACCGGGATGGGGATCATCAACACGGCAATGCAGCCCAGCAAGGTACCCGCCCACTGCACCCCCAAGTTCTCCATCATCTGTCGCGAGAACAGCGGAAACGAGCACCCGACCGCCGAACGGAGGATCGTGTTTGCCGCGATGGTAGACGCCGCCCTAGATCTTGTCAGTGGGTTGGAAAACATATGTATAGGAAAAGGGTATATGAACATACAGGGTGGGATAGCAGTCCACAATGTAGTTAAAGCACTGCAGGAAGATCAGGAAGATTCCGGCCCCCGTGAACAGCCCCGACGCGATGGGCGCCATCCAATGGATGGAGGCCGTATAACCTGTCCAGCCGAACCAGAACAGTCCCACGGCGAAAACCACAGCCCCGACGATTGCTGGTGGTAAACGCCATTCGGGCACGGGCTGATCCCCGTTCGCAACCAGCTTGCGCACGTACGAGCTCTGTTGCGTGAGAACGTAGACGCCGCCCAGCAGCTCCCCCAGGATCAGACCCACGAACGATAGACCCCCCACTCCCATGCTCATTCCATACACGCCCTGGAAGACAACGGGGTATGCCCCCAGCAGCGCGTACATCAGCCCGTAGATGAAGGATATGTAAAGGGAGATGAGGAGCAGGATCGGCTCGGTGAATAGCATCTTCACGGGCCGGCTGAAATTGTTCCGCACCAGCTCCATGAAGTCGACCTCCACTTCGTCCTGTCTTGCGTGGATGCCCCAGTTATGCGTCTGGCGGCGGAGGGTAGCGGCCTTGCGCACCAGGATGACAGGCGCGTAGCTCTCGTCTAGGAACAACACAACCAGGACGAATCCGGCCAGGACCAGGATGGCGGAGATGTACATCGTCCACCGCCAGCCCAGCTCGCTGGTGGCGATGAACCCTCCGACGAAGGGGGCAGCGAACGGCCCGACAAACACGGCCATGCAGAAAACGGACATGATGATCCCTCGTTGCGCATTGTTGAAGAGATCGGCGAAAACCGCCGGGACGATCGAGACTGGGCCGGCGGCGAACAAGCCTGCGAAGAACCGGGTGATCATGATCGTCTGGACGTCCTTGCCCGTCGCACAGGCTACGGTAAAGATGCCGCATCCGAACAGTCCTATGGAGAGGGGCACACGCCGGCCAATGAGCTCCGATAGAGGCGCCCAGATCGTTGGACCGGCAGCGAAGCCAAGCACGTACAGCGCGACGCCCAGTGAGCCGACCTCGTGTCCGACCCCAAACTCTTCGCTGAACCCCTCGATGGCGGCAGAGAAGATGGCGCTGTTCATGGACCCCGCGAAGGTACCGAAGCAGAGGATACAAACTAGCAGGACCCTGGAGAAAGTCAGTCATATGTCTATCGGTTTGAGGGAGGGAGGGACATACCGTCTCAGTAGAGACCAGTTGTAGGGATGCAGAGGGTCAGTAGACCCCTCAAAGTCTACGACGAAATTGCCAGGGTCCGGTAGCAGGGGGGGATACTCCTTGCCAGCCCCCATAGGGAGCCATTCTTCCCGCGGGAGAGGGCCCCGTGTCGATCCAACGGTAGTCTTTTGTTGTAGTCGGTAGGTGTTGATGCGGGTGAGCTCGAGCGACTCGAGGGGCTCGATGGTGTCATCAGAGCTATGGGAACTGCGCGAGTCACTAGTGGGGAATTCCTTGTCCCGACCAGTATCGAAGTCCATTGGCACGGTGTGCTGTCGCGGTCAATAATTGCTCGGATCTGCTCAGAAATGCTGTCTTGTCGGTCCAGCTGTGAGCGACCGGCGCTATATAGGGTGATTGCCCCATCGGCACAAAGGCTGGCTTCTCGACATTTTTTTTCCCTGGTGGCCCAAGTTGGCGTCAAAGTCTTCATCCACAATGGGTCCATCGGCCGCCATGATCCAGCGATACTGGGCAATGGACTGCGACAGCTTGATCCATCTTTTTCCGCCCTGGGCACTTGCACGCTTTTGATATCCACCCTCCAGCCACCCTTGGGCGGAAAGTGGTGTGGCACCCAATCAGTGACGGTGCCTGGCACGGCTACCCTCGGTGGTGTGGCTAGTGTTGACGGGCAGCCGAGCGACCGACTACAGCCGTCCTTACCCGTTATCAAACTTGTTTCAGGCGAGGAAAATTTTCACGGCCATGGTCGAGATAACATTCACTGCATGGCAGTTTGATTGGCTCGGAGGTCGACCCATGGTAGTGGCGAGCGCATGGACCCGGCCTTGTTGATAAATATATCGCATCCTTCCGCCAATGTTTGATTCGGGTTCAACTACCGACTATATACAGTGCACGGGAAGTGACGGCCATACCCGTCCATGCCGTGATACCGTTGAGGCGCCTCGGTTACCCTAATGTATATTTGTAGTCCCTTTGGCGGATCTGAATTTAGTTTCTTTTGAGAATAGCATGTTTTGAGTCCCTTTGGTGGTGCTAAATTTGAATTTTTTCAAAATCCCCCTAAGTTGGGTTGCTGAACATCGTCATTCGATGGTAACACACAAGATATATCTCGATGTTTCTAGATGTCACCAAAAATATTGTGAAGATCGCCGCTCGGAGAAATGGCCTATGCGCCAATATAGTCGCCTATGAAGTCAATCATCATCCTCATGGAGTTCCGAGGCACCGGTATCTAGACTCCGCCCGCTAGGTGCGCTAGGTGACGCAGAATAGCACCGTTAATATCCATGATACCCGATTCAGAGGGTGATGTAACTAGAGCCGCCGTGTTGTCCCGTCACCTGACCGACAAACGACGATTATAATCAGGGAAAGTGTAGCCTAGTTTCTGTTCCTAACAACGACAAGCTCAGGACTCGTTCCGGAGAGTTATTTAGCCGGATTGCTTCGTGGTATATATCTCTGAAAGTCCAGGTTCCCCAGACCCTGCGAAGTCATTGTATACGGACAGGCACTGCACCATAATGCCAAATTAAGATGTATTCCGGCTTTCTGTGACTGATATCCCAACAGGTATCCATTACTTACCGAGAATACGTCCTCGGTCGGATTATTGTGTTTGGTCAATGGTGGATTCAAACAAGCTAGGTCCTATATCCTTACATTGTCTGAAGGAAACCAGAAGTCATCATCATGATTTTGGAGAAAATAGTACAAAAATGATGACCATCTCTCATCCAATCTACGACACGGTCATCATACTATCGTGACCTGTCCTCAGTTCAGACATGAAGTAACGCCGAAATTGGAAACATTTGGCCAAGGCAAATACTACAAGTTGCCCTTTTGACCCCGTCTATATTCGATCCCATCTAGGCGATCGGACCGAAAAAGCTAAACTTATTTTTAGGGTCATATTCCTTTTTCAGGGACCGCAGGCGATCCTGACGCCACCGCCCACTGCCATACCACTGCTCCGGCGTCTCGTCACCATAAGCGTAGTTGACATAAACGCCCATTTCTTTCAATCCACTGCCCTGGTGGAGGATATTGCGGAGATGATTACCCAGCTTCGCAGCCTTGTCTTCAAGCTCCCGCCCAGCGGGCACGTAGGTGATGAGCGGCGCAGCAAGGAGATTCTCTCCCCGGAAGGCAAAGGCACTGGAGTTCTTGTCGATGGCCCGGACACCTTGCGTGGAATATCCCTCGAACATGAATATAGAGTTATTGAAAGCCGACGACCCGCGGATGGAGGAGGCGAACACGTCGTATGCCTCCTTCTGGGCCGGGACATTGTAGCCTTGGAGATAGATGGGGAAACGGGGATTGGCGAGTCCTACCTTTTGGCATGGTGGCGAGGTCGCAGCAACATTAGTCCATCCAGCAAGGTCAGTGTAGCTTCCTCCGACATAGTCGGCGGACAGCGGGCCGATATCATGGAATGGTTTGGTGTAAATTGGGTCGACCTTCTGCACTCCTTCCTGAATAATGTAGAAGAGGATAATGGGCTGGGTGCCGTTAGAACCAAGGTGACAACTCCTTGCACATTCGGCCAGACTGGAGAGTATAAATACTTACGTTGTTCGGGTCCGCGGTAGGGTCGTTCAGCCAGTAGGACCAGTTGATGAGATCCACAGACTGAGTGCCGTTCTTGAGGAGGTGTTCATTGGCGGTTTGGTAGACAGCTTCGACTTTATCGCCACTGAAGAGGAGCGTGTCAATCGCCCAATCGCTATGCTGAACATCATAGATCTTTGTAGTCACGGACGTCACAATGCCAAAGTTGTGTCCCGCACCCTTAAGAGCCCACCAGAGGTCGGAACTGGCGTCAATAGTCCTCAAGCTGCCGTCGGCGAGGACGATGTTCGCGGAGACAAACTGATCTGCAACGAGTCCGTGGTGTCCCTGAAGCCATCCATGTCCACCCCCAAGAGCCGGCCCAAGATAACTCACGCATTCACATGTGCCTGTAACCGACTGCTTGCCCGCCTCCCAAAGTTGGTCGGTGACATCTTTGGAAATGGTGCCGCCCCCAATCTTCGCCGTTTTCCCATCCTTCGATATTTCCACGCTGCTAAGCTGTCTCATGTAGATCTCAATACCATGATCCATCTTGCCCAGTGTGGTAATGGCTCCATGCACGCCATTGTAGGCGAGAAAGGGCAATTCTTTCTGGTTGGCGAATTTTACCTGAGCACCGCTCCAATCAGCAAAGCAGATCCATTTGGAAACAATGATCCTCACAGCAGGAAATATTATAAACGAGGGCCGAGAAGAGCCAACACACCGTTTCTACAACGTCGTTCTCCGTCCCTGGAACCACAACAACGTTGACTTTGGGGGCATCTAGGATAGACCACCGTGTAGATGCCTCCTCAAATTTGGTTGACCCGGGGCAATAGATTTTGCCAGTATTCGAGAGCTTCTTTCCTAGCTCCGTCAAGTCGAGGTCTCCTTCGGGGCATTTAGCTCCATGGCTTTCGCGAGCAAGAGGCGTAGTTACGCCGACACTCGGTATGGCCCACGCAGTCACGAGTACAACGACTTGAAATGGAAGCCAGTACATTGTTAATTTGGCAAGGAACATAGGAACTTGATGCGAACCCAAGGGAACGCGGAAGAAAAATTTAAATAAACAAGATGTCCAAGTGATTGGCCTCAAAGAAAGATCAAGGTTACATCAAAGACAGGGGATATGTGCCAGTTTTAATCACTGGGCGGGATAGTACGTACGTCGTTAGCTCCTGTTACTCGCATGATGGTGCAAGTACCACTGAATCTTATTAATATAACCTTCATTTATTTCGTGCCGTGGACTGGAGAGACTATATTAAACCCTGTCATATCCCTGCCTAGCGGATGCTGGATCTCCCGAATCCTTACAGTATCAATTATCCCTATAGGTTGTATACTCGCCCGCTGCGCCTTTGCTGAGACACCCCACACTTCCACCACGAAATTATGGCCCCGGAATCATCCCGAGGGCCGTGAAGCTGGAGAAAAAGGAGAGAGATCATTAATATGTCTTTGCCGCTTTCTATCATGATCATTAAGTATCGATATTATTATGGTCATATCCTTTTACTCGTCTAAAATTTTCCTTGCCTATTCCACCCGGTCTTTCCCCAACATAAGGAGGGCTAAGTCCAATGCTGCAAGCCCGTGTTCGTCAACCCGCCATGCCGGCCTCCAAATTTTGTGGCTCCAATGTCAACCGCTTCTGCATCAGAGAACGCGGCCGAAGCAGCCTGGCACAAATCCACAGTTGAGCTATGGTTGCTGTATACGATTGGCGTTACTTTGACGCTACTTCGGACATATGCGCGGGTGAGAGCCGGTGCGATCGGACACCTACGGGCTGAAGATTTCCTTGTCTGGGCTGGAATTGTTCGTGACTCACACACTTCGCAAGATATGTGCAAGTTATGCGTCTCCCACATTGTTGCTAATATACATTCTAAGCAGATATTTTACACGGCGCAGACGGCTCTAGCATACAGCGTTGGCAATGTCGCCCGTGGCCTTGCAAACAATGGCCTGACCGATGCTCAACGATCTACACTGTCCTACGACAGTCTAGAATACCAGCTACGGTGTGTTGATCAATTGGGATGATGTATACGACATTGCGAACAAAGCACTCACACTGAGACAGAGTGATAGGCTCGAAAATTCAAGTGGCTGGTTGGACTACATATTCGGTATTGATCGGTTTGCTCAAGCTGTCTATGTTGGCGTTCTACATCCGCCTTACGGTATGTCTTTCTTCAGTAACCTTCTTATGAAACCTTTGCAAGAATAAAAACCCTAGTGATACTAATAAAGTGGGGTAGGAGGGCCTTGGCTACCGATATCGAGGCCCGGTCTATGTTGGATTTGCTCTCGTTATCGGAACCATGCTCATTAGCATTATCACAATCTTCACGGCATGCCGTCCGTTCCACAGGTACTGGCAGATCAATCCAGATCCAGGAAGTAAGACCCTGTTTTTCCCTTTTTTATTTCCCGCATTTTGTTTTTGGTTTTAATTTATTAAATAATACATAGCTAACTTAAACACAGATGCGTGCCAGGCTGCTGTATCCACGCCTGTTGTCTGGGCGTCCTTTGCTTCGAACGTTTCCACGGACATCTATCTTATCTTGATCCCCATTCCCATGCTTTGGATATCCAGACTAAAACTCCTGAAAAAGGTGACAACAACAATTGTATTCGGCGCTGGTCTGTTTGTCCTCGTCTGCGCTATCCTAAAAAGTGTCTTCGTTTTAACGGTGAGCCGTGAGATTTCCCTAGGTCCATGGCCACGAATTGACATCAATAGGACCCGGTCAACGGCGCACAGCTTGCCGGCGAATGGGGCACGCGGGAAACTTTTGCTGCCGTGGTCACCACTAATCTGCCCATGATATTCCATTTCCTTCGACCCTTACTTTCTCGCTTGCTTGGTAGTGTGTTCGGCACCACGCAGAAAGTATGCAAATCTCCCAACGGTTTTCACAAGATCGGTGGCGGCGCTGGTGAATCTTCTAGTCAAAATCCTCGAGGCCCTGGGATCATGCATCCTATTACCGCCAATTTGACGTTCAGCGAGAGTGGAGAACGAATTGTTGAGAATGTGAAGATGGACGGCTTCCCTGAATCTAACTTGATGGTTATTGGAAGCGAGCGTCCTTCCGGTGGCATTGTTGTCTCGAATCAGATAGGGATAACCTATGAAGATGGTGACGGCCGCCTTGGTGGGCATGGGCGGCGCCGGCAGGAGGCTTGATAGCTACACTGTTACTTCGTATTCTATAGTGATGGCGAAACACTGAGAGCGTGATAGTGTACCAAATCGGAGATATGATCAACTACTGCTAACAGTGCATGGTGTCATAGAACGCAATGATCTATATCTAATCGTAAAAGAATGATATTTCCTGGTCTGTCAACTGGTTCACGGTGCGTGAGAGCTGGATTGCCTTACTAATCCATCAAGTTCCTTTCAAACTAGACTTCAGCTTCTGGATATCAGATGGGCACTCTTTGTCCCTTCCGCATGGTTTGCTACCCAGCGACAAACATCATAGATCATACGAGGAAGCAATTCTAGTCGACGTTGTCTCCATCGGAGTTGTATGCTTGGCTTAGATATGGCCCTATGATGCGATGTGTGAAATCTGGGCAATGAGTCAGATCGATACTACTAACTCATCAACCCTCTTGGGATATGGAAATATCAATTTATTCCCCGAAAAACATTCTCAGTCCTACATTAAAAGTTCTGAGCAGCACTTTGGAAAAAATTGACCTGACTGGTATCCCCAACAAATACTGTCCCACGGCGTTGCGACCCGCTCGGTCCCTCCCTGTCTTCTGTGAACCAACCTCCAGACTGGTTATTCGCCAGAGTACCCCACGTTAACAAGACTGCTCGTGATAACTTTCAACATCGGGTTGATTTAAGGCGAGAAGACTAGTGATATACTCCTAGCCGCTCCATCAAAAGTCCTGACCAGCAGTTGGTATAGGGCTTGGCCGGACTGATAACTCCAATATAAAAGCAGAATTCTCATAGTTTATTAACGAAAAAGATCTCAGTCAGGAGTTGATGCCAGAAATGCCGACGAATGGGTTGGAGAGCTGCCAAAGAAAGGTCGCTAAAGGGCAACGTTGTGCTCTTCGGAGAGAGACATTCAAATGACCTCTCAGCCACTAGACCGAAGATGCTGACCAGCATTTTGGGGGCGCTTAATTTGACTTACATCCCTAGCATAAGACTTAGGCTTAGATATAAAGCTGAGGTTGAGCCTTGGGTAGGGTCAGCGTCCCAGGATGATGGTTGTGGTAGATGAGACGTGCTTCCGTAAAAGGGTGGAAGGTGTCATGTGTGGGAGGACCGATGAAACAATCCAGATATTGATGGGTTTGAAAAGTCTGATGACCCTGAGAATGCTGCGAGTAGTTACAAAACATGAAGTGTCAATGTACAATTCATTTACTTGGGAAAAGTCTGCAGGTCAGCTGATGTGTTGGCCTATTGTCTCGTCCACATTATGTGACCCTGTCGAATCTTCTTCGTTCCCCAAGGACATTCAAATGCACACCATCCTCCGGATGTAGCATCATTACTAGATGGTAGAAAGTTGAACAGATTGGGTCAGCCTGTGTCTATTGACAGCATGATTAGTGTGGGTGAGGTCAGCCTGCGATGTCACCTCGCCCTGTCAGTCCATTCCGCCTCACCATTCCAGCCCACGTCTAGCTAATTATTGATGTTGTTGCTCAAATGATGTTTTGTGACGCAGTGGCACTGCACATAAGCCTGGTATACTCTGGAAGGATGTCAAGTGGACGTCAAATGAACCCTCACCAGGGGGAAATGCTCCATACATGGAGGGAAGTCCATGACTGCTACGTCGAAGCAACCTTAAGGTCACTGAAATCTCGGCTGCCAAGTGGTGTTAAATCACAAGATGCTGACGGAAGAATCCTATTGTTAAAGTGCCGAGTGTAACACAGGGTCCCGTCTCATGGATACTTATATGCCGGTTTATCTCACGCGTGCACTGGCAGTGCGGGCCCAGCTGCTGGCTGCGTTGAAAATAGCTCAGTTCCTACTACTATGTATCTAGGGACTCATACACCTCGACTCCCGACAATGCGACGCATCTTTTATTTCCTCTATTGGGCCGTCATCGCCTTGGGTGGAGCTCCTCCCCGGCCACAGCTACGGGTGCTGACGCGCGACGTATGTATCATAGGTGGAGGGGCTGCGGGGGCATATGCCGCCGTGCGTCTGCAGGAGGCGAACCAAAGCGTTGTGGTTATCGAGAAGAAGAATCATCTCGGGGGACATGTCGACACATACACGGATCTGAATACTGGATCCGCGGCTGACTTTGGGGTTTCCGCTCTGCTGGACATTCCCGAGACGGACCACTTTCTCACGTCATTAGGGGTCCCGTTCGAGCGAGGATACCTCTTTAGCTCTAATGTTACCCGGTTTGACTTTCGGACTGGGAAGGCCGTGCCATCCCTCGGCAACTCGACGGAGGGCCTCACCAACTGGGCGACGTTCTTGACGCAGCATCCATACTTGCGGGTCGGGATCGACCTGCCCGACCCTGTGCCCGAGGAACTGCTGTTGCCGTTTGGCGAGTTCCTCGAAAAATACAAAATCGGTGCGGCGGCGGAGTTCGTCAGTCTCAACAACCAGGGCATGGGCGATTGGCTGCGTTACCCGGCCCTCTACCACCTGAAATACTTCAGTCTCGAGACTCTGATGGGCTATGCACAGCAGAAATTTATTTTCATTGCGAATCGCAACACGAGCTCCGTGTATAGCGCAGCAGCAGCCAGAATTGGATCAGCAAATATTCTGTACAGCGGTCGAGTTGTCCAAACCACCCGCGCTGGAGACGGAGACGGTACGCCCCACACGCTCGTTGTGCAGACCCCCCAGGAGCCCGTGGTGGTGGTGGCGAAGAGTCTTCTGCTAGCCATGCCTCCAACCGAGTCAAACACGGAGGTGTTGGCTCTGGAGCCCATCGAACAGCAACTTGTGCAACAGTGGAAACATTCCTACTATTATGCGGGGGTCGTTAGAGTTACCGGACTCCCAGAGGATATGGTTATTTACAACCGAGGCCTGAACACCCCTTTCTCCCTGCCCCCTCATCCCTGCCTTTACGTCATAAATCCCGTAGGAGTGCCCGGGCTACGACAGGTGGTGTACGGGAGTGACACACCGCTGAGCGAGGGAGACGTCAAGGCGGCCATTGCAAGGGATATTGTCGGGCTCCGTCGAGCGGGCTATACCAAAGTCAGAGAACCCCAATTCCTGGGTTTTACCGATCACAGTCCCTACTCACTTTCAGTGGAACCTGAGACAATCCGGGACGGGTACTACCGCCAGTGGAACTCGGTCCAAGGTCACCGTAATACATGGTGGGTAGGCTCGGCCATGGAGTGCGCCAACTCGGGGGCAAACTGGAGGTTTGTTGACAAGATCTTGGCACGGATTGGGACGATGTGATCAACAAGAGAAATTAGTCGGAGTCGGTTAACGCGATCGTGGGAGCAAGTCATTACCGCGTATTTTGTATTTCATCTATGAAGGGATATCACGGGTGGCAGTATGTGGTGTCGTTGGACGGACTGAAATCAATATCCTCAAGAATGCCATTCACTATCCTATCAGGGGGTGATACCCACACTAGTATCAGACTTCTATAAACACGTCTACCACTCACACGCAAGGTCATCATACATGACAACAGGCTCGGGAACACGCACAGCACAGATCATATAGTTTCCCAGAATGCGCCTACGGAATCCCGCCTCACAGTAAAGAAAATAGTACAGCCATCGCCTACGATAGGCCTCCACGTCTGCCGTATCCGCGCCAGGGTGCTTGTCGCAGAAGTCCCTGCGAATGGTTTCCCAGTTCTGGACGAAGTTGTCTTTCCACGCGAGTAGCGTTTTCCCGTAATGAGGGCCCGTATTGATCACAGAGGAGACTTCCAGGGTGCTGTTGCTGCCGCGGTTCATCGCTTCGAGCAAGATATTTGGCGTGGGCAGATACCCACCGGGGAAGACGTATTTGTCGATGTAATCTCCCACGAGCGGATTCGTCTTGTAGAACTGTAATAAGGTCAGTTAAGGGCCATCTCGATTGGGGGCTCTGATACGAACCGTGCCAGTTTTCGTTATCCCGTCGATGACCATCACGCCGCCATCTTTCTTGAGCAGCCGGGTAATCGTCTGAAAATATTGATCCATATACTGGGGTCCGACGTGCTCAAACATCCCGACCGAGATGATCTGGTCATATCCGTTATCTGGGCAAGGAGCTTCACGGTAGTCACACAGCAGCACGCGGATCTGACCTTCCAATCCTGCCTGTTTTATCCTTTTGTCGGCCAAAGCCTTCTGCTCCTCGGATAAGGTCAAGCCCGTCGCTTTACATCCCCTGTCTCGCGCAGCTGTAATTATCAAGTCCCCCCATCCGCAGCCTATATCCAACAGGTGGTGCCCTGGTTCGATGCGTGCCTTCTTGATGAGGTGATGCACCTTTCTCCTTTGGGCGACTTCGAGAGTTTCATCGGAATCGGCTGACCAGTGAGCGCACGAATAGTTCATATCCGGGGATAGAAAGTTTGAAAATAACGTATTCGATGTATCATAGTGGGACGCAATGTGTAGTCTCGCATTGTCGATGTTGTTCTCCGGTCGCCACCACCGAGTCACCCGCGGGACCCATTGCAGCAGGAAAGTGCCTGGGTCCAGGGCACTGGGATTCTGAATATATAACTGGGACTGGTCAGTGAGAATTTGTATTGAAATGAGGCTGTGGGACTTGCGTCGAAGACCTTGCTGAGGTTGTCGCAGTCCACTTCTTGGAGCATGTACGCCTCTGCGAACCCCTACAACTTGCTGTCAGTCTGGGTATATCACCGAAATCATCGCCAATCATACCAGGTCGAAATCGGAGAGTAATCTCGTCCACAACTTATTGTCATTGATATAAATCGTCACTCTGTCGTCGGGATGCTCCGCCAACCCTCCATCGCATAGCACTTGCTCCTCGCTGCCCGCTCGAGAAACCAATCTTACTGGTGCTAAGGTTCTGCGCAACGTCTGTTCCACGAATTGAACGGCATATCGTTTGATTGAATTACTGATCGTGTCATACATTATTCAAGTGGTTTCTCGTCCGGAGTAAGAAGCCAGGTGGCGCTCTGCTCCGAATTCCCAATCTCATCAATTCCACCCTGCTCGAATTTTGTGAGACACAATCATGCGGCGTCACCCGTGACCACCTTGCATGGCTATATCAATTGCCAACCAATTGAGTGCGATCCCTGCCGATCCATTCTTGTTCATTGGCAAACAAACACGCCCGTAATTCTTTAAGCTGTGCTTTCATAAAAAAATATGTTAACTCCCTGTCCGCAGCTATGTTCTATCTCTAACAAATCAACTTACCACATGTAGACGTCTTATCACCTGTGGAGAGGCCTTGTTACACAGTCTACAAATCCACGGCTAATGCTGGCAGCCAGTTTTCCTACAACCCCCCCTTGTGATCAAGCACTATAACTACTGGAGAGCTACATGACAATCTGGGTATATAATAATTGCCTATCTAAGCAGCATCCTTGTTAGTAATTGTGATATGAGGGCCCTGGTGTATTGGCGCATCGCAAACGCCGTGCGTATCATATCAATTCAATATCCCGCACAAACCCACAGGAAGTTACCCACTATAGCCACCCATGGAGCAAAGTCATCAATAGGGGTCATAAAAAACGCTAATGACCCTAATAGTCGCAATACCTTTTCCTGCATCCTTTCCACCGGGGATGGCACTCAATGATTGTATATAAACTCAACCGTGATAGGCTGCACCTAAATCACCCAGTGACGAAAGCTTGAAATGATATGTGTGTGTACCGCGAAGACCTACTGACGCTAAAACACGATACCAAGAATAATCCAGAGCGTATATAGAAACCCCGCCTGATGGACATGTCAAATTCTGTTCACGACCTGAACAGGTCATTCAGGATAGCCAAAGATAATCTATTGGTCATACACAAGGATCTGTCAGCACTAATGCCCTATTTTACGCCACATTGAATCCTGGTGAAATTGGGTTCCCCGCCTCACCCACGACATCATTACGCCGGTTACTACTCTCTTTGTATCTTCAGACAGGAAGGGCATCAATGTAGATCAAATCTGTCCATCTTGCTGAGAAATGAGAAACAACGTGACCTTCCTGGAAATGTTAGTGATATCTACTTAGCCAGCCTCAAGGCCGGGTCGGAAAATGGAAAGCTGCACACGCTCCTATGTCCCTTGAATTGGGTAATCGTAATGATGATAACCACATTGACCCAGAAATCTTTCGCCGACACTTCCAGTATCTATCTCTAGACGACTACTTAGGCGTACCTACATTGCTATGAATCCAAGGAAAATGTTTTATTACCGGTGACTTCGTTGTACGATCGGCCATACGCGTGAAGGCGAGATGATACTTCAGTTTGGCGTCGCAAAGACCGGCTCGCCGCGACAGCCAATCAAGCAGCTATCTGTCAACGTGCTAGCGCTGGCGAGACTGAGTGTCATCCAAAAGATATCAACCCTGGCTCACAACATGACATCAATAGAGCATCATGGCTTGACATATTGAAAGAGACAATAAATGGTGGCAGACTTGGTGAGTCTTGGGTGATTGGAAATTGGGGCTAAAGACCAACTTAAATCAAGTCAACCTAGCCTTTGCTCTTATTCACAATGGGATTAAATTGCATATCCCATTATACTTAAGTGGATATGGCTTCAGTGAATATGATGGTTGATCCAGGACGTTGAGATACCTCTACTAGTCCCAAAATCTCATTACTATGGCCAGGCCCGAGGCTATCCATGCCCGTATTACTCATGGAGTGATTTCTGATTATGGTCAAAATGATGGAAATCACCCTGACTTGTCTCGTCACGTCGTGTCGTTTCTACTGTGTCATTTCCTGGCCTCCTTCAATAAGAACCATATGCCATTAAAACCATGCCCAAAAATCGTGGTGTTATTGAAGGGAGTGTTTGTGCTTATTACAAGCACTGAGTGTCATTTTCTTAATTTTGTACACAGCAAAATCAGGGGAGACCGAATCACCGGGCACATAAAGCCTGTTCTTGATAGAATGGTGTACATCAAGATACTTGTAGGGGACCACTGGTTCCGATCACAAGAAACAATTACCTTGTTGGACCATTACAGCTCCTCTAGCTCTGTTTCAGATGTTGACGGGCAGGAGCTGAGCACAATATTCATGGATTTCGAGGAGCTTCTGAGCTGTAACAAATCATTGGTCGAGTCATGGTTTGAGAGTACAAATCTCATGATAAACGGCGCTATGTTGAAGGAGTCGCGAGCAGCTGTTGAAACCGTAGACATCCAGAAGCGGTTTACTATATTAGCTTACCTCTTTCTACCCTTAAACCTTGCCTCTTCCATATGTGAAATGAATATGAAAGGGTTTGGTACAGAAACTCAGCCTTTTTGGCTCCCGGCAGCTACTTTGGTTGCGCTTGTTTTACTTACTAGTGTCCTTATGGATTTGCCATTCTCCAAGATCTACTAGTCCATTGTGGTTCGGATTCGGTTAGGTTTGGTAGATTTTTGGCGTCTTTTTCTGGCTCCCAGGTATCGCTATGTTTACCAGCAAGAATAATTTATAGTTATCAGTCAATCAATGTACAAGAGCTTACAAAACGTTCTGGGCATCTTTATACAGACTTATCTTCTTGCTGTATCTAGAATTTCGGGCATTTATGATTACGCAGGATCCTAGAATGTCGCATTGAATGGCGGTTGGGTAACCCACCAGGAGCTATCATAGTTAATACTTCATAAAATGCTCGGGTCTATATATTGTTTGAAAACAAAAATCACTACCCTGTAGAGTTCGCAGGCCAGGATATTGCATAGAGAGGCTATAGAAGACTTTTTTTGTTTGATAATAACATGACTATCAAGTTTACAGGCCAGTGTGCCACGCGTGGTTGATTTCTCTGTTGCAAGATCACTGTAAGGAAATTACCCTTTGTGGCGTGAGATAAATTGGGTTGTTTGTCAAGTTGTAGAGTGAGAGCTAGTTAACTGACCACAATTCTAACACCGTGAGGCCCTTCTTCGGGGGTTAGTCTGAACGGCGGTAAGAACTCTACAGATAATATGCACGGAGGAGGCAAGGGCGGAATTAGGAACATGTGGAGCAAAACAGGATCATCCACTTGATCGTGTTCCATGATTGAAGCTGCGTACTTCACGGTCACTGTGGTAGAGACCACAGGGTAACATTCCAACGGACTCCGGCATGATCTGTCGGTCGGCGGAATGTCTGAGACCTGCACGGGGTAGATTGGCGACCCACTCCGATCTCATGATGATGAGGAGCATACACGGCATCCGACCGCCTGTCAAGCTTTGGTTCTGATGTTGTCAATGGTCGTTTCATTATTGATTATTTTCTACAGCCAAGCTCCGCGCATTTTGGGTTCAGGCGAGCCACTTGAGACATAATGGGCGTGAACAATGGCGCTGTGCTAGCTTAGCTAGGCATTGTTCGCGTCGGGTCATAGCGAAATAACCAATTGTAAATAATAATACGACATGCCCCGGAGTGCGGCCAAACCCGCACGAAAACACGATAGGGTCATCATGGTAGAGGATGTTTTGCGAGGATAAAGAACGGATAGAGAGTGAGGTCTTAAGACGTGAAAAATCAGGCAATTTCTCCGAGACATAATATCAGACGCCATCGAGTTTCCACCTCAACGTTGAAGCTATCCTGAACACCGAGACGGACTCACTCATACCCCTACCTGACGAACATGGGAAAACGGCATCTCCGAGACAAACTGCGGTGGCTGATGCTTAACCTGTGTCATAATTCCGCTGATAGGGCACTGCGAAACGCCGGTGTCCTCGTTCTGGACATTGCTCCGATCATACCCCGGACTATTCCTGGCACGATAGTCTGGCTGGGCGGTTACCGGCGGAATTCTTGACTACGATCGATCAGCCGTTTGTCGGCACCATGATGTTAAGGCTAGATCGAAGCCCCTTGATGGTGACACCCCATGACAGGTTATCAAACAAAGCTATATCGTGATGGGTCATGGGCTGATAGCTGGGCCAAGATCCAGACTAACCAACAATGTCACCCATGCGGAGGTTTAGCGCGTCTCCACCACGCCAGCACAGTAATTGTCAGGTCAGGAAGGGATCGACAGGCCCGCTTGTGCATCGTCATCTGTGTCGCCCCCTGTGATTGGAGTTGAACTTCACTATTAAACGGGAGGCCGAGGGCATCATGGACCCCCTCTCGGACTCCGGAGACACCCCCCCAAACCCCTGAGAATGCAATCTCTTGAACTGCCCCTGATTTGCTCCCCTGCGAGGGAGATGCTGAACTCAACCAGGCCATGGGCAATCGGACTAGGATCAACGCAATCATCGTGAAGATGTAACCCCCGCCTGCCTTGGGATCTGCGTGTTTGGAAGACATATTCCCCTCACGCTAAGGTCCCTGGCCCTGGAGAACAGACTTTGCCGTCTTCTGAAGCGTTTCGATTGGCAGCGAGATGGTATAAGATTTACTTGGCAGGTCCGCACTGCTTATCGTCGTGCCAGACCGGCCTCGCGAGAAGCTAGCAAGTTACAGATATAGACGGAGATTGGACGAACTGTGCCCACTCCGAAGAAGTTTAAATACCGAGATCCCCAAACTTGCATTCTGGAGCTTCTCTCAGGACTCCTCACCCACTGCACATCTACTCACGGCAGTATGAGACTTCTTGCTGGTTTATCGGCCGTCGCGGCCCTGCTGGGCTCTGTCCAGGCATCCCCCAAGGCCCGCTCCGCAAGCACCGTGTCCTCCATCGTGGAGAATGGCATCGAGTACACTGTGTTCAACCATGGAGCCACCGGGGCCAAGCTCCAGTTTGTGAACAACTCCGGTATTTGCGAGACGACCAAGGGCGTCAATCAGTACTCGGGATACATCTCGGTAGGCGAGAAGATGAACATGTGGTTTTGGTATGCTCCTACGTCAACAGCCTTTTGAACAACCCTGCGTTGTCTGCTATGCAACCGATCCGATCTCACCCCAGAGACTTACTGACCGCATGCAATGAAACAGGTTCTTCGAAGCCCGCAAAGACCCCAAGACGGCGCCCCTGTCGGCTTGGTTCAACGGTGGCCCTGGATGCTCGTCCATGATCGGCCTGTTCCAGGAGAACGGGCCGTGTCACTTCGTCGATGGCGAGAAGGAGCCCTCGCTCAACGAACACAGCTTCAACAACTTTGCCAACATGCTCTACATTGATCAGCCCATCGGCGTGGGCTTCTCGTACGGCACGGAGAACGTCAGCGGCACCGATGAAGCCGCTCCCATGGTGTGGAAGCTCATCCAGGCCTTCTACGAGCAGTTCCCTCAATATGAGAGCCGTGACTTTGGCATCTTCACCGAGGTACCCCGCCCACACCTAGCACTATCAAGGAGACGGGACCATGCTAACATGACTAGTCCTACGGCGGCCACTACGGACCTGGCTTTGCCAACTACATCCAGCAGCAGAACAAGGAAGTCGCGGCCGGCTCCGTGGAGGGAGAGAAGATCGACCTGATTGCTCTGGGCGTCAACAACGGCCTCATTGATTCCAAGATCCAGGAGAAGTCCTACATCGACTTCGCCTTCAACAACACCTACCGCCAGCTCATCGACAAGGCCGACCGTGACAGCTACTACGAAACCCTCGAGAGCGAGTGCCTCCCCGCCTTGGAGAAATGTCTCAAGGACGAGGACGACGATTTGTGCGCGACCTCTAGTCGGACCTGCTCTATGGGGATTGAGAACCCTATCGGCAACAGCGGGGACTTCAACGTCTACGACGTCCGCGCACCGGCCAACGACCCCAACCCGCCCAACACGTACCAGGACTATCTGGCCGACCCAGAGATCCAAAAGAAGATTGGTGCCAAGTCGGAGTACCAGGATTGCGCGAGCGGAGCCAACATGAGGTTCTCTTCGACGGGCGATCGTATGTTCCTTCCTGTTCTCGCTCTTCTTTAAAGTGGAGGCTGACCCTGCTAGACTCCAAGTCCTATCTCGACGAGCTGTCCAATGTCGTCAAGTCCGGTATTCAAGTCTTGGTGTGGGCCGGTGACGCCGACTGGATCTGCAACTGGTACGGCAACTACGATGCCGCCAACGCGGTCGACTTCCCCGGTAAGGAGGAGTTCTCGGGCAAGGACCTTAAACCCTACACCGTCAACGGCAAGGAGAAGGGTACTTTCAAAAACGTGGAGAACTTCTCGTTCCTGCGCGTGTACGAGGCTGGCCATATGGTTATGTACTACCGTGAGTATTCGTGTCCGTATCACGTATGCAAAAATGTGCTGATCGATTCCTAGAGCCCGAAATCTCCCTGCAGGCGTTTGTGCAGACGATGCAGAAGAAGCCGATCTCCTCGACCTAAATGGGATCGAATCCGTCGTAGTACTCGTTACGAGTACGATTTACTTTCTACCGTTGTCCAAAAGAAGTGTAGCCAGTGTATGGCCGTTCCATATTGTATTTCTTGCCTGGTCTCATCGCCCTGAGGGTGGAGCCCTTGGCATCTTTATGATAAATATTATATTTCATTTACCAATTTTCCTCGCCTTCGTATGGGACAGGCTAGATATTGATCCTATGTCGCCCTAATTTCAAGTCGTACTTCTAAGCACATATTCCAAATGATTTATTTGAATTCTGTGATGGGATAGATGTTATGTCGCCCTCAAAGGTTGGTTTGGGGTACCGACCAAGACTATGACTCGGCTTTTCCAATACTCACTTTACCGGACAGGTTATGAGAACCGATAGGGAGTATGAGACTCTTTGACATGCTGTCTGCATGTATTTCATTGTCTTCATCAGCAGATCTGTGCTCCTCAAACAAGTTGACAATTCCGAACGAGGTAACTTGTCATATCCAGGCACTGGAAATGACACATGAGGCGCGACGAGCACAGTGAGTACAAAGAAAGTCCTGCATGTACTGCCTGCTTTGTACCCTTTGATTCGGCGTTTTGCATGTCAATCCTCGTTGTGCTCACTTTGTCTTTTGTGCCTTGGTTCGAACGTGTTGCCTCCTTTGTACCCTTTGATTCAGTGCTTCGCGTGCCAATCTTCGTTGTGCTCGCTTTGTCCTCTGCTTATTGCTGTCTAAATTCCAAACATACTCCTCCAAGAACGGATGCATATAGATATAAAATATTCGTCCGAACTGCACTGATATGGTTGTCCGACTTTCATCTCACATACAACAACAACTATATACAACAACCATCCACCTAGAATCTTTGATCGGCATATTCGTTACTTCCTAACCACATCTGAGCTCACGCCATATTGACGCAATGTCCAATTCCCGAACCTTCAGTGTCCTTCCGTGCGAGCTTCTCCTCGAAATCGCCGAGTACCTGAGGCCTTGCCACCTTGTTGATTTCATGATGGCGCTTCCCAATCTTGCATACATTATGCCGAGGCGGCTAGTAGCCAGAGATGATGGATTCGTCACTGTCTTGGGCTACATGGCTCAGGACCGCGGTAGCGCGGAGATCTGTAGGCGATTGATTCCGCGCATGGAGATCGATGTCAATTATAGACTTCGATGGGACAACAGTGCATTGGACATTGCGATTAGGAGGCAGCACGATGTGATGGTCGATCTGCTGCTTGCTAGGCCGGATATCGAAGTCAATCGCTACGGTGAGCCTACCAACCCCTTGTATCATGCTGCTAGCACAAGATGTATCCCGAGTTTGAGGAAGCTTCTAGCTAGGAAGGATGTCGACCTCAACACGCGCACCGTGTTTGGATGGACCGCGTTGGGGCATGCTACAGTTTTGGGGTATACGAAAGTGGTGGAACTGCTCTTGAAGGCACCTGGGATCGTGATCGAGCCCGAGGTAGGTACTTTGGCTCCTCAGGGACGTAGTGTGGCTACTCAGGAAAGTAGTTTGGCTACTCCTCTGAGTCTTGCAGCTGAACGGGGCTACCGGGGTATTGTGAGACTACTTCTACCCCTGGCACATCAAACTGACGCCACAGGAACCCCGTTGGTTGACATAAACGCGCGAAGTCACCGCTCGAGGACTCCCCTCATACGGGCGACCCTGACCGGAAAAAGCAAGGTGGTTCAATTGTTGCTTGAACATGACCTAATTGACGTGAACGCCAGGGACAGGAACGGCCGGACCGCTCTCTCGCACGCGGCGCAGATGGGGTACCTCACGATCATGAGGCTGCTTCTGGCGCGACCCGATATTGACGTGAGAGAAAACAATTCCCGCCGGCGAACGCCGCTGGCACATGCCGCTGCTAGGGGGTTATTCAAGACCTGTAGGATGTTGCTTGAGCATCCCGATATCGAACCCCACGCGAGGGACTCGACGGGCCGGACACCCCTCATACATGCCGTCCAGTCCGGGAGCGTGCAGGTATTTCGCCTGCTTCTAAACCAGTGCGCCAATGGCGAGGAAGATTGGAAGGATCGTACGGGACGTGGCGCCTGGGACCATGCCGAGTTGAAGAAACGCACCGAAATGATGAACATCTTCGTGGACTATCAATTCGAGAAACAAGCCGGGTCCTACGATGAAAACGATGCGATGGATGAGGGCGATGAAAGCAACGACAGCGATGCGATGGATGAGGGGGAGGACTAGCGTGATCCAGGGATGGATGACGTTCGGATTCCTGGGTCATGATCAGTACCGTGTGGACTGATAGCAGGAACCCGGTGAGTAAATGGCACCCTGCCACATTAGAACTGATAGAACAAGGTTTTACGTGCATTTAACTGTAATATTTCCCGCAATTTGTCCTGTAAACCGTGTTCATTGCTTCGCCGCACCGCGTAGTTGTCCATAAGACCTGCGGGTTATGTGTTCCGCATATGCGAACGGAGTCAGGTGGGTAGTAATCTTTATTATAAGGTCCCTTGGTGTATGGAAGATTCCAAGTCAATTACGCGTGGGCATCACGAGGGTTGCTAAACAGCCAAGTGGCTGTGCTTCGTATCCCGCTGTGGCCGACTGCAGTTCTCACGCGTCATGTTTCGGACCGGGAGTTCGGAACATGATTCTCATTCGGTCTAGTATCGTCCTAGAATAAAAGATATCTCTCATCCACCATTAGTGACAACTCCAAGAACACTAACCAGCACTTTAGGGGGGGGGGCTTGACCTGGCTGATATCCCCAACATGTTCCGGGGCAGGGGCTCGACGGACCAAAATAGGAGTGATTTTGGACGTCGTAACGAATGAGCCGATGCATACGATCCACATTTCGTCTGTCGGGGGACGACCGATCCCGATAGTCTGAGACCTTCAATTCTATTCATGGATCGGATGTCGAGACAGACGCTCTGCCGAATCGACGTCACATCTGCATGTCTAAGACAAAAAGGCTATATATAACCGAATCGGTGGCTACGCCAAGACGACGCCGGCTAAAACCCGCCGCCCGATCGAGCCCTGTGGAGCCGTCGCCGTATTATCCGAGAGCTGGCCAAACGGGGACGATCAACACTATAAATACCGGCCTGTCCTCTTCAACAACAACCAATTCCTCACCATCGCCCTCATCAATCCCATTTTCTTCAACAATACAAAACCAAAAATCATCATGAAGATCGCCGTTGCTCTCTCCACCGCGCTGGCCGTCACGGTCTCCGCGTTTGACAAGAATATCCGTACGTTACTCCCTCCAAGTCAGGATGAGCCAAGCTAACTAGATATCACCAGCATGGGGAAAGCGGGACTACCCCTGTGTCAATGTCTTCCAAGGCATCCCCGACAACTCCACCGTCAGCCCCGGTGCCAAGATTGACATCAAGTTCAACCGGGCGCCCACCACCCACTGCGACGACAGTCTGGCCAAGTACAAGGGGGGCGCCTACTCCGTGTGGCTATACAACAATCTCTCGCGCGACCGCGACAACATCAACTTCGACGAACGGGTCAAGGTCCAGGGTGATATCGCCGAGTCGGATGGTGCGGTGACCATCACCATTCCGAATGATCTGCCGGCGGTTGATGATAAGACTGTTTGGTATCTGCGCCTGGATACCACGTTGATCAATGCGCCTCAGGTAAGCCATTCTGCTGGAGATCGTGATTAGTACGTCTAACTGACTGGATAGATGCCCTCTCTCTTCAATGCCGCGGGACCGTTCACCATCAACTAGATGGTGACTCGAAACTGTCCTCTATTCGGTGCCAATGTTGTGCGAAGTCCACTATCTTCAACCAGTTCATGAAAGCGTCTTTGTTCATCCGTCATGCATAATTATTTCCCTAATTTTGGCTCATTTCTAAATACGTCTGTGCCTGTTAATGGCGTTCACACCAAAGACAAACTCACCCTCACGACCTGTACTTTAATTCTTTCATTTTGAATATGATGTCCAACATGTCACTCCGTCGTGTATGCCTCATCCACCCTAAGTATCCATCATAGTATATGTTCAAGAACCATCAACCCCCCATCCCAACGAACAAGGCTCCCACCACACCCGCGAGCGGCGCATATCCCCAATGATTCCACTCCCCATGTCCATTCCTCCAGCAGACGACCCCATCCCCGACGGCGACCGCACCAACCGCCAGTAAGATCCACCCCAGAGCCCTCCGGGACCCACACCACGCGGTCGCGTAGATCGCGATCCCCATAAACATGTCGCGAATTCCGTAGACGGTCAGCAGGTTATCGACGAGGTTCTGTTCGGCCTCGATAGCGGGGTAGTCAAATTCGAAGAAGGAGAGCGCCTGTTCCGGGCGGAGGATCGCGTTAATGCCGAAGCTGATGCAGATTGTGCCCAGAGAGGCGGCGATTAGGGGAAGAATTGCGGAGGTGGTTGGCATTTTCGGGGTTTGTTTTCCTTTCTTTCTTCTTCTTCGATTCTCTAATGGGTCTTTGGGTTGGAATGCAGCTTGTTTTGCCAGAATAAATGTGGATAGGATGGAAGGTGAGAGCGTGGTGAGATGGGAAGTCAGAGCGTGGTGAGATGGGAAGTTGAAACCCCGCTGCTGCCTGGAGGTTTGTGGTGGTTGGACCGGAAACCATAATATTTTTCTGACCAGTCAGACACACAGTATTATAATATCGCTAATGAATATGTCATACGAGAACAAATAAATGGTGTATCGTGATGTTGACGACCTTGTCGTTGAACAAGTAGCGGTTCATGCGCTCTTCCTAAAATATATGCCCCAAAGTACCCTCTATGCGATCCTTTCTAACTCCAGCCATATAGCCGCTATCCTCACCGCAGTCATCCTATTCTTGACGCGCTTTCGACTTCTGGCTCCGTCCCAGAACGACCGTACTTAAATCCCCCACCGGGATAGCAATTGGAAAGTCGACAGACTCCAGAAGCTGGGCGATAAATATGTACCAGATTGGCATACACAGTGCAAAATTAAATGCTCCGCCGATCTATTGCCAAGTAGTTAGCGTACCATTCCCCTGCTTTCGAAAATGAAGCAATCAGCCACTAACCACTTGCAGTTTCTCTGCCATAGCAGTCGCTCCCAGAGCCAGCTGGAAGTAGGACCCGGCGAACAACCCAAACGTAATGACGAGCAGGAACAGCGCCCCGAACAGACAGACGTTGGTTCGAATCGAACAGATCAGGTACACGAAGGTGACGACGGAAAGAGCGACGTAGTAAAACCCTAACGTGGCGTTAATAGAGCTTTCCCATGGCAATAAAGACATAGTCCGAGGTCATACCAGCGGTAGCATGGAACATTGGTGTCTCCATGCCTTCAAGATTACTCCCCGAGGTCGCATATTGTAAACCGGTAGCGAAGAAGGGCATTAATGTTGTAGCTTGTACGATCCAGAAGGTCCCTTGTTTCGGTTAGCTTGTAGATCTGAAGGCGACATCATGGAGAACTCACCATATGTAAAGAAAACAGCACTAGAGAACGTGTTCCCAATAATCCATTCGCCGATGGCACCGATGACCTGCACCATGCCGCCAAAGAAGATATACACCGGTCTACACTGTCGTCAGAAAGTGGGCCCTGAAACCGCCCAAGAGCAGAACTCACATAATTGCGCCACCAAGCCCGCCGGCACCACGCCATCCCATCAAGATACACGCGTTAGGCGTCGAGGCCACCAAAAACCCCATCAGACAGATTGGCGTTGGGTTTCCCAGCTTCTTCCGCAAGTCGCCCGCGACCGACGGATGCTTGGGAGTTAGGTACAATTTCTCGAACACATCACGCGGGAGAGGCAGGAGGACACTCTCAGCCGTCTTAGTCGGACGGAGTGTATCGTCCTGCTTTTCGCTGAGATCGCTGGACATGGTTTGGAAGGGTTCTTTGCTTTTGGGCTATAACGAACAGAAAAGGAAGATTGAACGGTTTGCGAGACAGCAGCGGGCTCAAGATCTCTTCAGAGCCTTCTGTTCCCCTTTTTATAGCCGCTGGGGAATTCCCGCTACTCCCCAAAATAGCCAATGTCCCCAATGGTGACGACTTCACAACAATGTGGGGAAAACGCGGGGTTGAACCGAGTAAACTGAGTAAGGGAGCAGTGCCATGGAGTCAGCTGGTCTCAGGGTCTGGCTCTCTTTCTGGATCTCTGGTGGGTGAGCTCCACTGTGCCTGGAGATGGGCCCGGAGATCGCGGTATCGCGGGATGAAAGCCGCACCCCTATATGGGCATGGCTGGCACACCGTGTCCAGCTATTTCATTGCTATGAGAGTCCCGTTATGTGTCTGTTGAAGGTCCATATCGCACCGAGAAGCTCGCATCGTGATGGGAGGCTCGCACCACGCTTTCCCTGCCGTGTCCCGTCTCAAACGTCGTAGTGATTCGGACAGTCCACGACGTGGCAAATTCATCGCGGTACCCCAAAGCCCCTAATGCTGCAGCCCCACCAGAGTAAAGCTGAGGCGGTTCTTCTCGTCCAGGTATCTCATAGTACCCGAGGTGTACCCCGGAGACCCACCAGAATCAACACGCACCACCATAATTGGTGCGTATAAACTGATCTCCAAATGGCTCCAGAAACTAGCCATCCCGCTCTAAACTTACACCGACCAGCATCCTACCAAGGTTTATGCATAATTTAGGCGGCCATGTGTGCAAAACAGTGGTTCTCCCCCTCTTCCACTCGTACGGACCCGATTTTATTGGAGTCTGTGGACCATACCCCGAGGTCGATTCCTGGTCAGCAAGATGAATCACGAGACGTGTGGGCAATGCTCGCATCGTGGATTATGACAACATTTGCCGTATATAGGTAGCCGTGTCGGTTCATTATAAGGCTAGAACTGCCGCCCAGGCGATAGCTGAAAACCCAGTGGGGCGAGCCTTGATTGTCTCGGCCGAGAAACAAACGCAGGCAGAAGCAGTGCGTGCACGGAGTACAGCACATCCAGAGATCAGGGTGATGCGACCGTGGCCCAGTTTCACAGAGCGCAATCCCAAAGAGAAACCGTCTACCGTCGAGAAACGGAGTAGCGGGTGTCTAGCATCCTCAATAACCACAAAATATCTAGGCTGATATCCTCCGGATCAGAGATGTTATCTGAAAGGCATCCGGATTACAGAACAAAACAGTTCAGTAGACACGCGTCGCTACCTCTCTCCCAACCATGGATCAAGGATGCCACGAATTCACCTACCATGAACATGAGTCTGATTTGATAAAATTCCAAAACTCTGACGATGTTTAATCGTCTCCTGTCTACCCAGCCACTGCTCAGGATCTGCGTGAGAACCCACCTAGTCAAGGCCAAGGTATCGTTGACCTCGCCATGTTTGATGGACTGACTGAATATTCAAGCTCCCCGCCCATCTGTGGCCGTGATTGTTAGGATAGACTGTGTCCCCCCGCTGTTTATACAGAGAATTTGCTCGGAGAGAAGAACCATCTTCTTCTGATTTGTATCCATCGTTCGCGTCTCACTTGGGAATTTCAAAGCAATTTCAAAGCTGACAGTCACGTAACACGTAAATTGTCGCAATATAAGATGGTACATAAAGAGGTTTCCACAAAGTTCAGAAGCGCCTACATATATTTTGCAGCCGAGTGATATTCTTTGCGACATATGTGTATGCGATAACGTATTCGACGGGTCGATTCGCTGTACATAGAACATTCGTAGGGAGACGAACCTGATTGGTTTGTCGGTTGGACTTTTTCTCCGGTCCAACTCATTCGTACTGTACATAAGACGTCCGTCGACGTCCCCCGACGTTCGACAGACCAGAGACAGGCACGAATAGATTTCATTCGATCCACCTTCGGCCAAGCGAAACCACATTTATATACTACGTAGTATGTCTCTCTCTCTCGCAACGTGTGCAGCGGCGTAGATCGGCTGAAGGAGGTGTATGCCTTCCCATCGCTGATGCGTAAATCAACAGTGATCACCTGTCATGCTTGTTTTTCTTCATTTCTTTATTTCTTCTGTTTCTTTGTTTTCATGTCTGCTTACATTTTCTCTGCTTCCTCCTCTTCTTCGTGTCCCTTCTATCGGTTTCCTGCCCTCATCCATCTCCGTGGTTATCTACATCCCAGGGCTTATACCACCTGGCAACAGCCGTTGGCTTGTTGTGATAGCGAGGGGAAGCCATCGGCACCGGATTCCATAGCATTGAGACCACAAGCCTTGCTCACATAGGCTTCCAGTCTATGAAGCAAGCCCCATTCTCGGCTAATGTCCGTGTCAACTAACTGATATTACTTGGCCCGGTGTCCCATCTTGTTACCCTTGTCCCATGCGCGTAAAGTTTGTGCATTCAAGGTCGATCAATTGGGGCCATGTCCCCAGCAGACCATCACCATTTTGGGCTGCCGGAAATTAACACCAGTATAAAGTCTACCCCAAGCCAAATAACGTGCACGATCAGCGTTCTTGGTGGTCAGTGTCTATTTGAGCGAAATTTGGTCGAGGGTTTGTTCGGGGACACCAGTCATAAGCGCGTGCTCAATTGATTATCAAGACTCCTCTACTCCTACTCTGGTGTACTCTCGTTTGCCTTGTACGCTGCTGGTGGTATATCTTACTAACACTCGAATACACACATTCCACCACTTTTGTGATACTGTATCAGCCACCTGTCTCATCACAGATTTCACTCCAGCAGCTCCCCCGCACCCCAAGCGGATCTATGGGCTAAAAACCTCGCCTAGACTAGGACCTTTGCCCGTGCGAGAGTACATTTACTCTATGCAGCAAGGATCATCACCGTGTGGCTGGCAAGGTTGGGCAGACACGCGCTGATAGTTTTCCCGCTCAACTTGCATCCTAAATATTCCTATTAGTGAAGACTCATCTCGCCGCACATGGTCAGTTCTACCACAGTCGTTATGTCATGTTTTGCTTTCACTGGAGCGGGCAGAGACTTCTGGGGGATCGTCAGGGGCGTCTAGCGCGAAACGTCGATCTCCATCAAGCCGAGGAATCTGTCAACTGTCATATGCGCTTGACACTCACTCATATCTGATCGGAATTGTCCGATGGCCTTGAATCAATTAATGTCTTGATCGTAATAACTCTGCTCAATTCACAATGAACGCGGGGGTTTGATGTTGGCCAGTAGGTGTTTTTTTCCACAGGCGTTGGTGGCTAGTCGGTGGGCCAGGATTACTATTTGTAGCTAGACCTAGGCCATTTTTGCTGGATTTGTTGCTGAATCCTTCTTCAATCATTAACCTATAATCGACAACGAATCATGCAGGATACTCCACTATTCGTCTGTCTAATCGGCAGGACAATTCGATCGGTGCCCCTTATGGGCGGTCTTTTCTTCATTAGATCGCCCCTCAAGGCATAAATGCGCCATTGTTCCCCCCCTCATGTTGATTCCCTGCGATTGATCGCTTCATCCCCTCACCGTGACTGCCGCCTAAGCTCAACGAGACGTTATGGCACCTATCTGGACCAAAGTTGTTGCGCTGGCCAGCCTTGCGGCCTTTGCTACAGCGGCCGATCTCCAATCCTGTCTAGACGCCGCCACTCCCAAGGTTGCCTACGAGGGCGACCCTCTCTACCAGGCTCTCGCGGTGAAGAGATACAATTTGGATATTAAAGTATCCCCCGCCGCCGTTACATTTCCTCAGAATGCACAGGAAGTTGCCGAGGTGGTACGCTGTGCCTCGGAAAATGGAGTGGCCGTACAAGCCAAAAGTGGCGGCCATAGCTATGCCAATCATGGATTGGGAGGGGAAGACGGCGCGGTGGTCGTCGACCTGAAGAATCTGCAGCGGTTCAGCATGGATACCCAGAGTTGGAAGGCCTCCTTTGGGTCTGGTTTGCTCCTGGGCGACGTCACAAAACAATTATCCGAAAATGGCGGTCGAGCCATGTCGCATGGAACGTGCCCCCAAGTGGGCTCCGGCGGGCACTTCACCATCGGAGGCCTGGGACCAACCTCGCGGCAGTTCGGCGCCGCTCTGGATCACATTGTGGAGGTGGAGGTCGTGCTGGCCAACGCGACCATCGTGCGCGCCTCGGAAAACCAAAACCCGGACGTGTTTTTCGCCGTCAAGGGTGCCGCCTCAGGCTTCGCCATCGTCACCGAATTCGTCGTGCGCACCGAGCCGGAACCCGGCCAGGCCGTGCAGTACGCCTACTCCTTTACTTTCGGTGACACTGAGTCGCGCGCGAAGCTCTTCAAGCAATGGCAGGCCTACGTGGCGCAGCCGGATCTCACCCGCAAACTGGCGTCGACGCTCACGCTGCTCGAAGGCAGCATCTTCATCACCGGCACTTTCTTCGGGTCCAAGTCCGAGTACGAGGCTTTGAAAATTGAGGAGAACTTCCCGGGTGCCAACAACGCCAGTCTGATTGTCTTTGATAAATGGCTGGGTCTGGTCGCCCACTGGGCCGAAGAGGTCGGCCTCCAGATCGGTGGCGGCATCGCGGCCAACTTCTACTCCAAGTCGCGCTCCTTCACGGAGAAATCGCTCATGTCGCCCAAGGACATCGACCGCCTCTTTGAATTCGTCGACAACACCGACAAGGGCACGGCGCTGTGGTTTGCCATCTTTGATTTCCAGGGCGGTGCCATCAACGATGTGCCCCAGAATGCCACGGCGTTTGCCCACCGTGACACCCTCATCTGGTTGCAGTCGTACGCCATCAACTTGCTGGGCGAAGTCAAGCAGGAGACTTTCGATTTTCTTGACCGCTTCAACGAAGTGACTGTAGCTGGTAACGCTGCTAGTGTTCCCTACGAGGCTTATCCGGGATACGTCGATGCCCGACTGGAGCAGCCGCAGCAAGCCTACTGGGGATCGAACCTCGATCGTCTCAGGAAGATCAAGGCGGCCATCGACCCGGGTAACGTGTTCCGCCACCCCCAGAGTGTACAAGGGGCGAAGTAGGATGGCTCTTACGGTGTGATGGTGACTTGGTGAAATACTGTCGCCATCGTGATGGTCCATTGATAAGTAGTATACCATAATTTAATTTCAATAATGATTGACATAACCGCCTGCTCAAGGAATCCTACTCTCTGTTCTTCTCCAAGACGGCCAAGACAGTCCAGTGGATTACCGCTGTCAAAGGTCGAAATCCTACCCCCCGATGGTACCCAAGCAGTGAACTGGCACTTATGACAGGATGAACCCGCCAGTGCCAAAGGCCTGGGCCAAGAACCTGACATGCCAGTGGCGTTTTTCCGGATGCTTGTCTTTCCGTTCCTGGTGAGCTGTGTCCCATACTGGCGTTGTGGAACCAGCCACTGCAGTCGGTGAAATGCTCCACACAGGGTTTTCTCACTGCAACCCATGCAGATCCTTTTCATTCTGCATACAATTATTACATATATGTTCCTCGATTGGTTGCCAGCAATTTCGATCAGGAATCCCACTGTTTTCATCGATCACCCCACCGGTAGAGGGTGGTGCTGTCCACATTTCCCTGCTTGCGGCCCATCCCTTCATACTCCCCCAGCCCCACAAAGAACATCACCGTTTTTGGTAACTCACTGTCCGTGACACTCATGTTTTCAGACCCTATACACGGACACAATATGTTTTCAGAGCCCCTCACAGAGATACATAAGGGGTCTAGAAACCCCGGGATTTGCTCGACATCTTCCAAGATATCGCATCATCATCATCAGTCCACATCATCAATACAGTTCTTGAATCCACCAGTCTCTTCCATTCCTATTCATCTCAACCAAAACCGTTACCAGTATGGATCCTATTCCCGCCCAATCTCAAACAACCAATCAAGTCCCTCGCTAACTGACCTAGCACTCGCAAAGATGAAGTTCTCCTCTGCTGTCCTCGCCATGACTCTTGGCCTGGCCGTCGCGGCGCCCACCTCGGAGGGCAATGGCAAGCTAGTCGCACGACAGGATCCAACTGATGTCGCTGCGGACCCTTACATCGCGGACGAGGCCGCTTTCGCTGACAGCGCTGTTGAGGAGGCCACTGAGGCGGAGGCTGCCCAGGACTTCGCGCTTGAGGAGGCTACTGAGGCGGAGGTTGCCGATGACATTGCCATTCAGGAGGCCCTCGCTGGGGAAGCCGCCGTCGCAGAGATCGCCGCTGAGGAGGCTTTCATTCAAGATGCCGCGATCGCAGAGGCTATCGCTATCGAGGAAGCCGAAGCCTTCGAAGCGGCTGTCATCGCGGAGGCCATACTTGAAGATGCTGCCTTGGAGGCGGCCATCGCCGAGGATGCCGCCGTGAAGGAGGCCCTCCTTGAGGAGGCTGCCGCTGCTGCCCACTGCCGCCCTGGCTGCTTCCCCGTCCCCACCCAGCAGTGTGGCTCTACCTGTGCCAACTCCCAGGGCGAGTGCTGCGCCGCGCTCTACTAGATGACATTCTGTCGCGGACGTGAAGTGCCATGCGAGTGGCACTTTCCTAAGGGTTGTTTCCTGTACTAGTTGGACTTTTCTGTACTGGTTGGAAATTCCGAGAAGTTCGGGGCTATGGAGTTGTGTACCTCGTGGGCTTTTCGCCCTTATTTAATCAGATTGATTTTACGTTGTTCAGATGGATGGACTAAAGAGAGCTTCCGGATTCGGTGTCCTGGTAGGATTTCGCAGGCCTCGTAAATGTCCATTTGTGATCGAGCACCCGGATTAGACTAAGCTGCCGTTGATCCGCTTCTGGAGTAGATCGTCTCTTATCGAGTAATTCTGCGAACTCGACCCGGATTTAGGGCAATCCGGTTGCGGAAAAGACCCTCTTGTCCCAGCGTGCGATCAAATCCGGGGCGCCAATCTTTCTAGTAGCAATGCATTGGCCATGAAAACCGCTATATACGCTCCTCGGTCATAATTCATACATAACTTGCTTAACGCTGGAAAGGCCACCAATACCCGCCCCGAGCTTCTGTCACCTATCATACAACAACCCCTACTGACTGCATCGTCACCGGTCTTTCTTCTCCTCCGTCGCGGGCGCATCTTCATCCATCAAGTCACTCTGTCGCCGACGTCGCCCGCGATCTTGCATCGAGTCCCGGATCTTCCGGTTCACCTCCCCTAGATCCTCCGGTGATCCGATAGTCAGCGGTTTGAGGAGGTCGCCGAACCCCCGCGGGCGCGAGTCACCCTCAGTGCCTCGGCTTTCACTCCGGTTGCGACTCGGCGGGGACGTAGACGGCATGCTCTTCAGATTGGACTGGTAGGCGTCGTCGTGGAACGATCCGTGCGTGATCAGCTTTTCCGATTCGAAATCTGGGAAGATCTCCGGAGCCAGGGTGTCAACGGTATGCACCACCTGGGCGGACAGTGCCTGGCGCTCCGCTCGTAGTCGTACCAAGGAAGTTGACGAAATAGGACTCAGTGCCACCAGAAGTGGGGGTAATGACTTGAGCACATCGCCACCCTTTTCTCCAATTCGTAGCCCGGCAAACGAGACAGCGACCATGAGACCGGCAAAGAAGACAGCGAAAGCCCAGAGGGGGACCGCATCGGGGATGTAGACCCGGGCGTTCATCCACCAGGGCACTGTCGTAACAAGATACCGCTCGGCACGGCAGTATTGAAGCCACACGGTCGCCACGGCGGTGTACCAGATATAGAGGGCCGGGGCCAAGCCCATGGCGACAAGGATCTTCCAGGTCCCCACCACATCTCTCCCCTGCAGCTTGACGACCGATCCCGCCAGTGCCGCTCTTTGTTTCTTCACCGAGATGACTTTCGCCGTGACAAACACGGGCCAAAACAATGCGACGGAGGGCAAACTCCCGACGGCGAGGACCAGAATTTCTCCGACACGGTAGATTAACGTCGCCAGAATCGCCCACCAGTGTCGGTGGGCATCTCCCCATTCCACCTGGTGGTCACGAATCCCCAGAGCGCGGAGCCGCCGGTTGTATGAGGCGATGGCTTTTTTCAGCTGGACGACTTGCGGTTCATCCTGGAACTGGGTGTACCCCTTGAGTAGCCGCCGGTTCAACTCGACAACGATCGGCAGCGGTAACTTCATCCGCAGGGGCCGATAAAGTCGCCGGGTGGCCTGGATCACCATCAACGTCTCGGGGTCCGGGGCCTGTTGGGTCACCGTGCCCAGGGCCTTCTCGATGGTCTCCAGCAAAGAGCCCACGGCGTCGCGCTTTGCTTTGCCGCCGGCCTGGAAGGCGGAAATTTGATCGGGATGTACCTGCACCGGGTTCCCAAACTCGACGACGGCCCTCGACCGGAACTTGTTTGGATGGAAATAATTCATTCCGCAGGGGATGATCGACAGGCCGCAGGTGGGATCCCGTGCCAGCGCCCCCAATGCCATGATGGACACACCGGCTTTCAGCGGTAACAGGTTCGGCCTATCATGGCTACCGCCTTCGGGGAAAATGCCAATGCAGCCGCCGGCCAGCAGCTCCTGATACACCGCATCAAACATGCGATTCTGGTCGATGTGCGGGGCTACCTTGAAAGTCGTCCCCGTCCGCAGGGCATCCCGCAGCGGGTGGTCCTCGGGAAATTCCTTGAATGGTTTCCGCAGTCGCAACTCGTCGGGTCCCAGGATCTCGGCAATGGGCCGCTGTTCCGGACTGGTGCGCCCAACGCGGGGCAGGATGATCGCCCCGCCTGGCATGAACTTCTCCGTGGTGAAGTCGGTACCGCGACCGCGTACCAGCGTCGGATCACCTTCGGGATCAGGCAGATAGATCTGGCCCTCCGCTGAGGTGACTTTGTCCATGGCGCGCACCACGGGCAGGGCGCCCATGCAACCGGCCATCGTGCCGATATACGGCTCGTTCATAGACTTCTCGGCAATCAGGAAAGAGCTGCGACGGGAGGCCGATTCTTTCAAGATGCGCATCAGTAGGATCGAGTCGACAAATTGGTTGGCATGGGGGGCGGCCACGATAATGACGGGCCCGCGCCGGGGCACGCGCCATGCTCCACGGGAATAGACTTCACGAAAGAAAATGTCGAGACAAAAAGTGAAGACCCAGACACCCAGGTCATAGACCCAGGGAATCATATATCTTCGGGCCATTGAAAGTGGTGAGTGACCAGTGGGACTGACAACCGACGTTGTTGCCAGAAAAGGCGACCGTGGGGAGACTTGACAGGATTGAAACGGTCAGCAGAGAAAGAGGGGAATATCAACAGATCCCGATCCGGTCGGGCCGATGGGTATTGGAACGGTACGGTTTCCCCTTATGGCGCCGGGGTGTATGGGTATTCTTGGTATGGTATGTAATGTTCCACGCCATTGCATCGGCCTCGTGCTGGATTTCCGTGAGCAATTCCGCCCTCAATTGGATTGTTTGGCCTGAGGTAGAGCTCAGAAAAAGTAGGGCTTCCCCTTTTCTTGTCATCTTCAGCATTCGGGTTGATCTTGAAGTATGGTTAAGACAGTTGTCTTTGTGATCACGTGAGTGGATTTCTGGATGGCATGTGAAGATATATATCGCCAGGACGACCGAGTACTAGATCACGGAGTGGTCTGAGACCACTCAAATCCATCTCTTGGGATTTCCGTTGCAATAGAACAATCCTGCTAAACCCATATAACCTAGTCAGTGTGTGAAAAGTGCTATGGATTGGTTGTTGGACAGTAAACAATGGTTTTTAATCCTTTGAAAAAGACACAACAAACATAAAAAACATTCTGTATCATCTCCCACGATGACTTGACTTGGCCCATTTGTGGTCTTGGCTCTCACGCCACTATGCCTCGATACATGGACCACGAAGTTCTCCAGGGCTCCCTAGATTATCATTGATAATTCTACCCCTTGACCATGGCTGCTCGGGACGGCGAAGAAACGGACTTGGCGTGGACATTTTTCCACCAGTCGGGGATCGCAACGAGCCAGCGCATTGGTATATAAAGACCTGCCTGCCGGCTAGGGTTGCAATCAAGAATGGCTACCACTCACCATGTCTCTCACCTCTCTCCATCAGGAATTGTCTGCATCGTTGCTTCAGGCCGGGTTGCTAGAGCAGTCCGCCCCTCTCATCCCCCCCCATTTTAGTCCGGCCACGCGCCTTGACGTGTCATTTGACTCCAAGGCTGTTCACCTGGGAAATGTTTTTCGGGCCAGTGAATGCAAGTTTCCTCCTGTAGTGTCATTTGCTCCTGAGGTGTGTACCTGGATCCAATCCGAAGCAATGCCAAATTCCAATTCAGCCATATTCTAGGAGAATGCGCCATCCCGACTTTATACTCTTCTCCTGGTCGACCCTGATGCTCCAACCCCCGAAGATCCCAAATTTGCCTACTGGAGACATTGGGTGGTGTCGGGCTTGCAGCCCTCACCTGCTGACAATCAATCGTCCACTGTCCTGACTGAATATCTGGGGCCCGGCCCCAAAGATGAGTAAGTGTTGCTGGCTGACGCCTCGGACCGCGCCCTAACTCAGGCAGGTCCAATCCCCATCGCTATCTCTTTTTGCTTTTTCGAGAACCTACGGCATTTGCACCACGCAAAGAGGATGTAGGAGGGGAAGAGTTCGTGCAGCGGCGATCCTTTCCTGCCGCCAAGTGGGTAGAAAAACATGGCTTGGAGCTGGTGGGCGTCAATTGGATGCGAGGGGTTGGTGATGGCTGGTCTGGGTAAATGCAACGGCCAACAAAATTCTACCCCCGGGAGTCCTAGGACACAGGAGGAAGCTCTAGCACGATTTCGCGATTGGTTTTTGTCTACCGTGCCCGGAATCGTCATGAAAGTCGTGGATCTGATTTTGGGACTGGGTGTTTTGGAAGGTGTGCTACTGTGATAAATCAATATGCAAGCTGGCACATGGTGGTTTTCGCCACAATCGGTCGCATCTATAGAGGGTTCTGTAGCATAGGGCATTGCCATTGGTTGACATGCAGGTTGCTTGAGAGTGACTACACAAAATGGCCATTGAACTCTGATATACTATCAAACAATTCGCCAGGGCGTTGTTTCATTGTTTCTCTGGAATACTACCCTACATACCGTGGAAACCAAGCCGAAAGTGGGTCAAGCAATCAAAGATATTGCCATACACATCTACATCTTTCCTATCATGACCAGATCCTCATTGGAACGTAGAACTTTTGTTTTCTCCCAAAGTTAGCCGACTCATCATGACACACATACAGAGTGTATGCATTGACGTGGACCAGCTGGCCGTGAGCTTGAATCTGCCGGACCAAGTTCCAGCATTCCTGCAGCAAATCTCCTGCCATAGAAAGGACTACATCACCCAGAGCCTCCGATCCCGTATAGAGTTGCTCGAGGTCAGCCGTGCTTGACGTATGCCCTGGAGACTCCACGCGTAGCCATCGCCTGACATTGTTGGTCTGAGGTGCGCCACTTCCTCCTCGCGTTACCAAATGCCTTGTAGTACATAATAGCCAGCTGATTTCTGTGGGTCATGATTGCAGTCCACCAGTTACGCGGCGATCGAAAATGCCGTCGCTTTGAAGCTCTCCCCTGTTCTCGCCAAGAATGACAGTCCCAATTCGGTTAAAGAGCTCGCAGAGGCTACGACAAAACTATCCTTGCTCGGTAAGTCAGCATCGCCGTACCATGGGTGATGTAGAAGCTAACCAGGAGAACAGGCCGCTTGATGAAACATCTGGCTGAAATGGGTGTCATTACTGAAACAGGCCCGGTCCAGTATCACGCGAATGGACTCTCGACGGTTTTAGCCGTGGAGCGGTTCAGTGGCGCATTCTCTCCCATGTGAGCCTGCCGCGGACACAACGTAATCCCATTCAATACATCAATTCTAGGACACGTCGGTGTACTAAAGGCATCATGGCTCTTCCATTTTTGAAGAAAAATAACCGTCGCAATCCAACCAGCCCAACAGCCACGACATGCTAGCTGGATATACGGAACCAACGTGGTGCGCTTTAGACACGTATAGTAGGGGCTCTAAACGGCTAAGCAATTCAATAATCATATGTAGAGGTACGCTCAGGGCTGGGGCCAATGTATGGATGCAGACTTCTATCCTAGGCAACAGAGACTAATTCAGAAAGCGGGAATTGAAAAAGAGGATGCCCTGCTGGTAGATACGGACGGAAGATTCAGACACGACCTAGCCGATTTCCGCCACAAATGGCTCGTTGTTACCGGGCGATTGGTGCTGCAGGACCTGTATGAAGTTGTCTGCTCTGCCAAGGGTCTGGATCTGTCGATTGAAGTCATGGCGCACAATTTCTTCCAGCCACAACCGATCAACGGTATGCTCAACACAGCCACTCAGGCCACGCGTGCCTCTCTCTGGGTAGTAATTATGGAGTCTAATACCATCTCACCGGGTACCCGAGCCTACTATATGCACTCGACTCTTTACGACTGGCTGGACAATCTTTGCCACAAGGTCCTGGACAATGTGGTGTCGGCCATGGAGCCGGGGTACAGCAAAAGGTTGTTGAAGGAGAATGTGATGCAGGAGACTGGCGCCTATTGGGAGACTACCAAATTGGATTTGGTTATGATGCAGATCGGTCAGATGAGCGCACAGAGAGTCAGTGGTATGGCCTGATAGAGTCACTTGGCTTGAGAATTGTTAAAATCTGGACGGCGAAACCAGGCGTCGGGAGTGTGTTTGAGTGAAAGTTGGCCTGACCTGTGAAAATCTCAAAATCAGTAAATTACTGTCTACTAGAGAATTTCCTGACAGCTCCCTTTGTGACGAAATATCCTTTCGTTATTAACAGCTTTCATTTCTTGACAGGAAGGGTCTGGTAGTTATCATGGCGACCATCCGTGCCCGGACACAGTGATAGATTGGGCGCCCGCATCGGCAGTCAAGCCTGTTCTATTCATGGACAACCATCCGTCTCTCATGGTGACTATCCTAGCGAGAATCACCCAGCATTATCATTTTACTGTCAACTCAAGCCATGCCAGCAACCTTTTCTGGTTAATATGCTGTAGAAAAGTACCAACCTACCAATGTTGAGCGGCGTTGGCGATGTATCAGTGACGGGGAGAACCTAGTATTGAGGACGTTGTCCCCTTAATCCGACTTCATGGGCAGCTTACGTCGTGTTCACCATTTCCGTGCTCACGGGAAAGGATAATGTCAGGTGACCAGTGTGGTGCCTGGCCCAGGTCGCAGATAGATCTTTTTAGGTATTCTAGATAGCGATAATCATTACCAAATATAAGTTGCAAAAAGGGCCCCGAAAAATGGCGCCTCGCAGGCACAATTACGCTTGGGCAATAGTCAGTTCGATCAGATGACTACTATTTACATCTCCCCTGTTAGTGTTTATGGTGGTGGTTGCATTACACATTATCATGGGAATTAGGTTCAAATGAATCAGCCATCAACTGCTCTGCACATTCTTTGTGTACCAGGGTTATCACAATATAGACTTTACAGGATGATATTGGCATAATACTCACAGCGAATCATTTTCTCTTACCCCTGCGTTCAAGACTGTAGGATTCCGGTGAGACAGGACGCAGTTGTTACTGCTTATTAGTAGTGCTTATAATGAGGAATGCTCCATGAATCCTCATACTTTCTCCATTAGTAGGGCATTTTAGCCCCAAACATACCCCACAGATCTACAGTCTATCTCATTCGGGACATGTAAACGATCATTGAATAGTACAGAATTGTAGCACCGGCATATCTGTACATGGTACTGGACAGTCGAATAAAAGGCGGCGTGGTGGCTGAGTTGGCAGGTCACCTGGTTGACTCCAAAGAGATCTCTGGTTAGTAAGGAGTCTAACCCAGACCTATGATAAAAAGTAGCAGGTTCAATTCCCGCTGCTGTTATAAATAGCCAAGTTATCAAAGAGATAGAGATTATCTATAACATCATTCTAAATTAGTGGTCTCTCATTTATTCTTCACATTATGTACAAGAATATGAGAGTGCCTGGGATTTTAACAGTTTTCTCTTAGACTAGAAGCTAGTTATAAAGTTTAATTAAGTATCCATAGAAAAATCCGGCATTTGCTCCTCTATTTCTAAAAGAATAATATATGTTGGATATCAATAGTTTCAAGCCCTAAACACTCGCCAATTGGTGTTTTTGGTCTAGTGGCAAGGAATGAGAGTTCTACAATATATTATATAACTAGATAAGATACAAGCTGACTAGTCCTACTAGAGCCCTCCAGCCGTTGATAAAACTTGTAAAGATCAACCAGATATAACCAAGTATAATGCTTTACACACAGACAGTTGAATAAATTTATTCCAGTTGAACAATCATTAGCAAGAACAGGATGCTCTGTTCTCAATTTCCTCCCTGTTTCCAGAATAAGCTCACACACAGTCTTGGCATTTATACCAGATTCAAAAGTAATTAATTTGTCACTCATATTCATCAAGCAGCTGGTAGAAGTTTAGCATCAAGTGACCAAGTGCTGCTAGGTCTGATGCCCACGCCCTTCCATAGTCCGATAAGCCCTAACGACTCGCGATTTTAGAGATCTACATACCCAAACCTTGATTTGTGTAAGTATAGGAGCCTAGGGGGCACTGGGAAATGGGGTATATAAATTCCCGTGACCTTCCTGAGAAATAGAGTACATCTAACCACGACCACAAACTTCTCAATATCCATAGCCCTTCCATTGGCAACTCTGCCATTCCTGATACAATGCACCTTTTTACTACAATCTCCTGTGCCTTTCTTCTCACCGCAGCTTATGCTCACCCTCAACTCGACAAGCGCGGTCTCAATGTTGTATGCGAAGTCGATGCCCACGATTATGATAATGAAACTAGTGGGGCTTCTCCACTCATAAGCGACTGCGAGATCATGAAGAACAACATCAAGGGTGGAGGGGACTGGAAAGTCTACCCCGACGGCCGTCACCATCAGCTCATCCAGGCTGGAACATGTGCTTTTGGGGTGGAAGGCCAGGGTATCAACTCTGCTCGATTCAGGATTGGTAATGGTGATATCTACAACATGATCACCAATTCGATACGAGACTTTGGTAAGGATGGCAAAGTTGGTGCATCAGGAATCATTGGATGTGGACTACAGGGAGCCGAAGGTGCTATTGATGTGAAATGGAATATTCTTCACAACTAGAGCAAGTGACTATGTACGGAGTAGTACACAAAAGGTCACATAACTAGACCCAGTGGTTGGCTTGGGTTTTAATACTTTCTGTTCCTAGTGTTGATTGTGTATATTGTCTCCAATGTATACCTGGCTCTGTGGAGGGTCTGCAATGTTTTCGTTTCTTTATCTATGCACACTACCATAGGGATATCTTCCTTGTCCAATTATTATACAAGCGCCATGTGCTTGAATAATCTCTTGTTTGAATTAAATAGTGTACATTTAGTATTTTTGCAACTTTCAAGCCTGTTGTTATAAGCCATCTAGGTCCTTATTCCTTTCCAGGTCTTGTCAACCTAATCAGTTCCACTGATATTTATCCAGTCATTTTATATCTAAGCTCTTCAGATATCCAGGAATTGACTTAAATACTGGATAATATCCTGGCATGTTCGTCAGCATGAAAAGTATTGTCCCACTTCCTGATAGTAAGTCACACAGACTTCACTATACCTTTTACTACAAGTCTAATGGGCAGAATGTGCTGGCCATGGTTATATTAGCTGCTTCTTATGGATCTCCCCTTTATGATTGGTCGTTTTCGAATGATGCCACCTATTGGCCCTTCTCTATCTTCATCAGAGATACATGTGATGGAAGTACTTTAAATTCTAATCAGTATCAATATCGCGTGATGTATATAAAAGAGTGTGGAAAATGTAGTCATTGAAAGACCCCAACAGTGCCCAGAGAAACCAGAAAGAATGGTATATATGGTTAAGTTATAAGTTCAGGATGATACTAGTAGTGAATGAAGTTGATTCCCGACCAGAACAAGACTTTCAATATCATTACAAAAGTCAGCCACCAGTACTAATCCAACATGTCTCAAAGCCGTACAAAGTAGTGTTAATATCTGTCACATGTTTCTAGCACCGAATTAAAACCCACCAATGTTCCATTACAATGGGAATGACAAACATTGGTCTAACATCATTGATGCTCTCCAACAAAAGTCTTGTTCATGGATGAATCCCATACCGTATCTCCTTCAAAACAAATATGCAAACAGATACGGAACTGACTTTAGGGTCTTTATTAGGGTAGCCAGGGGCTGTGTGAGAATATATACCCTCGAGATAGCAAACCTGTTCAAGATACCAGTTAGAATAAGCCCGATATTAAACACAGGTCAGCATTCTGACATACTGGTTAAGGGATTATGAGCCCTTCTTTTTTTGAGAGATCATGAGTTTGGCTCTCACCCACCTCAGAAAGACCTACTTTGCAAACCAGTACCCGAAAAGATCAGTGTCAGTGCCAGACCTAGAAACCAAGTCATCTAAAATAGGCCAAAGCATATGATACTAGAGCTAAGAATAGCGAATGTTTCGATCCTCATGTCTACTAAATAAAGGTTGAGGGGTGTGTGCCAGGGATAGCTAAGAAAAACTACTATCTATGTTTACGACTCGTCGGCTTGACTGGATGAGAGGAATTTGTGCAGTACTAGCAACACATCTCATGGGGTCCAATGTCTAGCATTCTAGCAATGTAAAATAACTTCCATTTGAAGCGCCAAGAAAAGGCTTTTGCTTTGCCTATATATTTCAACAGCCCAGTATTGACATGCTATCACAAGGACCGTGAGAGGATGCCATTTCATTGCTGCCCAGTGAAAATTACCCGACACTTGCTACATGTGGATTCCATGATGGATTTATGACGCACCACCGTTATACAAGCCGTGTCATCCGATTCAGTGCTATCCACTCATCACCAGCTTCCAGATTACCGATTATGTTTGAAAATATACATCTTCGAGACGCCATGGAGAACAGCACTCAATCATGAGACTTGGCATAGTAGGACCATCATTCCGTCGGACAGCAGTCCATGAACCGTGGATTTCGTTTTGTGCCTATCGCAGAGAATACTCAATAAAGTAACCTTTGCACATCGTCCACTAACATCATGGAGAGTGGGGCCCTCACGATAATGTGGGGCGAGCTAAGTGATTTAACATGGGCTCTTGCGGGTGATCATTGCGATTCAGCAAATCTTCGACTTGGGTCCTTGAGCATGATTGTCTGATCTGTGACGGGGATGGATGGGTTCAGCGTCTGGAGGGGTACTAGATGCACTACAAACCATTGATATAGGGTTCATTGGTTGGCTTTCGACTGTTTCAAGGTCAATTGCATCCTTCTTCAGTATAATGAAGCCGTACGATGATAGAGCATACGTGGCTACCGGTCTGCAGACAACATACGCGGCTCTCTAATATCTTTAGCTCTATATTAATGTCGACAAACATGTAGAGGTGGCCGGGAACGATGCATCCACCGGGATTATGAACATCTTGCACTAGACCAGGCCGCGAAATCCTATTTCACACTCTAGGCATCGGATAATGATGTTCCGACCTCTTGAATAGGCTCGACGGGACAGAGATTGGAAGGAGCGGCTGCAGGTCCCCAGTCAATGTACTGGTAGAAAGATGGAAGGAATGTCTGTGTACTTCGTCATTCCCCTTAGAGATTTCTATATATGACGTCTCTGTATGCCGATTGATGCTCGGAACTACTTCCTCATTAAGCTTTCAAGTTGTAGAAACAACCTAGTAAAACCTTGCTATTAAAGCGTTGGGGTAGGCAATCCCCATGTTATTCGTTATCGGTGCTTCGAATGAATCAAAACCCCACAGATCCACACCTCGGTTCCAAATAGACCCAAGCGTCAAAACCCATGTCTTCACGTGGGGTAGCCTGATATATGGCTCTTAAATGGCGGGGTACCGAGCCTAAGGTGGCCTCTCGAATCAATATTCGATGGAACATAATTTCGCACTATTATCTCAATATTCTACTCTATCTCTGCTTTTCCCGACATTTTGAACTCCCTCCTCCAAGAATGGCCTCCGTCGTTCGCAATCCAAAGGATTCGATGAAGTCTACCTGGCGGTCATGGGATCGAGCCCAATGGACCCGTTGGCACTGGCTTATTGAGGTGTTGAACATCCATCATTTGGATCTGGATAAAGATTACCCTGTGCACCAGAAGACCGACAAGGTACCCGACGCACCGGAACTGCAGTTTCATATTTGGGTCCTCGGCCATGCCAGTATCCCTCTCATCCTACAGCAGCTCTACATATATTACTACGGACAAAACCTTGCGCCTTGGATTGCCTACATATTCTACAGCTTGGCGCTAGAAGCGAATGCTGTCCATGAAGTACACGTCCTCCGCCATGTGGGACATCAGATAGGGTTCTTGGATGGCGATAAACATCCCAGAGATGGGGTGCCTGATGTTGGGGTTTGGACTACCGCACAGTCCCTGTTGTCGGTTATTATACTCCGTCCAATGTTCTCGGTTTTTCTAGCCTATGATGTCAACAAAGCCCCATCGTCAATCCCATGGGTGTGGCTGTTCTTTGAAACAGGTGTATATGCGGCCGTTCTCGACTTTTGGTACTACGGCTTTCACCGTTCCATGCATGAATCAGAGTCGCTTTGGAAATACCATCGCACACACCATCTTACCAAGCATCCCAACCCTCTTCTGACGGCATATGCCGATTCGGTCCAGGAATTCTTCGACATTGTTGGAATTCCCTTGATGGCATATGGCACAATGAAATTGATGGGATTCCCCATGGGCTTTTACGAGTGGTGGATATGCCAGCAATATGTTGTGTTCACGGAGGTGCTAGGTCATAGCGGTCTGCGTATGCAGGCAACAGCAGTGAACCCGTGGACCTGGCTGTTGAAGTTGTGTGGGATGGAGTTGATGCTCGAGGACCATGATCTTCACCATCGCAGAGGCTGGAAATCCAGCTACAACTATGGCAAACAGACCCGTATCTGGGATTGCCTGTTCGGAACAACTTTACCTCGCGTGGAGACACATAAGGACAACATTGATTATGTGAACACTGCTAAAATCCCGTTGATCTGAGTGGGGAAATATGGGGTTGTGTACATAGGTTATTTGTACTTTCCTTAGAACTAGGAACGATATCTATTGTATCCCAATATATGCTGGATATGCCATTACTTCAGCGTGTACATACGGCATTTCTCTGGGTGTTAGCCATATTGAACTGACTTACAAGATGTTATAAGAGAATAACAGAAAAATACCATGGAGGTTTTTGATCATGATAGTATTTCTCTCCACGATCATATTGTATTTTTTTTTTGGGCTTCTTTTCTTTTCTTTTCTCTTTTTTTCGTACTTTATCCACTTATGCTTCTTATACACAAAACCGACTAGTGCCACATGTTCCAATCTATAATCGGGCAACATCGTGCTGGGGCCTCACCAGTAACAAAGGAAAAGGGGATGATTAATGAGAGACGGGTGCACACAGTGCCCGGTGACACAACCAAAGAAAAATGAAAACAAGACAATGGCGACGCAAGAAAGGCAAAACCAGAATAACAAAGGGGGAATGGAAGTGAATATGAGAGAGAACAGGGAAATGCAAATAAAAGGTAGAAAAACTGTTCAAACCAAGCTCAATGAATAACAACCAAAAAAAGGAGTAAAAACCGGAAGTGTCCGCGGAAAGACTTTACGAAAAAAAGTGGGTCCAGGATATATGCGACCCCTTGTAAAACTCGGCTCACGGATACAACGATAGACGACTTCCCATGGCGCTGGGGCTGGGACTACCGAAGATGGTCGATGCGCTGGGGGTAAGAGGAGGCGCGGCCACCCTGGTTCGCAGCACGGATCGGATCTCCTTGGCACTCCGTTCCTTCCACTCGGGATATCCGGCAGTGCTTTGGGGAAATAGTACCATGTTTTCATCGCGAGCGCCGAAACTCCGAGCGATTGGCGGAGGCGTGGCGGTGATCATATCCAGCTCCTGGGAGATGCGTCGACAATAGGTGTCCAGGGGCAGGTCATTGACGTCGTCACCGAACGGGTTTTCGATTTCGCGACCGATGGCGGAAAGGCCTAGGATGATATATGCGGCCGCTGTGGAATAAGATTAGAGGTTGGTGGGTACGCCATGGGGGAGGGGGCAATACCAATCGAGCCAGGGATGGTCACCCAGGAGAGGGTGTCGAAAAGCTGGAACGGAAGCACCAAGACATAGATCCAAGTGATTTGGGCAATGGAGATGGCATATGCCGCTGGCATGGGCGTGTCGAGCACTCGTTCCGCACCGGTGACGACTTCGTTGAGTGTGGCCAGGCAGTTGACTGCATTTAGTGAGCAAGGGGTCTCAAATCGCTCGGTGGGGAGCGATCAAAATGAACAATGCCAAAGCTGGACATACCGGCCTGCGTCTGATGCACATTATATTTGAGGGCATCGGTCTCAATCCACTGGTTAATATAGGCAGACAGATGATTGAGAATCTCCAGAGGAAGGTGGCCCAGGGGCTTCTTTGATCGCTTGACATGCTTTCGGGGATCGGATTCTGCGATGGACAATGACAAGGTTTCACCAGCAGATTTCCAGAAGGATTTTTTGGCCGGATCCAACCGTTGGCGGTCATGGGCATCTTTGGCGAAGGTATCGAGATGACTCACCAAACCTACCAGATCATCGTATGCGACATCCGGTTCGAAGCGAAGTTTGTGTTTGAGGGCGACCGCAAATGCCAGAATCAAGTTCATGGCCGATCTGATGGAGTCAGGCACAACGAAATTGAATCATCAACAGCAGACATACAGTTTATCCAAGACGTCCTCCTTGCCCTCTTCTCCTTCGCGCTCCAACGTGCACATCCAGATGGTGCGGGCCAGATTCCGAGAGGCTTGGTGAAGCATTGCCCAGTACCGACGTCCATCGGCCCATCTACTTCGTTAGCGAGCCAGTCCCCAGAGTGGCGGCATGAGGCGTACCTTTCATAAGCCCTGGTACTTTGGAATGACAATGCCAAGCCAACAACAAGACCAGTTACGGTGAGCAAGATGTTGTCAATCCCGACTCCACCACGGTCAGCTATACTTCTATTGATGAGGGGCTGAGTGTCTCACGATCATATATGTATTTGGACACGACTGTTACCACCGTCGACCAAACCGCCACAAAGGTCAGGGGGATGATGAGCTTCGGCAGCACACTACCGTGCATTCTAAGGAACACCGGCCATTTGGTGTGCTTGTCTAGGTCGCGAGGGCCATGCTGGCACGGCCGTCAGCAGAGGAATGGTATGAGGATCAAGGTGCGCACATACAAAATACCGAACCAAGTCGGTGCTACCCTGTCGTTTCAGCGTGGGTTGGCCATCGTGAGAGTTGGCACGGCTGTCCAGTAAGGTTGGCCGAGGCGATGGACCGCGGGCGGGCGACAGGGGATCAGAGGTCGGGTGGGCTTCCAAATCGTAATGGATCCTAGGGGCGGCTTCGGAACGTATGTGTGGCAGGGCGATCACTGGTGTTGATGGAGAGGGTGTTGTCATACAAGCAGCGGGTGCTGCAGGTGGACTAACAATGGGGAGCAAGGGCACCATTCAGGCGCTGGACAGAACGGCGCACTCTGGCGGGGGAAAGGGGGCGAGGATAAGCGAGCGAATATAAATGAGCGTGGGAACCAAACGGCTTGCGAGATGCTGATCAAAGAGTGACTGTTGGACTGAGTCCAAGGACGATCAAGTATAGAGTCCTAGGTAGTAAATCAAGAAACGAATGACTGGTAGAGCTAAGGCTGGAGAACAACGGGCATGGAGAGGGGTACTAGAAAATATATGACTCTTGAATTCACCACCGAGAATGCTAGCAGGAATAATGCCTCTTCCGCCCGGTTATTTTGTGGGTAGCAGTGGACCATGAACGGCACTGGAGGAAGCCTCCATGCAGGATGAGTGGTGGAGATGGAGGTACAAGACATCCCCAACCAATAAGCCTGGCCACATTTCACGCCGTCGCTGCAGGTCGTTTATTCCGGTGTCAGAGGATCTACATTTAGCTGTCGGCTCCATCTAAGGAACATTCTGGAAATGCAACTTTTGGTTTGATTGACCCGTCCCTGCTTCTTCATTCTTGCCGCCGCTATAGATTATAGATTGGTAACAACGGATGACCGTAGATGACAAAAGGGTCACAAAATCCACATCACTCAAATATCGGTGTGGCGGAAACGGTCCTCTCGGTGATACCAAAGGGCTCTTGAATAGACTAATGAGCACGAGCAGAGGAGTAAGTAGACTGACCCGGGGCGATCGGACCCTTAATTTACCCCAAACGGGCTGGATTGGCTGGCGCGATCCTCGGTGGAGTCGAAAGGCCGATCTCTGTGGGATTCGCGACCGCCGTTGCAAGATGTGCAGCAGAGAGGCTACTGCCGGATGCAGATGCCCCTCACCCTCCGCGTTGTTGCCTATTCTACTTGAGCGACGACCATTGGCCTAGACCTCATGGTATTCGAAGATAGGGGTTACAAATAGAGGTCGGTGACGCGACAAAACGCGTGTGGGATGCGGACGCGCGCCTCAGGCAGCGGCTTCAACAGCGTCGGATGGATCACGCGATATGTACACATTAAGATACCAAGATATAGGATGGTGTCTATGGCTGAGTCAATGACTATTCTAGAACAAATTCCTCAAAAGGTCTCCTCTGGGTCTGGTCAGATACAGGATTCGGAATTTGTTCCTCATACACCCCGTCCACCACGGCCTGCCCTACCAACTGGTACCGACTCGCTGGCTCGGCCTTGCCACGCAACACCAGAGGCTCACGGGCCCCCGAGGCCACCACCACCAAGTCTTCGTCCTGAACGCCAACACCGCTGATCCCAAACCCATCAGTGCCGTCGGAGGTGAGCACTCGGAAAACAGTCTTGCTGGAATTGCAACGCAATTCTTCCTCCAACATTGCCCAACACTCGCCGATGAGCCCGCCACCACCCACACCACCAGTCCACCCCTGGACCATCTGTTGCAAGGTTTCCGCAATCTCATCCATCCCGAACTGGTAGCATATCCAGCGATGTGAGAGACAAGCTCGCAGGAATCTCTCGGAGAGACCCGATGACATCCAGATACTGTTCCCGAGCGCGTCGGGCGACTGGAAACATTCCCAGATCTGGGATGCGACCTCACGCTCGTCCGAGCTGAACTGGAAGAGAAATTTGCAGCGCCCCACGGGCCGGGCCCAGAGATGCAACGTGGCAAGGTCATCCAAAACCCGAGATTGATGGGGATCGATGGGCGTCGTCAGGGATTCGTCGGGGCGGAGCAAACTATATTGAGATTGGCGTGTCATTCGGCACGCTTCCCGAGTAAAATCGGGTACCCACGACGGGAGCGACTCGTCATGGATATTATTCGGCCGGACGGGGAAGAAGCGGAAGATCGCTGGACCCATCTCCCGGTTGAATATAAACTCCGTCGTCTCCCGTAGCACCTGCTGTACGGGCTTTTTGTAATCAGCGGGATACGCCTGTTGGGCGGCTGGCGCCATCCCGTACAGAGCAAAGATCTTGTCCCGTGGATCGCGGCAAGAATGGGACGCTGTTCGGGCCATAAGGTCCCCAAGAGGCTCATTTGGGATCTTACTGAAACGATTGCGTACCAGGTAATTCCGCCCAGCGTGGTTGGTGAACATGCCGTACAGGGCAGAGTCGGGTTTGGGATTAAAGTTATTGGCCTGCTCGTACTGCGACCGCGCTCGCTGATCATGCTCCTTGCGGAGCCGAGTCTTCCGTATGATAGCGACTTGTGCATCGTCCAGTTGGTTGCTTGCCTTATCAGTGATAACCGTGCTTTTGAAGACAAGGTTTCCGCACATGCAGATCGGGTCGTGTCGCGGTAGGTGATACTCCTGGTACGTCCACATGCGGGTCCAATATGGAAGATGAATCAGGTGTTTCTTCCCAAGACAGGCATCAAGCGTGGCTGAGTTCTTGTTGTATTCCGTGTTGCGACTCCACCAGGCTTTGAAGTCGAGTTTCCACCAGAAGAGTGTTCTGCTGTTGACTTTTCTCTGGGTATACCTCTCCGTCCAGGTAATGCTCCGCTCGAGCTGTGGTGTCAGGTCCCCCAGATATGCCACCACGCGGTTGGCCTTTCGGTAGATCTGCCCCATGAGCGCGACCTGTACATTCTTCTCATCAAGATCTCCCTGGTTAATGCAGATATAATCAACCCACATCGATCGGGGCTTTTCTCTCTGTCGGAGATGATGTAGCGCCGTGGCGAGATTAGCGGTAACTGCGAAGGGATGCCCATCCAAAGTGATTTCATGGTTCCCCTTGGTCTCATCACCACCCCAGACATAAGAAAGGGCGTCAAAATGCTGCCGTTTCTTCAATGATACGGTCGCCAAGGAACATCGCACTTTCTGTCCCGTACTTTCGGGCATAATCGTTACAATCCGAACTTCCTGCTCTTCTTCGCGTAGCAATTTATACTGGAAGCTTGTGGTTGTTATCCCATCAACCCCCCCCTTCAATTGTGGCTGACTGTCCATGTCAAGTAATTGCAAATATAGAGTGTTATGGAATATGGTCAGGACGAAGACGGTTTGATTGTCATGATTTATATGAGAGAGATCGAGACAAACCCCAAGAGCCTCAACCTAGATGCACCGTCGTGGGCCGGTTGACCTCAGGATCAGCCAGCGCGGGGCTGACGCTATCTATAAATAGTTTCTCATTTAGTGAAACTATTGGCCCGAAGCGTGCTATGGCGCTGTTAGCTCCGTGACCTTCGAGATGTTTACAGACGGAAGTCAGCGTATATTGAGTCATTGCATTCACGTTCTATATCAACAAAAAAAAAAAAAAAAAAAAACCAAGCAATAATCAAGCTCGGCAAATTGAAAGCTTCACAGCTTGGAATTTTTGGGCATGTCCTGAGCCTGTGTGCCTTCCCGTGTCTCCAAGTGGTCAACAAACCCTTCCCATGAATCCTCTGAGAGAATTGGCGCACTGCAGTAAGGCTGCGCTCCAGTCCGATCGAGTAACTTGTCGAGCTGCGGTAACACGGAATCTAGTGCCTGCGCCTCATCCCCAAACATACTTTCCCGACTAATTTTGGCATGTTGGACATACCAGCTTGGGTCGTGCAGCATAACGCCAGTTTTGAATAAGTGCACTAGATCCCGATCGACGCCCGCCTTTAGAGCGGCCTCGTAGGCCAGACGATGACCAATCGCCTGTACTATAGGCTGGCACCTTGGTAGAATCAACGAGTTGAACTCGCTACCCCTGTGACCTCCTGATATACCCTTCAATAAAGAACGTGATTCCTCTAGGAGACCCATTTCATGTTGAGCTAAGACGTCTTTAGAGTCCTTCGGAGGTGGCAGCTTATATCGACCGACCAGCAGTTCGGTTCCGAGCCCTAACCATCAAGTTGAGAATAAAATAGACAAACCAAAGACTTGTAGAACTTACTAATACTTAGGGCCAAAGTATCCCCTTCAGCGATGGAGATAGCGTGCGAGTCTAATAGTGATTCGATGATGTGGTTCTCTGCGTATAGTCCGCGTGCACCACACCGTTCTGTAAGAGAATATAAAGCCGAATGGGTGGCTTGAACCACGACAGCCTTAAACGCCGCTACAATTCCATATCGTACAGCTGGTTCCAGAGTTGGATCTTGGAAAAACGATATACTCTCCTGTGTATACGCTTCCAAAACCGCGATCGTGGCCAGTGCATGCAGTATGGGTTGTTGCTGTGTTCGAAGTGAGATTATGGAAACGGGCTTATCCTTTGATCCCAAAATTTGACGCTTGATGCTGTATTTTCCTGCAACAAATACAGACCTTTTCAACATGGGAGTGAGGCCCATCGTGAGTGCCAGAGACCCTACGCCGATGCGCCCGGTTACTGACAAGAAATTGTTGCGTTCGTTTGCTGGCATTTCGAGGGACCCAAGCAGTGCTGAGAATGGCAATTGGACATGAGAGAAAGTGGTGATGGTATGATCCAAAGGCTTCGACCCAGTTCGCACAGGAAGCATTCTGAAAGAAAGCTGTTAGTTTTTCCTTATGAAACCTGGACTGTTCAAACAAACTTTGCTGTTACTCCGGCATGCATAGTTTCTCCATTATTCAGCCAGACAATGAATGGTCGAATTCCTCTGGCTTCGCCTCGCACAACGAGCCGGGCAAATACGACCGCTACTCGAGGGAAGCCTACCCTAGGCCAGGTTGGTGGCATAATTCTTGGGAATTGTTAGCAAACACATGAGCTATGACCCCAAAGACCCTAATAATGACCCTGGTGTCTTACTTAGCAGCATTAAAGTTGGGCGTGTGAAGGTCAAAGTCGCCATTTGGGAGTAGTGTTGCCGTTGTCTCTAGGTTGCGTGCATCTAATCCATGACCAACCTCTGTGAGCATATACTGTGCTCTGGCAGCAAGGATAGTTAAGTTAGTATATGAGCTTGATTCAACTTGATTTGGTCTCATACTTACGAGATCTTAAAGGTGAGGATATCCTCCAACAGGGGCCTATACTGCACATTGTTTGCAGCAAACGGTGCCAGCGTTCCAGCGGCAAGATTGAGTTGGATCGTAACGAGGGTATAAGCAGCAAAATCGAAGGCAGCGATAAAATCTTGGTGCAACTGCCAAAATTTAGGGGACAGGTTAAGCACATCGTGGATCTTCATATCTATCTATGAGTTAGCAGCAATAGTTCATCCCACCAATTGTAAGCATACCATATGCTTTGGCCACTGCATGAGCGCGCTGATAGCTGATGTTGATTCTCTCGTCAGAATTGATTGGATCTGTACGCAACTTGAACGAGCCGATCTCGAGAAAGTTGGAATTCGGAGAAGACATTCTGGTGCGGATGTTATCAATTCCAGTAATAACACTAGAAGGCAAATGATATATCACGACTAGTTCTTCGATCTATCCAAAATCTCGTTGTCGCGTACAAATCTTATACTCCACACCCCGGAGAGTACAGTTAGCTCGTGTCATTGGCATACCAGGGTTCGGCTTTGTCCTAATTAGTTTCAGTCCGGTCGTCAGGATGGCACTTGAGTATCTAATTACATGTTCGGACAAAATTGGCTAGGTAGGTTTTCTGATATACGGCTCCCAAAATATTGATCCCGTCAAAACAAATTAGCGTTTCTTCCGCTATTGGGGGGGGAGGGGGGCAAGTAACCCACTGGCACCTGTAGGTGAGCGAATAACATGAGATGCCTCAATCGTCCATGTGAATGTTCACCCTTGATTACTTGTATATGCATGCTGTGCTGACGGACATACCTCAAGAGGTAACAACCGGTTATGCATTCATAGAGGTTGAAGACTAGCAAGTTTCTAGAGGAGTATAAATTGCTATGGTCTACGTCAATTCTACATACAGTAAGCCTCCAGGTCTACCCTTATCCAATTTTGAAACCAAGCGTCTCGCAAAATACAGCACAAAATACAGCACTTATCCCATCTCAGACGGTAGTACCATGGCGCCAGGGGCTATGAAAAAATTCGACCATTTCCTGGCCGACTTAAAATACATCGCCCCAGACGATTCCCATGTCTCCATTGAGAATTTTATCGGCTACGCCTCCGTGCCGCTTGGATTGGCGGGACCTCTGCGCGTTCACGGACTGGATGGGGCTCCTGAAGACGCCTATGCTCCCATGGCCACGACCGAAGCTGCCATTATCGCCAGTTGCTGTAGGGGATGCAAAGCACTGAACTCGTCTGGCGGCATCCACTTTTCTAGTCTAGGTCAAGTCATGTCCAGAAGTCCGGTGTTCCAGTTCGATTCGCCTCGCGAGGCGATCCAGTTTAGTCGCAGACTTCCTGAATTCAAGGATGCTCTGGCCAGATCTGCTGAAGCAACTAGCCGTCATGCCCGCTTACAGGACCTGACAAGCTATATCACCGGCTCTGATGTGTATGTGCGCTTCAGCTTCACGTGCGGTGATGCAGCGGGGCAGAATATGGTTACAATTGCTACGCAACATGCTTGTGATTGGCTACGAACCACGTTTGCTCCAGAACTCAAAATCAGAAATTTCCTTATTGAAGGAAACATGGCACCGGATAAGAAACCGTCGTGGGGCGCTGTCGTGGCACCCAGGGGAGTGGAAGTCGTCTCATGGGCGGTACTATCCGATGCTGCCTGTCAAAAAGTCCTTGGCTGCACGGCAGAGCGACTCTACAAGACCCATCGCCTCTTCCAAGAAGGTGGTATTCGAAACGGCCAATTCGGATCTAATGTCAACACGGCCAACGTCGTTACCGCAATTTTTATAGCAACCGGACAGGATGTTGCTAGTGTTGCCGAAGGAGCTTGGGCTCATCTCATTTGTGATTACGACTATACTTCGAAGTCACTGAAGATCAGTCTGTACATGCCTTCGCTCGCAGTCGGTACGGTTGGTGGCGGAACAGGGTATGCAACGCAGCAGGAAGCATTGCGTATCATGAACTGCACGGGTCCTAATAGCAAATCCCGATTAGCGGGCCTCATTTCCGCATTCGCTATTGCACTGGAAATTAGTACGATAGCCGCAGGTGCCAGTGATACCTTTTCTGCAAGTCATCAGAAGCTTGCTCGGAAGAACAAGATTTAGTCAGAACCCCATCTTGAGGATTTGATACATCCAGTGGCAGAAGCTTTCTCTTTTATAGCCTCCATCTCCATCTTTACTACTACCAAATTGAACCTACCAGTATTTTTGCACTATGTCTACACGGAGGGAAAGGTGGAATTGTCGGAATCATCAAGCTACCATGTATTTATTATAATAACGATGCGCACATGATCAGGGCGCCAGGGAGGATTTGGCAACTGGCAGGAACTACGGCAGGAATAGCTTCATTTTGGCGAAAATCATGGGGAAATATATATTTTGGTGTCTCCTAGTCTAGAACCCCGGGGCTTCGGCCACCGACGACTCGGAAGGATCCCCGAAAGGGCGATATACTCGAGGATAATGCATCTCTCTCTCTCTCTCTCTCTCTCTCATATAATATCTTGTTGGGGATATCAGTCAGGTCAAGCCGCCCCAGACTATCGTCGAGTTTTTGGTGTAGTGGCCAAGATATATCAGTGCTATGATAAGATATGCATTTACTTTTTGGACCCCCGAGTGCCTCACTGATTTGACGATGTTCATAGCACCTGCCCCCTCTTCCCGCTAAACCTGATCTGTCGTACGTAAAGATGGGGTGTGTAGATAGGATACCCCGCCGCGCGTGCAGGACGGCTGAATTATCCGGACGAGTGGACGCCATCCAGCCTTTTCATCATCCAAGCACCTGGCCAAGTAAAACAACTTTTAACCAGGCAAGCCTTGCCATAATATCAATCCAAACAATGGTCTCCGCTATCGTATGTCGTCACCCTGATACTATACTGAACGCGTTGCGAAACTATGAGGAGTGGTTGTTGTCTTTTAGTGGGGCTATTACGTAGTGCGTAAACATTTGGGGTGCTCAGCTTCTGTCCAGGGAATTCCGATTCGCCTGATCGTCATGTTGAAGATCTTTTGCAGTGCCCCAGCAGCCTGCAAATTGTCTCGTATGGGGATGGGACATGCAGGGATCTACTACATTGCTTTTGGAATGGGCCTTGCCACATGACTATGGATAAATCCGTGGGTGTGGGTCGTTTGGAATTCACACGCCCTCTATAAAATAAAAAAAACAGGTTCCAATGTATTATCGGAACTGCCTATTTGGTGTTCGTGTTTCAATATCTTACTACCGAAGGACACGAATATGGAAGGTCCGGTGCTGGGTAGCATATTACCTAAAGATTATGATACATCGCACTGCGTGCATGTATGCCGGGGTCATCTTTTCAGCGGAGATTATTATATATAAAAGTATCGAAAGCTTGTAAGCCTCATAGTCTACACCCACTTTTCCAAGATTTATCGAGTCCTGGTCCAAAGCAAACGGAGAAACATGCAAAGCAGTCTGATACTAAACAGGCGAGAAATGTCACTACCTGCCACGTCTAGACATCCCACCACGGATATAGCGTGGATCGCGTGCGGCCCCGTCGCCCTGATTTTTTTCTTGATCTTCTTGGCAGCTTCTCATTTTCTGCCCCCCATAAGTCCCAAATCTTCCCCGATATCGATAGCCGACCATTATCGCTCAAACGAAACTGGAATGGAGGCTGGGGTTTACATCCTGGTGGTGGCATCTATTCTGTGGCCAATGTATTCCTTCGGTCTAAACAACTTCTTAAGCAATATCCCGGACATCAATCCCAACATTCTCTCTCTACAGAGCTCATGCGGCGCTGCAGCTGGAATGTCACTGGCAGTAATCGCACCGTGCTTTGGGGCAACGCTGTACCGGCTCGAACGGGATCCGGCTCTGACCCAACTATTAAACGATCTGTCTTGGCTTCTATTCACATTGGTTACAAGCCAGTTCGCCACGCAGGAGTTCGCTATCTCTGGTGGTATTCTGTCAGACACGCGTGCTAAGCCATTGGTTCCTCATTGGGTTGCCTGGATCAACTCCTCGCTTACTCTCACTTACATTCCCGCATATTCCGCTCATTGTGTGCGCAAGGGACCTATGGCCTGGGACGGTGCCGTTACGTTCTGGCTTCCAATTGCTGCTATTGCGGTACAAACGGGTCTCCTATGTTTTTACTTCTGGATGTATCTAAGACAACATACTGCCCGTGGATAATAACTTACCGTTATGGGCTGCACAGGAATCATTATCATGGGTGTCTCTTTTGAAACGTTACGTGTGCAATTTTCCAAACATGACTTGCTATACTTGTCGCGTGCCATGTTTTCTAAAATGATAAGATTAGAGTACTCTCGTATCGTCCTTTGGCTCACTGTACTTTGATAGAATTTCTATTATCTGACCTTAGTCAAAGAATAGATAGTACCACACCACAATTCCATAATATGTTGGATATATTGCCCGTAATAGTTTTAATGAAAGATGCCCAGCAATTTAAATTACTTAACTATAGGATTTTTTACGTATACAACGATCTTCATATGCAAGAGTAATTAAATTCATTGATTCTTTGGCCATCACCCCCTTGAGACCCGGCCCGGCCCGGTCCAATAGCGCTGACAGCGTGCCTCAAATACGGCCAATCATGGAAGACCATGTTCGTCAAGACTGTAGAGGACTGATCATCAGTGAAAAAAGGAGGTGAGATCAGCATCTGGTAACAAATATTTGCAATGGTCCAGTCCCGAATCGCAGCAAAATACGTGGATCTTGGTGGTGCATAGATTTGTCCAGATCAAGTTGCCAGCCATTCCTCTGTGATGTTATGGGCTGTTTATCAAAAGCTAACTATTGCCGACATGAAATTCCCTAGGCACTTCTTGATAGCTCATGAAGCGCGATGAGAAAGGTAGACGCACTCTCCCCCGCTTTAGACACCTGAGTGACTGCGACCCGACTCGGTCCTAGTCGACTCCTCAGCAATTCCAACATCTGTTGGAGCTCAGCTAGATGCATCGCACTGGCCTCACAAACCATCGTATTCCGTAATCTAGGACATTCGACTCGGTACCGTCCAAGCCAGATAGCACTCTCCAGGACACCGCCTGTTTGGCAATTTTCCCATAGGATCTCCTTCTCCCCCCAAGTTCGACTAGGAAATTTATGATCCCGCAGATGTACGCATGAATGATACACATGCTCTGCAATAGTAGCTAAGCTCTGTGAGATTTTCGCGAGGAGGATCGGATTATCAAAGCAAGCGGTACATGTCCTGCAGGAGATAGTCTTGTTGCAAATACATACGGCCGACCTCAAGCATAGCAGGTGTATATCAACCCCTACCTGGCCAACCTCTTGTAGACCCAGCTGTTCTAGTAGTTCGACGAGATTTGGAAGGCAGGTGCAGTCTGCTGTGCAGTCGAAGCCGCGGTTCGTCGAAATATGGGTGGAATCGGGGCCTGCAGATAAAGTCGTCCCACCAGCAATCGAGGAATCTGTGCCTGTTACGGACGGCTGCGAAGGTATCACAGCAGAGCTAACATCCAACCCCGAGAGTTCCATCCCATTTGTAGTGGCGAAATAGACATCCAGCTCTGGAACCAAGATATCTTCTAGAGCCAGTGGATCCGGTGTATCAAAAGTTAGCAATGAAGCTGTATCCATATCGCAGGCTGTTATGTTTCCAGTGGCATCGTGTCTTTGAGATGGTAGCGGTGCTGGTGGTAGAAAGTCACTGCCCCGAGCAGATGGCACTGATCTTCCCTCGGACGGCTGTGGATAGACACCCGTGGAAGCCGTATTTGTGCTTGGTTGTTTTGGGGAATCTGATCTTAGTCGAGGGGCAGGACGATCAGTATGCCCCATTTTCAATATGGAGGTCTCAGGCGATATTGAAGACCGACGCTCCGATGATCTCGCTCGCTGGGTTCTATTCGGGGTGTTCATCGTGTATTTGCAGACTGTGGATGCTGCTCGGCATCTGCCACAGCCCCCTTCTTCGCCGGTGCACTTTAGCTACACAACAGAAAGGCTGGTTAGTCGGATTCAAGTCAAAGCATAGTGTGACCTGCCTTGCGAGTGCGGCACCGATCACAGGCAACCAAAGTATACCCACGAGCATCTTGCCCCGGAGGTTGTGTGGAGAGATTGAAGTGCTCGTAGTCCTTGGTGTCTTTATTGTAGCGGATAGTACCAAACATGTCTTGCGCAAAGCATCCAAATCTTATTCACTGCCACTAGTGATAAATAACCTGACCGCTTGACCCACTGATGGTGCTGGCTGCAAGATTGTCATTTTTCTGAAGAGAGACCTGGCCCTGGTTTTCTAGACATCAGTTTACCGGTAGCATACAGTAGCACCGTTTTTAGCTTTCTAATTTATTATACAATCTCCACCAAACTGCCAATTTGAGAAAAGCTTTGAGATACTAGATGAACATTGTACAGTGATCCCTGTTTGAGCTTCACAGCCTTGATGATGTCATATGGGCTGTAGAAGCCAATCAGATCTTATATATATTGCATGACGCAAAAACATCTGTACAACACTGAATCCAGGTCTGATGCCCAACATTTCACCAGCCGTCTAGCTGGGCTAACAGGAAATTATCCCTGTCATTTAAAGTTTAAAAAATATTGTTCCTTGCTTCCATCCAAACATTGTGCCCTATTAATTCCGATATCTACATCACACGACAACTCCTAAGGCCAATCAGGCTGCGTGCTTTTGAGCCAAAATGGTGGAAACATCTTCGGATAAAGGTTCCATGCATAAAAGTTTTTCTCCACTCACCCCAACGGGTTTTCGATTTCTTAAGTTCGACAATCATCCTGTGATGCATGGCTTGGACTGCAACCTTGAATAAACCCACAGTTCGAAGGTATAAGGGTCTGAATCACCACACCCACATTGGTCTGCAAATGAAGTAGGGCTTTTGAAACCCTAAACTATATATCTAAGTGCTTAACAGTTTCAGACTTGAATTACATACCATACAGAGAGCAAGTAGAAGAATATAATTCAACTACAATGTACACCCCTGCTGGACAAATGTTTACTTAATATGACTGAGCCTCCTTAGGAAATATATCTAAGATACAATGTGTTACACTTAAACCCTGTCGTTATATGCTTATATGTACTGGGGATTCTTGCAAGAAGTGAGATGAACGGGCAAGCCCTGAAAGACTCGTGTTATTGTCCCCGACTCATAGTGAGGGGTGGTCACCTATTGAGACTAGCAATGTCTAGCTACAATCGCAGCTCTAATAATATTCAGCTGAACCGAGGTAAACCGCTGGTCTATTACGGATGTCGGATGATGACAAGCTGGGGTGTATCCGCGTGTGCGAACAAGGGTCGTGAATCACCCTTCAAGGCAAACTCCGATGTGTCTCTATACTTATTAAATGAGGTATTGGGAGACTGCACCACCAAAGTCGAGCTTGGTGACAGGTGTTGTTTTAATACGTCGATATTTGCCATACCCTATTAATCTTTATGCTGGTTGATAATTTGTCAATACTTGGCAGGGGAAGATAAAGAATTTGTCATAAATCTAGATCCGTGATTACATAGGTCTTCATTGGAATCTGGCTCTTTTTCGGGGGGTTTGGAATACTTTCATAGCTTACGAACCATGAAGGTGCTTGCACTACACGGGATAGGTTCCTCAAGTGCATTGCTAAAGAAGCAGCTCGCACCTCTTATAGTCTTGCTGGGGCCAGACTACGATTTCATTTTCTTTGACGGAGGGGTCTGCTGTGGAAAAGGACCTGGTATGCATATCTCCCTCAATAAATGATAAATCCAACGTTAACACTGGTACAAGGCGTCCCAAAATGGTACCCGGGGCCATACTACTCGTACTTGGATGATCATTCACCCGCCGAACTTGTCGAAGTCCTTGGGAACCTGAACACTTTCATCGAATACAATGGACCATTTGACGGCATTCTGGGCTTCAGTCATGGGGGTGCCATCGCAGCTTCGTACATACTGGATCGCCAGATGCGACAGCCCCGTCTACCCCCCCAGTTCAGCTTTGCCATCTTCATCTCTCCTGCCGGTCCATTTTCACCGAACACTTGGCTTCTTCAGGACGAGATCAAGGGACTAGTCAAACACTCATCGCCGGAATCAGATTCTAGTATCTTTTCGGGGAACTTTGACTACCGTGAATCTGTGGAGCGAACCTTTCTGCAGCACCTTTCCCTATACCGTTTAGTTTATGATAGGTTGGGAATTACGAAGCCGGTCTTCAAGCTCGATTTCTTTCACACCCATGATAGTGACGCTGTTCCCCGTTTCTTGCACCCGTCGTTTGTGAAAGACCGTATTGATATCCCTACAGTACATGTCATGGGCAAGAGAGAGATGACGCATATGCGGCAGCTATCCTTAGTGGTCCAGGATATGTGTGATGGATTACTTATGCGGGCTCACCAGCACCAAGGGGGTCATAGTCTTCCGGTTAAAGATGAGCTACGGGAGCTGGCATCGTCAGTTGAGTGGGCGGCGAAACAGGGTATATCCGGGTCTAAACTTTGATATATTTAACTATTGTGATTCGGTGGCCGCAAATTCAATATATATCATTCTAGTCTTAGTATAGTTGTGTTTGTGGGGTGCACAAAACATCTTCACAAAAACTCTCTTCTCTATAAAATTTAACCATCCATATATCTATATAGTGTGGAAATGGGGATGAAAACGCGTCCGAAAGGATGAATTTGATGATACTCAGAGCTATGGAAAAGTTGCTTGTTAGTTTAAATCACAAGATGAAAAAACAGTGAGAAAAGGACTGTGCAAACGCCGCGGTCAGCTGAAATGCCAACTGATTGCAGTCCCTGCCACATACAGGCTTTTTATATACATGTGAATAGGGGCTTCAATTTTTAACTACGCAGACACCTGTCTCTACATGTCTCCTATCCTTCTTTGCTTCCTTTTTTCTGCATGTAAATACCTGTATCTATATATATTCTACTTTGTTTTCTTCCTGATTATTTAATCATGTTACGTGGATACTTATCTTCATGTTTTCGTTTTGAACTTTTTGTTTTTACTTTTTGCTCTAATCATATAGACTTGTTGATATATATACATATATGTATTTACTTTCTTTTACAATTAGATAAACACATCTAACATATCTCAATATTTTCAAATGACTATATCTCTTCTCTTCCTTTATATCTTCTAATATTTTTATATTAAGTATCTAAGATAATCATAATCTTTTAACTAATACAGGTGACTAGCTTTATTCAGGCTCTTTAGTTGTCAGTGACTAGCAATTCCAGAAACAGTGATAAAATCAAGTATAATGGAACTCTCTCTCTCCCTCTCTCTCTCACACACACACACACACACACATCCCCATCTATATGGTTTAAGCGCTTGATTGTTTCATGATAATTACTGCCTGATGTCTATATGTATGTATCAAATAACTAATAGTGTGTTCGTCTTTGGTTACTCAATGCGTGAATAATTGTTTGCTGGTGTATTGATCAGGTTAAGCCCTATACCAAATACTGGTCAAGATTCGGGATTTCGGGTGTAGTGGCTGAGATTGTTTCATGAGTTCAAGCTATATTTACAATCAACTCTCAGCCTATGATAAAAGGTCTCTCCAAATACCAAAACAGCATGACATTTGTTCTCGATCCTCAAATATATAGCAGATGAATAATATAGTACATACATCCGTTGGAACTAATATGGGGGATACTGGAACGCCCCTTTGCCATGATTGAATAACATGTTCCTGATGGACAATCCTAGAGCACCCCCAAGAGCCACAGCGACCGCGAATATCACACTTACTGTAGACCAAGACCAGTTCCCCTTATCAGTAGGTTTGTTGCCAGCAATATTCCAGGTATAATGTAGCAGTGTAATGCCACAAACCATCACGACGCCTGTACCCGGAAGCAGTCTTCGAGTGGAGCCTCGTAGCGAGGTACCGGTCTTTGTAACCTGCGGTGAATATCTTAAAGGGGGAATGTTTTGTTTCTGTGTCTTATTAGTTTCCGTAGTTCATCAAATATATAGGAGATTTTGTACCTTCACCCAGTTATCTAGGGTTCCAACCCGCAATGCGTTTAATTTGCCTTGAGCATTGTCTGAATGACCTGCGTAGTCGAAATCTTCCGTGGCATCCGTTCCAGCGACCTCTTTCAACACCTCCTGGCCCCCTGGATGATCATCGAGATAACTAGACACGTCATAGACTAACGCAAGTTAGACTCTTCTGAATGAACCCTAACATGAGCAAAGTAACAGACCATTTCCGTGGATGGCTATCCAGGCATTCCGTGGTGTATTGTGTTCAGCAACCTGCTGCAAGGTGAAAGTGTCCATCAGCCTTATAGATGTTAGAATAATTTTTACCCAGGGATAGCGGTCTATTAGAGGAAGGAGACGTAGGAAGTAAAGCAGATAAGTTATATGAAACTAGAACCCTCGGATAATCTGTTGGGGTATCTTCCGTCGGCCACAACCCTAATTAGGAAGGCGCCGAAGGATCACATATTTACCAATCTTATTTATCTGCCTATACCAGCCCATTGCTAATCAGAGTCTAACAGCTGTGTTATTTATTTTTTTGTATATCCATTGATTCGGCATTATGACAACCAGATGGTTTTACCTAGTAGCGGGCAGCACTTCAGGAGATAAGTGTCTATCGGTGGATATCTCAAATATGAAATCGTTGGACGACCTGAGGCGTGGCACTGCCGGCATGTTCTCAGTGGCAGTTCCTGACTGTAAGTGTTACTTCCCGCGTGCGATACGTTTCTGCCAAATCACAGCGACTAAAGTAGGACAACCCAGCAATATCATTCCACAGCGAGTCTGGCCTCCTGTCTAGCATCAATGAGATTGAACAGACTAGAAGCAAGATCGGGGTCTGTGTGGATAACCAGGCTATTCGCGAACCTGCTGGCCCGCGGGAGATACCATTTGTTGGGAATTATTTTGAGATTCATCCCGACCACCTTGGCAACCATGAGCGTCTATTTCATCGGTATGGGAGTGTCATCAAGACTGTGGTCATGGGGAGGACCGTCTACCTTACCAACGATCCTCGGGTGTCGGAAGTGGTTTTTGGCGAGAACGAATTCTTCACCAAGAAGACCTCTGAGCCGAACCATCCCCTCTACTGGATCAGTGACGTTTCTGCCCTATTCGCAGCTGATACTGCAGCAGAGGGTGTTAAACTTGCTCACAAGTTCGTACCACCCAGCATGTCCCCCAAGGCTGTTCAACACTACATGCCAGCTATGCGACAGGAGATACAAAGTTCTTTCAATGTCTTTGACGCACTTGATGATCGCCGCCAGTCTTGGAATGCCTATCAATACATGCTCAAGCTGAGCTCACAGGTAGTAAGCAAGATGGTCCTGGGATTGGATGTGGGTCATTTCCACACGCCCGATACACAGCTTCATGAACTTGTTAGTGTGGTGGGAGAGTTTGTTGTTGCGGTGAGGCAAGCTTCTCTCAGCTTCCCGTGGCTCAAATATGTTCCTTTCAGCCCTGCTTATCGGCTTTCCGCCATCAAAAAGCGCATGTCCTCACTTATGCACCAAGCAATTGATGTTTGGCCGCTTCCAGGAGCAAAAGATCTACCCATTTCTCAGGCAGCGCTCCAATCAACCTGCATCGCAGACTACCTTAAACGGGCCGTTGATGACGGGAACCAAAAATTACCCGACGAATATATTCCGTCCAATGCCCTGCTTGTCCTTGCGGCAGGTATATCCACGACGTCTTCGATGCTCTCCTACCTTCTCTACTTCCTGGTCAACTACCCAGAGACGCAAACAAACATCCTCCAAGAACTGATAAACAATAATGTAACACCCGAAAATTGCTGGACTTATGACACAATCATGTCTCTACCCTACCTTGACGGTTTCGTGAGAGAAGGGCTCCGTCTTCATGGCCCAGCGTTCCAACCCGCGCGCAACGCAAAAACGGATGTTGTTGTACCCGGCGCCTACCGAATCCCTGCGGGTGCTGTTGTCAACCCGCTCTTTTCATCGATACATCGCAACAAGGAATATTGGGAGAATCCAAGTCTGTTTTACCCCGAGCGCTGGTTCTCATCAAATGTGAAGAAGCACCGTATGGCGTATTCGCCATTTGCAGCAGGACCCCGTGGATGTGTGGGCTTCAATGTTGCTCATATCGAGCTGCGGATGATTCTGGCCATGCTAGTTTTCAGATATAAGTTTATCGACATGTCACCTGATCCTGTGGTATACGACCATGAGTATTTGTTGGAGAGACTTGTGAACTGCTATGTTAGGGCTAAGAGAAGGACAGCATGGCCAGAGAAGAATCCCTCATAAATTTCAATCAAACAAGCTGCCGAAATTTGATTTGGTTGGCGGTTGAGCTAGACGGGGGGATTTCTACATAGTTATTGAATGTAATTGGTTTTTCTTTTTGTTTTGGAAATGCCCTAATAGGCATATTTAAAGTAAACTGTTAACCAGTAGACAAACCATGACTAGAACTAACTACATCCTATGATTAGAATAATCCTAAACTTTAGAATATAGTAAATAAAGGACTCCTAATTCTATAACTTTAATTAAAATTTCTATATCTCTAATAGTTCTTATAGAAGAGTTATTAAAAAAATAATAACTTATTATTAATATTTATAAGAACTCTAATAGGCATATTCCAGGTAGACATAACACTTACTAATACTTGGTTGTAAGCGGCGGCGTGCTGATTAATGTGGGGGTTGGGATAGACGTCATTTGGGCGGCTAATCCCCTACTTGTTAACAGATGTCTCTATGAGATAGGAGGAACACAAGCGGAGGGGTAGGTGTATTAGTATTCAAAATAAATCACTTATCTCTCTTGAACAGTGATTCTCCTGGCTATTATATATAATAAGATCTCTTTAATTAGATATTAGCTATATATCTATCTATAAGTTAATTCTTATCTACTTTTATCAAGCTAAACTATTAATCTCTATTTCTAGTTATAATAATTATCTTCTCTCTTTAAGATATCTTGACTATGAGATATCAGTCTTATAATTAGTTAGATGTCAAGACCCTAGGATCCCTTGATGCTTCTGCTATACTAGTATTAGTAACTTAGATTATTTAAGATAAAGAACACCCTGTAATCTTCCTATCAGTTATTAATATTAGATTAGACAAACCTAAGATCCTATATAGTGATTATACTAATTATATTAATTAATAAAGTAATCTAATAGTCTAAAGTTAACTTAATAAGTAAGAAGAGAAATAAGATATATCAGATATAAAAATCTAAGTACTTAAATTAAGTATAAATAAGTAAAAACTAGACTAAATATATACTTAGACTTGAATTATATATTAAATATAACTAACTAAACTATAGATATAGATAAACAAGTATTCTTATATATTTTTTATTAGTTATTTTTTAAATAACTCTTTTATAATTACTTCAGAGTTACTCTAATTAGATATCTTTTTAATATATACTTTATTAATTACTTTCTAAGAGTAGATATAAAAGTAAATAATTATATAATATAATATTTTTATAATACAGGGATCCTAATTCTATAATTTATTAATTAATACTAGACTTTTACCTATACCCTAGTATGTAATCCAGTCTACATACACTGTATTTCTTTATGTTCTTATTAGTCATGCCCCCATGCCTGTAGGTAGCCCCACTTGTGGGATCCTCTCTATACTACTACCTTATCTATTTAGGTACTTTTAATTATTTTTTTCTTTTTTTTACTTCTTTTTAGTAATTATAAGAGAATTAAGATACTAGTAATATTTTTTTTTTTTTTTTTTTT